ATCCCATTTCGGACCATGGTATGATAGGGATGACGGAGGAAATAGATGAAACCCTAAGCTATGCAAGCAGGACGACTCCAATGCGCGGGTGGGGCCACTGGTGGTGACGGTGACGGTGATGGTGACGGTGATGGTGACGGTGATGGTGACGGTTATGGTGACGGTGATGGTGGCAGTGATGGTGACGGTGATGGTGACGGTTATGGTGACGGTGATGGTGACGGTGATGGTGACGGTGATGGTGACGGTTATGGTGACGGGGATGGTGACGGTGATGGTGACGGTGATGGTGACGGTGATGGTGACGGTGGCGGCGATGGTGGCGGCGATGGTGGCGGCGATGGTGGCTGTGACGGGGGTGGAAAACGGTCTTGTCTTTTGCGCCGTTCCTGCTGTGGCCAGTGCACACAGCGCGCAGAGCTCACCCCTTGTCGCCGGTGCTGTGGCGAAGTACCACCGCGCCGTCGTGTGCCCGGTGGTGAAGGTCTTGATCTGCAGCACCAAAGCGGCGCTCCATACTAAGTACACCGCCGCCGCTGCGGAATACGCCAAGGCCCAGTCGGACGTCACGAAGATGCAGCACGGGATGCTGTCCGCCGGCGTGAGTTGCGGGAGCAAGGATTGGCGGGAGCAGGGGTGGTAGGTGTATCGCAGTAGCAGCAGTAGCAGTAGCAGTAGCAGTAGCAGTAGCAGCAGCAGTAGCAGCAGTAGCAGCAGCAGCTTTAGCGGGGAAAGGAGGGAGGGTCAATAGTAAGCGAGGTCAGTTCAGACCATTTAGCAATGAGGCTGCGTTGGAATCCTCGTGTCTTTGCATGAGTGCTTGCATTTGCATGGCACTGGGATAACCTACCGTTGCTGGGCTGAATTCACGCAAAAGCCGTTCTCGTCCCCCACTGCGTATCGCTGTACGGCATCCCAGTTCCGGGAAACATAGCCGTAGTTTATAGCGGAAAAGAAGGCCCCGAAGCCGTACGCCAGTACGAGCAAGCCTGCCAACTTGACGCTAAGAGCCCCCGGCACCAGCCATGGGTTCCTACAGAGAATGTCCGCTGCAGATTTCATTAGGGGGTTTTGTTCGGTAAGGGCCTTAAAAATGAAGTTAGGATTTCTCAGTGTGGGAAGCTTGGAAGCATGGGCGGTCAAGGTCATGGCCTTGGCGTTCCAGTGTCTAAGCAGGGGCGGAGGCGGACCGTAAACCAGGACGAGCCAGCCGCAGCTCCCACTGCCTTAATGCACGTAAGACACTATCTCCCCGCGTACCCCCGTAGGATGCGCATGGCCCCCGGATACGTCACCTCATTCAACCACTCAGATAACCAGCCATCCACCTACCCCGCTTCCTTCCCGCAGCTGCCACGCCGCCTACCTACCCCTTTGTCACCTACACACGCACACGCAACCACCACCACCACACACACACACACACCCCTACACACGCACCTGCAGTTGCCAGCAACTCCGAAGACGTACGCGCCCAGCGCCCCAGCCAAAGGAAGATACCCGTCGTCAGGATGGTGCAGGTCATGAGCACAATACCGGCTGGCCGGCCGAACCGGCCCTGGGTGAAGCACAGCACGGACATGCCGCATCCTGCCAACAGCGACCCAAGGGTGATAATGCCAAGCGTGGTCTGCATAGCAGCCCCAGAGGTTGGGTTCCATTAGTCGGTGACATTGGAAATGGATTTGGCTTGACTTGAATTCGTATGGATTTGGATTGCCATTCGGGTGGACATTAAGAAGTGCAGCGAGCAGTTGAGGTAAATTGGTCGTACAGTGCTTGTTTGCCTACCTACCCGCGGGAAGCGACTGAAAAGAAACAGGTACAGCGCCGACCAGATAAATGCAAGGCCCGCGGTGACCGGCAGCCACATGGCTATCTGTGCCTTAAATCTCCGCATGAAGGTGGGGTCGTATTCAGAGTCATTGTACATCCACGCCACTTGCTGAAGCACTCCCGTTACATCAGGCGCAGCGGATGTCGATCGGTGTGGGGACGTATGGAATTTGGGGGGAAAAGGTACGAGTGAGGATGCGAGGGTGGCAGACGTATCGTAAGGAAATGGGGGTAAGTGGAAAACAAACCTGAAGGAGGGGAGTCAGCAGCTTCATGAGGAGCTAGGAGCCGGGGGACAGGGCGACTAAGGGGGCCGAGCCGTGAGGGGCCGCACCTGGTACCTCCGCACATCGCAGGAAGTGCTGTTATTGAAGAACCTGTTACTGTAGAGTCCGGTATTGGGGTCCCTAGGGCGGTACGGGGGTGTGATCGTACGTGTGCAGGGGATTGTGCAACATTAAGGCTCGTGTAACATTAGTACCCGGAGATTTACTTAGGAAGCTCGCCACCTTCTCGAACTTACGTACGAAGGAAGACGGGAATGCTCCCAGCGAGGGTGAGCGCTGCTAACAGACAATACGCGATTGTCCAAAATACGTCACGCCGTGATCGCTTGTCTGTGTTGTAGTTGACTGCACTTGGATCATGGAGGTAGGCTGAAACGGACGCTGTATTAAAGCCGCCTTCGAACTGGACTTCGTTGTTCATAACGACCCAACCTGGTGCTAGGTAATTAGTAGATTAAGCTAAAGAAACTTTGTAATAAACGTTTAATAAACGCTTTATGAGTTGCAGTTATAACATCATAACCTCGGATTGGGCCTCTATCGCTGGTTACGGTTCCCTACGTGGTTACTTCACGTGTTTACTCTAATAGTTTTAGGAGGTAATCCCGGTTACGAGTGCTATGCTTTATTTCTGCTTGGATGATCAACTAGGAGCCTGATTTAGGTCTTCAACGGTCAGTAAATGGTAACGACAATAACCACTTACGGGGTGTTTCCACTTGGCCGAATTCGGGCCGCTGCGTGGAAACACCTCTCCACTAACCACACACAAAGTCAACATCAAAGATAATGCTGAAAGGTTAATGTGCGCCCAAGCGGAAACACACTGTTAAGCCGTAACCGTATTTCCGCAGTGAAGTTAATTTAATGTGCGTGACATTGGTCCTTGCTTTTAGTGTATAAAATGCAGGACAATGGAAGGTATCCTGCAGAACTTGAGAACTAAAAGCGCGGATTTCCATGAAGGCCATCACGCCCACCACCTGTTGTCCTACATTTCACTCTTCAGGGTAGGAAGTCCTTCGCATTACGGTCTGAAAATGCCAAGTGACGTCATCTTCGCCAAGGCCGCCGCTTCCCTTTTTTCCTATTGAATCGTCCGACAATTTACGACTGCGACGGGCTCGAGCCCCAAAGCAGAGCTGACCGCACCGAATTGGTGCCCCATCCTTACAAGAGGCGACAGCGCTTGATATCGCAGGACCACAACACCGTCACAGGATCTTCCACCACGACCAATGCGGCCACACCCGCCGCAACCCAACAAAGAGCAGCCCTAACGTCCTGGACAGACGCCGCATAACTGCCTATGCTGCAGCACTACTGCCGTCCGTGCCCTACCTATATCCGCTCGGTTCACCATGGACACAACACGTCCTTATACCCCTAGCATGCCCTTGACACCCGCCAGCCGAGCAGAAACTAGTAAAGTATTTCTCTGCTTTCTGCCTACTCTCACGCGCCCAAAGGCAACAAAGGTAAAATGATTAACGCTAAGGGCCAAACGTCTTTAATGCACTCCTCTCAAGCCTAACCGGTTTTCTTTTACCTGCCAATGCGGCGTGGGGGTACAAACGCAAAGGAGACTTACTCGCTGCGTGATGGCGCTTTTTCCTCAAGACAGGTCTAGTCACCAGACTTGTCTTACCGGCCAGTTTGCGCCTGTAGCCCAAACGAGGTAGCCGTGGCCACTGTGATGCTTTAGACATATGGATAATTAACATTTCTGTCCGTACCTGGCGGCCTCAACCTGCCCAAAACCTGCCTAAGTATGCACAGAAACAACCATCCCACTTCCATTTCCAATCCAAAACCATGCCACGCATTTACACTCTGCGTCCTGCGCACGCTCCGCTACACCCTTGTAACATGTCCCAATATAATCAGCAAAACGCCAGGGACTGTTCTCACTCTGGTTTGCAACCTCCCGAGCACTTCCGCGATACACTCCAACACGCGTCATGCGGGCTTCTCTTCCTCAAGCTTCCTCACTTACAAGCCCTCGAGCGTCCGCAGCGCTGTTGGCTGAAGCTGGGAGGTAGCCACAACCGCCATGTGCGCAGCCGCTACCATCGACTGGCTACGATCGATGCCGTCACCGCCGTACCCTGGGCTCCCAAAGCCGCCAGTGTACGGCACCGGCGGTAGCGACCCGTGCCCCGTGCCCATCACGCCGACACCGTTCCCAAGAAGGTAGCCCGGCATGCCCTCGGAATGCGTGCTGGCGGCAGCAGCGACGGCAGCGTCTGCCGCCGCCGCCACGGCCGCCGTGAACGGGTTGGCACTCAGCCCTCCGCTGCCGCTGCCGGCGGCAGCGGAGGGACCATTGGAGGTGCCATGGCCGCCTGCGCCCATCAGCATTTCGTTTGGCACCTCCTCTAACGCCGCCACTGCCGCCCGCAGCACCGCTACTGCCTCCTTGGCCGCAGAACGCCGTGCCACTACATCGTCGGCCTCGGTCAGCACCGAGTCAAGCAGGTCATCCCTGCAGCGGGGAGCGTGTGGCGGCAAGCGACATGGACCTGGACCGCAATGGCGCCTGCATGGTCGCTACCAGGGCCCGCATGACTCCTCTGCCCCTGTAAAGCGCACGACTCTCTCGCCACCAGCATCTCCCATGGACTCCCTGTTCCCCAATCCACACAGTCAAGGCGACCCCCATGAAGCCATAAAACCACGCATCCGCGCACCCACCTGTAGAGCGCCTTGATGAGATGCTGCTGAAGACCGCGCTTCGTATAGTGTACCATGAAGTGCATGATGGTCTTGGGGACCTGGTGGTGGTTGAGGTAGTTAGAAAGGGGAGGGGAGGTTGGAAAGGCCACACACCCCTTGGCGGAATAGGGAGCTCCGGACAGCCTGTCTATACTGAGTATAATCCGTTTGGGCTTCCTTCTTTCTTTCCTTCTTTCTTTCCTTCCTTCCTTCACGCCAAGCCTCCCCTGCAGCTGTGCGCCATCACGGATCCTGACGTGCACTCAAAAAATAATCACTATCGGCGCAATGGCAACGCCCGGCCGGTTGCCATGACGGTCAGCACGTCATTCGGTGTACGATGGAGCATCTCACCAACGCTTGGCTTTCCGCAAGGAGTATTATTGAACAGGTTTTTCTTATATAGATACATTTGGAAACATATTTTATCAATTTTCGGGGTTCCTAGATTTTGCTTGCCCCTGGAGAGAAGCGGTCTCCTCCAGTGTCCCGCGCTACCTCCCACGCACCAGGTCCGATAAGTTCTTCCGCGAGATGGCAAAGTAGGAATCCACCAGCCGCCGCACTACCTCCACCTCGGCCAATTCACTGTCCGTAAGCCGGGAGCGGCCCGACCCACCCGCCAGCTGTCGCCGACGCCGTGAAGAGGCCAAGGAAGAATGCGGTCAGTCATGGAAATACAAAAAAAAAACACAGGACCGCAACGAAAGACCCGACGATTGCTAATCCCAAGGGTTGCAAAGCCCCCTAGGTCTTGCCTTAGTGCTGCTGCTGGAAGGCTTCGTGCGGCTGCTCAGCATACGTCCCATATAGCAGCGGCAAATTCCATTAACGCTTCCTTTCCGAATCCCCAAACGTGATGCCGTGCTCAGATAAAAAATGATACCTAGAAAGGTCTTCCATTCCTTCCCAAGCGCTGTATCGTACCTGTCTCGCCAGCAAGGCAGGCAGCGGTCCTAAGCTCCCGCCCGCCGCCGCCGCCGCTACAGCCAGACCCTCGTCGCCACCGCGCCCCATGCCCATCACCATTGCAGACCCGCCTCCGCCGACGCCGCCAGCTCCACCACCGCCGACGCCACCCATCCCTGAAGCACTCCCACCCGCGTGCGCGCCGATGCCGCTTTCCGGCCGGTCTCGGAGCAGCCAACTGAACCAGCCCGATGATAGGGTGCCGGCGGCTGCAGCGGATGAGCCGCTGCCTCCGGCGCCCATGGCGACGATGTCCGACTCGCTCTCGCTGCGACGCCGCCGGCCGACCGTGGGCAACAGCATATCATCCAATGAGTTGCCTGGATCCGGCAGTCCCTGATTGCCGTATGGACATACATTTGCATGGCGGAGCACAGCGTGTTGTGTGTATGTGTGTGTGCCAGCGCGGCGGTGTGGACTAGCTGTACCCATGTGCTTGTTTCGCCCTCATGGACGCATCCCAAGCCATTTCGCCAGCTGCTGTGGCATCTGGAGAGTTAAAGCGGGTGGAGATTCCTCCCTTCCCAAATTCAAAATCCATGGAGGACCCAGACCAGGTAATGGATGCCCAGCCCTGCCTAAAGCCAGTGCGACCTGCGTGAGCCCCGCGCCGCTCCGGTCCGAGTGCACATGTTCCTTACGGCACCTACAGAGGCCTATGCGCCATAGCGAGTGCCACAACGTCCCCACAGCGCCGCACGCCACAATCACCGCCATCGCGGCAGGCCAGTACCTTGAGCCCTATCGCCGGCGAGGTCAGCCGGTTGCCGTTTTCCAGCGCCGTCAGGGCCTTGCGTGGCAGGATGCCAGACACGGCCCCGCCCGCGGCGCCGGCTGCGGCCGGTCCCGATCCCTCGGCCGCCTCCTTGCGCTGCCCGGAGCTGGCAGCCTGGCGAGCGGCGCGATCCTACGCAAGGCGTATGAACAGAAGAAGAAGGGACGAATGGAAGAAGGGCATAAAACAGGCTAGGATGGAAATCAGGATGAACACGGAACGATAAGAACAGGAGAAAACGTAAGGGTCCTGACGCACGGCAACATTTCCATGATCGGCGCCGTCACAGCAGACGCCGAGGCCGCCAAAGCTGCACCTCGGCCCGTATCTCTACGCCTTTTAACACGTTTCGGCCAAGATGTGCGTGTGTGGGGGGGGGGGGAAAGACGAACCACGAGCGAGTGAAGCCGCTGCCAGGGCATGAGTGTACCAGAAATAGAACTGACCAAAAGGCGTCCTTGAAGATGCGGCGACCTCCGGATGATGTAGTGAAGATGATGTCGGAGAACTACCTACCTAGCCGCCAAGACTATAAAAGCGCGGAAGAAAAGCAGCAATGCCAAGCCGTAAAGAAGTAAAGGTAGGTGTAGAGGCGGCGGAAAAGTAGTAAAACACTGCTGACGTGAAGCTGGAATAAAGTTTGCCGCCAGCCTGGCGGCGGCATTGACGAGGTTTGGCGAAGAACTGGCTGATTAGCTGGTAATATAAAGCTGGTGGTATGCAAGTGCTCCTCCCAAACCCCCAAAGCGCGCGACCGACCCGACTGACCCGACGTGTGTGTGGGGGGGGTGTGCGCCCGCTTCCCAGCATCCCCAATCCTACTCGCACTGCGCACCTGCAGCACCGCCCGGATTGCTCCGCGCCCGCCAATAAAATCCGGGTGGTCGCAGTTGATGTAGTCGCACTCGCACTCCACCAGCGAGCGGATCATGGCCTCCGCGGGGGCAGCTCCCGATCGAATGAAGTCCACGACCGCGTGAGCCAAGTGCCGTTGAAGCTGAGGGAACCTGCGTACGGGAAAATACACAAGATTGTTGAGAAGGGCAAGTGAAGAAGGTGGAGAAGGAGAAGGCGGAGATAAAGAAGAAGAAGAACGAGCGCAGCACGGCGCAGATTCGCAGGCGGCATGGGTGTGAGATGCGTTGCGTTGCGTTGCGGGGAACTGGAGAGGGACACGCACCGGGACGTCTCCAGCGGGCAGGCCGCCTCTGCAATGCGCACTAGCTCCTCGTGAACCCGTTCCTTGCAGGACAGCGACGGCCCCATGAGCTGCTGCACCGCCCGTCGCGCAAGCAGCTCAAATGGCTCCTGCGAAAGGAAATAAACGACCCATGGGTCATATCTCCATCACCACATAGAGTAAGGTAATGGGTATGGCCTTTACACACGCACATCACCTTCCCCCCCTGCACTTTAGGGCTAAGTGGCGACAGAAATTTCGGTGCCCTCAGCTACTAGAGCCGCCCGTCCACATAGCCCGACAATTCCCCTGCCTTTCCTCCCAAAAGCCACTGAGACGCACAAACACACATACCGCGCAAGCACGCCCAGTCCCCACCCCCACCTGCGGCACCATGAGGCTGCCCGACACGCCCGCCCCGTTGCGAATGACGGTCGAGACCTCCGCGTCTGTGAGGTCCCGGGCCGGGTCCAGCCTACCCAGCGCCGGCAGGAACTGCTCCGTGAACACTGCCCGCACGCGCGCTCCTCCGCTGAGCTGTTGGGCCATGTTGAGATCCAGATGACGGCCGTCAAGCATAGCGGCATAGCGCTCGGCATAGTCGCACAGAAGCTGCAGCAGGTACGCGCCCCTGGAGTGAACGTGGGGCGTGAGTGGCCCGAGGACACATGCCCAGAAGTTCATAAGTGTTCTCATAGGTATAGTAGGCATTTCCAACCCACACAGCAGACCTCCAAACAACCAAGCAGACGTACGGGGCCAAAAGCACGCAAGGAGGTAAAGCGAGTTGCAGAAGTTACTTGTAAAGGACAGCACGGCGCGGTGCTAGCCAAGGTGAGGTGTATGTGGGGCGTGGCAGGCGAGGGATTGTGAACGTGGGTGAGAGACAAGGAACAGGAGGCCTGGCACAGGGCGCTGCGGGGACGACAGCGCCCAGATGAACGAGTGGAAAATGCAGAAAGCATTCCATCATCCTCGAGCAAGCAATTCTGGGTCCACATATCAATTCCGGCAGCCTCCTCAATCCCTCAACGGTAAATCCGTAACCAGTAGCAAGGGCTGTACCAAGTGCGCGTCCCTCCCCTTAAGGGACGCCAATGCGACTTGGCTCTCCGCTATCACCCAACTAAATGTTGTGCCTTGTCACCGGGCAAAAGCCCCAACCCCCTCCCACTTTGGGCCTTTCCCCCTCCCTGCAGCCAGCCCCCGGGGGCCTCACTTGGCACTCCTGCTCTGCACAGGCTCCGGATCCCCGAGCGTCCGCAGCTCCCCTAGCCGAGCCTGCCGCAAGCCAAGGGGTGCGGCATGGGGCCACGGAGAAGTGGAGAACGAGTTCATTGACAGGAGGGAAAACTCAGAGACTAAGGGGCTGCTGGTTGAGGGGTATGGCCACGTACTTCATGGATTCCGCGCGAGACAGAGAGATAGAGCTCCAGCTTACAGCTCTGCGAGCCAGTGGCCTAACCTTCTCCAATTCTTTTTCCCTCCCCCTCCAGCGCGCTCTACCTGTCGTCCTTTCCCTCCGACGACAACGTCGTCCTCGCTTTCCCACCTCGAGCCCCTTATCCCCGCCGAGCCCTTCCCCATCTCCGTCAAGTCCCGCTCTGCCACCTCACCCACCTCAAGCGCCTCATGTATGCGGCGACGCAGCCCCGGCAGCAGCCCCCGGATGTGCTCGATCAGGATGACGTTCAGGCGACGCGCCAGGTTACCCACACCACAGTGCGCCGCCACGTCGCGGTACTCAGGATGGGACGCGAAGAAAGCCTCCTCGCGCCTGCAAAGGCACCCCGGCGAAGGGAAACAATGCATGTCCGGAAGTTAGCGTTGTTCCTTTCACGCAGGGTCAAGAACGCCAAGCTGGATGATGTAGCACAGTCTTCAGGGCTTGTCTTGCCAATCCCTACGCTACTTGGCCAGTAATATGTTGCAGCCCCGTGGTCACCATGAGGAAGCAACCATGAGGCCGCATTTGCGTACTTACTTCCTGCACTCGGGCATGGGCAGCCCCGCGGCAATATCCGCCTGCGCCCGGAGCACCACTCCGATGTAGCCCAACCGCAGGGGAATGTGCGCGTTGCGAAGGATGTGCGCGGCGTCGGTGCCTCGATCCATGATATCCAGCTTGGTAAGAACACCTAGCCAGGAAAGGCGCGTGTTGAGAAACAAAAGCCAGCAAAAACAAAAAGAGGTCGCCATGGCTGCGCGATGTTCTTGGCAACGCCAAGACAGTCTGAAATCACTCGAAATATTGCACTACATGCGTGATGTTTCGTTTCGTTTCATCCTCATTCCCAACCCCCATCGCACCTCTCACCCCAAGCCCATCCTCATCACCACACCAACCCCTGCCGCCTCTCCCTGGCCCTGGACATCATGCCAGTGCCTTACCAATGGTCCGCACTCCTTCAGGATCTGCCACTTGCGCCAGCTGCAGAGCATCCGACGTGGCCAGATCGACATTGGCAGGAGAGACGGCCAGGATGACGCAGTTGGGTCGTCGGACATACTCGAGCGCCATCTCCCGAATGCGCGCTTCAATGTCCCCTGGCTGGTCGCCCACTGGAATGCGTGTCAAGCCCGGCAAGTCTACCAATGTCATGGTGCTGAAGAGCGAAAAAAGGGACGGGGATGGAAGGAAATTGGCGAGGAGGGATGTAACTTCAACAACCGTGAAAAAAGGAAAGAGGGAGACATTCCCCTTTCAGTCTTTTCGGTGGTGCGCGGCGTATACGCGGACAGGAATGCCCCCCCCCTCAGTTTATCGCCCTGTTCAAAAGCCATGACACTTAATATGATGCTGTTGTCAACACTCCCCAACCGTTCCATCCATCCTCCCGTCCAAAGCAGCCCCAAATCCACAGCCTTCAACATAACCTTCAGAAGCGATAACGTACTCCAGCCCCAAATAGGACTCCAGGGTGGTTCGCACTTCGGTCTTATGCAGGCCGGGCCTTCCTTTCAACTCCCATCCCCCCAAGGTCCCCCCTTCCCGCGGGCTCCTTAACCCACGTACAGGACGCGCGGGCTGAAAATTTTGAGGCGAATGGGTTTGTCGGACACGTTCTTGTTGGCTCCCACCAGCCTGTCCGTCTCCTGCTGGATCTCCTGCCTGGGGACGTTGGGAGTTGGAGGATGGCATCCGTTGTACGGCAGAGACGAAGATGTTGGTGAGACGAACATATTTTAAAGTTAACCACCAACCAGGGCAACATGGAATCCTGGCTATCGCCATTTGTAGTGTGGTGATGTTTTAAGTGGGGATGAAAAGGCATTCCTAGAAACCCAAATTCCTAGAAAAACCCAAAACGGACCAGTAATGTGACGGGCAACAGACAAAAAGAGACAGACAGACAGACAGACTCCTGGCCACAAAAGGCATGAAAGACACAGGTAAGAGGCTAGCCGTCGGTTCTGCCGCCAATGCCGTAAATCAGGTTTGAAAAAAGGTTTCGTAGGCGGCCCTCAGGTCCCCGGTTGAACTGCTTCACCGTGCGCTGAACCTAGCAAGGCGAATGCTGGGAATGAAAACATGGGACACCTTAAGCTATATCCAGTCCCTTTTGTCAATATGCTCTTTTACTTCAACACATAAGCACGACGAGCTGAGTGAGGCACCGGGCATGCTTCCAAAAAAGCCAGCAATGACCTGACGGGCTAAATTGTGTGCGAAGGTAGCCCACCACCACCACATCTGATACAAGTCCTGTTCACAAGCAAAGCCTGCAAGGCCGCGCAGTCCTGTACCTGATGCGGTCGAAGTCATAAAACATCTTTCCAGGGGCGTGGAGGAACTCGCCCCACTCGGACGGCCGACCGGAGGGGCCTGGAGCGGTCTTGATGAGCTGCAAAAGCAGCGGCCGTCGCGTGACGATGTCATTTCCACGGGGGAGAAAGTCCCGGCCGACCTGTAGCAGGAACGCGGAAGGCAGGTGGGGGAATTATTAAGCCCGGACCACGCACATGAGAAAGCAAACCAGCCAGAAGGGATTGGGTTGTAAAGGGAATGGCATGAGCTGCCAAGGGAACGAGATGCGAAAGGATTGAGTTGCAAAGGTTACGGACTGGCTTCAAATAAGTACTGAGGCTACACCTCCCTGCGATGGAGCAGCGTGCACCAGTCGCAGGTACATAGAGCCTGACAACAACGCAGAGAACGGACAACGAATGTTGCCAAAGCGTATAACCAAGTGAAGCGTGTTGGAATCGTATCAATGCCCAGGACAGATTTGCCGAGGTGAAGCAGTCTGGAGCTGATGAGGTGGATGTAGAGCGAGAAGTCTCCAGTGTTGGCGCCGCGGGATGGGATGCGGCCATAGCAATAGCTTGCTGCCTGGCACAACCCCGTCTAGGCTCAGTGTTTATGTCGAAGGTGGATACCCCTTCTGCTTTGGGCACTGTTCGCATGTGAAGCGAAATCGGACGCTGGGGTTTGCCACTCCATTTGCTGGGGTTTGCACTCATCGCTTACCAGGGCCTCCAGAACGCTGCTTTTCCCGCTGCTTTGGCTGCCCACCACAGCAACTTGCGGCAGGTCGAGTTTCAGGTCCACCGTCACCTACAGAGCAGGCAAGACTGCAGGTAAGCTCATGGTAAGGAAGTCAGCTCATAGTAAGGAGCAATATCAAGACCCGGGAGGGAGCTTTCAGCTACTGCAAGGAAGTTTAAACATTTTCATAAAAGCGATGGCACGCCAGTCCGCAGTTTCTGCAAAACGTAGAGAATAGCAGCGCGATGGGTACTGACGCACTTGAGTGAAGATGTCTTGCAACTTGTTGACAATAGGAATTAAACTGTTCCCAAGGGTGTCGTCCGGTGATGGATCAGGCGCCATCGCTGCTTACACGTCGCTGGGCCCCGCTCGAACGAGGTAAACCCGCTAAAGCTGACGAAACTTTTTTTATAGTGCAAAGCTAAAGCTAAAGAACACTTTAAAAATGCTACACTTTCCTTTTTAAGGTGAGTTGATTCACCCCACCGCCCACTTGTAGGCTTCACCAAACCCGAAAAGGATGGGGTAACAATTGCCTTCAAATTTCTGCGTTGGAAAGGTGGATCACACGAGTAAAACAGAAATGTCGTTGCGCCATTTCAGGTGCTTGTGAAACCAAGGATTGCAGTCCGAGTGTCGGCCAACTGAACTCGGTACGGCAATGGTGGAAACTTTCTGCTAGCAGAATGTATGCCCAAAACATGACTTCTGATAAGTATATCTTGAACTCGTGGTATCGAAGTTGAGCTTGACGTGTCTCGCTCTTAATCGACAGTACCGACAGGGTCTTGAGCTTCCGCAAACATGGCTCCTCTTGACGACACAGTCAAGGCAAAGGTGCTACGGCAGGTCTGTCAACTCGCGTGGCCAACGTTGTAATGTCGCAGCGGCTTTCCGTGTCCCTCAAAAACTCTATACTGCTGCCGCCGGCTGCCGCCGCCTTGTTGTCGAGGCCAGCCGCTGTGCAATGCTTTAATTTACGCGTTAACTTCCTCCGGATGTTTGCAGGTCGAGTTTTACTTCTCAGACAGCAACTTGCCGAAGGACAAGTTTTTGAAGGAGCGCATGGCGGAGGACCCGGAAGGCTGTAGGTGCTCTGTGCTGGGCGTCGATTTTGGGCAGGGCGTCAATAAAGAATCATGTCGCTGTGGCACAGGCATACCATTTATTTGTGTTCCGCTGGGCTGGGCCGCTAACCGGGCAGCCAGCCCCAGCCTCCAGTCCAGCCGCGCTGCACACAGGCCGTTCACGCAGCCCTGCATGCCCCCGCACCTGCAGCTGGGGTTAAATTCCAGTACTTAAGCTATTATCGCGGTTTCCGGTGTTGCAGATGTCAAGCTGAACGTCATCATCGCTTTCCAGCGCATGCGCGACATGCTACAGGTACGGGTTTCGTATGGGTGGTATTTCCCCATGGAGCTTATCCGCCAGCAGCTTGCTGGCCTCAATGGGGCCGCCTGTGGCGTTGCAGTTTGGAAAAATTGGTTCATTAGCCCACCGATACAGACAGAACACGCTGTTGGGCGTCTTTTTACCATTCGGTGTTTGGGCCCCTATGTATTGCCCCGGCGAAACTGCACTACCAGCGCTCCTCTTGCCTGAGAGCTCTTTTCGATAAGAGACAACCTCTGCGGTTGTCTCTGGCAACCCCCGCCTGTGCTGCCAGGCCCCGTGACAAACCTAGCCCATATTCATATTTTAAAGGTGATAATGACAGTGCTTCAGTTGTTGCTTGCTTTGCAGGTCCTGAAAAGCCTCCTTGTACTGAAATAAGCGGTTATTTTCTACGCGAACCCTCACTGTCTACGCTCTTAATTGCGGATCTCTCACGCGAGCGAGTTGCGGGCTTCTCCGCAGGTGTCATCTGCAGATCCCGCGTCCGTGCCCGCGGAGGCAATAGAAACCGTGGCGGAGATCCTGGCAAACTCGTCTGCGCTTCAGCTAGACGAGACCAAGACGAAGATCAAGCGAACCACGGTGAGGCGAAGCGCACAGGACAACAACATGACCTCTGACCCTCCTGCCGCGTGCTCCTCTACTCCAAAATACCGTGTAACACTCCAGGTTCGCTGGCCCCTTTCGTTCGAACTGCCACATCAACAACGCTGCGGCCTGGCGCTTGGACGCCTGGAACGCAGACACGTTGCCATTTTGCGCCGCTGATATCTAGATATTTACGACGGGTTTCTTTTTCAAAGACTGAATTCCTCACAGTCTTTTGCCTACACCGCGTCTGTCTTCTAACCCAAGCGCCTTCACGCCCCGAAGTTTCCTTTGTTGTACCTTTGCATTGCATTGCAATGCTGGTTATTTTTTTATATGACTGCACCCACACCCACGAACATTGCATTGTTTGCAGCCCCTGGCCAACGAGAGCGAGGTTGCACGCGCTGTGGACGCCCGCAGCATCTACGCGCGGCCGTTTCCCATAGACACGAACGTAGACTCCATCACGGACTTCTTTACTAAACACGCACCGGTGAACTGCGTGCGCATGAGGCGCCACGTTCGCTCCAAGGCCTTTAAGGGCTCGGTCTTTGTGGAGTTTGCCAGCGTAGAGGATGCTGACAAGGTGGGGACCTGGTTGAGGCTGGGTGGCATATAGGAGAGGGAGGTGCAGGGATACCGATACAAGCAGAATCGACCTCCTTTTTTTAAAAGGAATAGTTTAGGTGCGTGGTAAGGGGAAGCTTGTTGATGGTTTGGAGTTGTGTTGGGCATTGGACATGGCCGAGCGGGCATGAGGTGATGTGCTAAGAGATTCTTGTTGCATCACGGGGCAATCAGCTGCGCAACATCCGGATCATTGCGCCGGATGACTCGCTGGGAGAGCCTTGCGCCCCGCCTTGGCCCATACAACAGACACGTCAGACTCTTTTTTTGTTTTTCAATCACCGTTGGTTCTCCGATGGTCTGCGGGTAGTCGTCTGCCTAAAGACAGGTGACCATCCCGCCTTTTTATTGTGAGGTTGGTGGCCAAGTAGCGAAGCGACTCCAGTCCACTGAAGCTCTTGTGCTTGCCGCGGGTCGGATGGATGTACACGTATACATGTCCGCGGCAGCTGCAACATTCCATCCCACCAAACTATGTTATTCTTCTTTTTCGTCAATCGTCTGTGCACACTTGTCGTAGTAACACCCCCCCCCCAAAACCTTGGGTCTCTCCACTTCACCCAATTCCCTGAAAGGTATTGGGTATGTCTTTGGAGTTCGATGGAGCACCCCTTCGAATGCAAAAGAAGCTCGAGTTCGTCGAGGGGAAGAGGGCTGCTCGGAAGAACCGCGCGGCTGGACGGGTGAGCGAGGAGGGTGGAAGAGTAGTCGTGGCTGCGTGTCTGCGTTGTTAAAGCTCTGGCTTGTTGTTAGGGTGGAATGGCCTTGGGAGAAGGTGTTTCGACTCTGGAAAGGCAGGCAGGGGGGCCCGGGCACCTCGTGACGGGGAGGGTGGCTGCCTTCGGGGCTTAGCTGGGCTGGGCCGGGGTACGTGGGAAATCTTAATATAGCCTACCGGGTGCTTAAGTCACAACTGTTGTTAGCAGCGACCCGTGAATGGAGATTGCTCGGGAGCCCAGGATTACAACTCGTGGTAAACGGCAAACACATCACAACCCCTGGAAATGCCCACAGAGATCCGCTTCCGTTTGCACGATGCCCCGTAAGCGTAGAGTAGCTCTATGCTCCTTTCTTACCTCAGCTATTGTTCTCTCCGCAGCATGACGGTGATATGTCGGATGACAGCAACGTCGGTCAGGGTCTTCCGGACGGTGTGGGCGGTGTGGTGGACGCCGACGGGGTGGTGATGTCCAAGGTGGGCTCCCCCGGGAAGCCATTTAGCTCCAGCCCCAGGGAGAGGCACGGAGGCCAGCAAGCGCATGGCCAGGGACGGGGGCAAGGCCGCTTCCAAAACCAGAATAATGCCAGCGGCAACAAGCGGGGGCCGAAGCGGAAGCAGGTGCGACGGGTTGGTCGTTTTGGCGAAGCAACCCTCTCAACGCTGTTATGAGCCAATTTTTGTGGGTGTTGCTCACCTATTCACAGCAAAAGGACAGATAGTACAGACCAGTAGTGTGGCTGTTGTAGGTGATCATCCGCGCAGTAGCCCTGTTGGGAACTTCGGGTTAAAGTTGGCGGCCATTGTTGTTGGAATCCTTGGGGTTAGCAGGTTAGATGACGCCATTCACACATCATTCGGGCCGCGTCAGGTTGCTGGATGTCAAGTTAACTCCCCCTTCCGCAATAATTATCTCTCGTCGTGGCGTCACAACTGCTTTGGGCATGTCACCGCGTGTGAGCAGGATGAGGAGCTGGAGTACGACGAGGGAGACCTCGGTGATGCCCCCGCTTCGAAGCGCACTAAGCCTCAACAAGGCGAGAATGGTGGCGAGGCGGATGAGGAAGCTGAGAACGGTCACGAATGCGGTATGGGCGAGGGCGAGGAGGAGGGTGGGGCCCCATCGCCCGAGCCCGTCTACACCCCAGGTTTGTGGGGCTGAAGCCTTTTTCAATGGAGGGATTGCGGGGCAGCAGTGTCAAGCAGGAGGGGCAGCGGCGGCAGGGAATTGCAACGCCTGGAAGCCTCCGCTTGATTGTCTGGGACGCGTTGGTCGAGACACTTCAACAATGACACCCCGCCGCGGGGTACACGCGAGCCCGAAGCCGATGGCCTCGATGGCTGATCAACTTAAGACTCGTGCGGACCTTGTGGGACTGCAGTAGTTGTTGGATCCTCCTGCGACTGAGCCATGGTGGTTTAACGCAGGATGCGTCGTGAGCTTCACACTTGAAACGGAGCTTCCGGAGCTCACAGGCCCATACGTCATTTCCGACATCTTTGGCGGACGCGAGAAGGTCAAGTACGTAGAGGTAGGTGAAGGTGGATGGGGATAAACAGGGCTGGCGTCAGAGGTTTCTCGCGGTGAACAGGACGAAAACTTTCAAGGGAAAATACGTTAATAGCTGTCAAGGGGATCGGTTTCGGTTCATTACATACATCGTAGGCAAGGCAGAGCGCCTCAATACGACCTGCTAATCATCGACATCGTATGTAGTCGTGGTGAGGAGTGGGAAGCAGTCTGTCAGGAGCATGTGGGATGTCAACAGCTCAGTAGCAGGTGTGGTCAATCTGGGGAAGGTGTTACGGTTCGTCGGTTGCATCGTTTTGGGAAGTCATCCCGTGTCGTGCATGTCCATACAAAGCATCCATGTGCGAACCGAAACTGCAATGAACTTTTGGAACTCGTTGTTCGTTGACGCCGTTTGGGTTACCTGTCGTGCACGTCGTCCCCTTGAGCAGTTGTCGGAGGGACGCAAGGGAGCGTACCTCCGCTTTGCGTCGCCAGAGCTCGCGGCGGCAGCACTGGCGGACTTTGAGGCGCATGACGAGGACTCTCGGACGGTTGCGGGCATTAAGGGGACTATGAAGAAGGTGGAGGGCGAGGAGGAGGCCAACTACCACAAGCGGGTGAGTTTGAGAGCGTCTTAAGAGTGCTCGTATGTGTTCAGGAAGGAACATCTTAGCGCTGTATAGGTTCGCGCAGTGTAGATTCGTGGAAGGGTGAGATATGTTGCGTTCGTCTGTTTGTCTGAGGCGGCGGCAGCGGGAGCAGGTAAGGACTCGGGGGATTCTTGTGGCCATGCAAGTGTGCGGGGCAAGCTGACAGTCCGGAGTAGTAGTATGGGGAAGCGAGAGATAGGACGTCTCCATACATAACTTTGAACTACAAAACACGCCACCATGGTTGGATTCCAGCACGACGCTCCTCCTCTTGCAATTTGGACAAGTTCTTTCTTCATCAGTTGCAAGTTATCCCACAGTTCAGTGGTCTGAAATCTATCTAAAACCACGTGGTGTTGGCGTAACCGAAATCAACCGGGTATTTTTTCCTTGCAGGCGGCGGCGGCGGCGGCGGCCAGGGAGGCTCGGGGCGGACGCGGTGGGGGCTGGGGTGGAGGCCGGGGCGGACGTGGGGGCCGGGGGTTCCGCGGGGGTGGTCGGGGAGGCTTCCGGGGCGGGCGAGGTGGTCGGACAGGCCGGGGAGGGCGGCATTGAGTGTAGCATGATGGTGGTCTTAATCTCGTTACCAGCCTTGGGTGGACGGAGGGGACGGTGGACGAGGGGACGGAGAGGTGAACTAGCGGTAACGACCTTGCGTACGCAGCCTCGTACCTTCAGCTTTTGGTGTGTCGTCGCATGTGTCACTTTTAGCGTTTGATTAGTATGTTCATTGGATTGATGTTGGCAGGTGGTTTGCAGCAGTGAGCATTTAGTAGTAAATACTGCTCTTTACGTTTTGTGAGGCAAAAGTCGAGATGCAGGAGGGAAGAGACAAGATGTGTTATTAATAGTAAGGGAGTCGAAATAGGGGGGATTTTGAATAGCCTTGTTAACTTGGCACATGATCCTGTGGATTAATCGCGCTGGGGTAGCGTTGTACGCAGACGTAATCCGTTATTTGATGAAGTTGTGTTGAAGCAGCCCGGGATGGGGGAAGCGATGCGATGGTGAAAGCCGTGAAACATGTGCAACATGTTGAAAGGACGCGCATATTTGCATTTCTCTTGTCCTTGGGGTTTGTAACTGCTCAGGGAGAGGATGATGACTTTGTCGGATGAATGCAGCATACTACTATATATAAGTTGCCAGTACAGTACGGAACCTATGCTGCAGGCCAACGTGTTTGTGAAATCCAAAATCTGTTCGCCATCTGTAGGTCATAACCTACATTAACCTACATTAATGTTGTACAAGAAAAATACTTGTGCGGATTGGTAGCTAGGGAGTCTCTGGAGGGTCACCTCGCATGGCGTCTGGCTGACTCTATGGATTTCGTAACGCGAGCTGACCTATCTAATTATCAAAGCCGGAGGCGCAGAGCCGCAGTTTCCACGCCATACTCAATAGATGGGCGAGAACAATCGTGGCAAAACTCAAACCACCATATCAAGAGCTGTATACTCGGCTCGCACAAAAGCCGCAGCTTCAGCACCCATTGACTGACTTGGCATATCGTGTCGGAAATGCCGCCAACCTCCGTCCACCGCCCATAGCGGATCCCAATGGAAGAGGTATCACAGCCGCCTTAAGTCACCTACCCCCATCCACTGCCAGAGACTTGCAAGCTTCCCATCGACGAACCCGCTTCCTCCACCATCGCGCTAGCAACAGCAGGCAGTCCTACCGACCTAGGGTTTTCGGGTTACAGAAGCAGCACACACAAACCCTCAAAACTACCCCAGATGGAAACGGCGAAGCTCGTTGACGTTCTCATCGCTTCCTCCTGCCCGCAACAACGTTACTAGAAAGAGGGCCCCTCTCTCAGAGGCGGCCGATGAGCGCCTGCACCTCGTCTTCCGTGAAGATGTGGTACTTCGGCGCAACCCTGGCCACATCCACGTTCGTGGCCGTCACCTGAAGGGCGCACCCAAATGAAAAACGAGTTTCGGGAAAAAAAAGTGGGCGAGGGAGAGACAGACGAACCACGGACCAGTGAAGAAGCAGATACCATATATGGAGGCCAGGAAAGGAGTAGTCGAGGAAAGGGGTAGTCGAGGAAAGGAGTAGTCGAGGAAAACGAAACGCAATTCACAGGCTGGCAGCGGGCTGTGTACGGACACCAGGCCAGGCCTTGCCTTGCCTACCTTCTCCTCCATGACCTGTTTGAGGGTGGACAGCGCCAACACCTCAGCCTCAGCTAGCGTCATGTCCGGCTTGGCCTTCAGGGCCTCCTCCAAGCTGGTTTGCGCGCCCTCGCTGCCGCTGCCTATAGCTTTGGCAGAATACTTGATGTATGTGCCCGTGGGGTCGGTGTGGTAGCTGCGAGGGAAGAGAAAAGGGCCCCAGTGTGAGACGTGTCTCGAGCAGGTCATTCAGCGCACCCGTTCATGACCCAATGCCCTAACTCCCAGGAACCTTGGCACACAGGCGCACACCCATGGGAAGAAGCTATCGGCGACAAGTGCGCGGCGTGGTAATAGGATGGGGTCATTGCAGCAGGTGCCTGAGCCTGGGGAAGGCCCAGTTCCCTAAACACATACCCACGCTAAGTTGGGGAAGGCCGGGCTGAGCGTGATGGTGTGAGCAGGTGCGTGTGCTGATGCTGAGGACGCCCCGGAACGCGGGGACTTGACCTTCACCGGTGTGCGAGAGGCCGTACTACACCCCGACCCTTACGCGACAGCGCCTGGTCAGCATAAGACCACGATGACGTCACAGTGAAGACTGCGCAAGGCAAACCCACAGACCACCTCCCATGCGCGTGCGCGTGGAGATTGCTACCTCTTACCGCCGTGGGCTTGCATTGCTACCTCCGTGCAACCTAAAGCACGATTCACGCAACTGCCCGTTCAGACACGAATACTGATCATAATCCATTGATTTTGCAGGGGACAGGAGCCCGACCGACTGATGTCCGCTTGCATACCGTGGTCAGTTACTGTCAGGCATTCGCCGCAAGTCCAGAGGACTGTGAAAGTCCCGTGAAGGGGTATATGCGCAGCACCAATACTTTCGGCAAGATCCCCAAAGTTCAAAATCTGTGACTTACAGGGAGGGCCCGTTGTCATCCCAACCAGCGATCAGCAGCGCGATACCAAAAGGGCGGCTCTGCAGCAGTGCAAACACAAATAAGCGACGAAATAAAGGACAAGGAGGGAGCCACAGAATTGGTCAAGTCCCGGAAAACCGCAGGTTGGGGGATGTTGGCAATAGTGATGGCACTCGTTGTTGTAAACTTCGTGCAAGGAGGGCCTCGCCCCAAGATTGTCCATTGGCCCGGCTACCACGCCAAAGCCCTAAACCATCAACCAACAATACACCGATCATCGATCCAATCGACCTGTGCAGCACCATGGCACCTGGAGCCTCCGTACGAGGAAGCTACCTCGCCAAGACAGGCAATTTGTATCCTCATGTATCCGCACCAGTGCGAGGAACGGCCATGGCCATGCTCGCCATTTCAGTGCACGACTGACGACGCACATAGTTTCGTAATGGCTCCTCATGCAGCAGAGCTAGGTCATTCATGCACTGTGCACTCACCATGCCGCCACCCTCGTCGGAACCCTCTCCAAATTGCAGCGCCAGATCACATAGAGACTGTGTCGTTGACTCCACTGGCATGGGCTCGTTGTAGGAGAAACGGTGTTGCTGTGATTGCATAGGGGTAAAACACTGGCTTGAGGCAAGAGCGCTGAACCGCCGGAGATGCGGTAGCCTGATCAGGAGTGCTGCGTGGGTTGCGTTCTTAGTTGCGCGTCGAAGGTGCATGTTGAGTGCTGGGAATTCGTTCAGTAGGCTGGAGGTGAGCAGGCATAGATGACCCGCGCGCCAGGAGCAACCCTCAAGATGCGATTTAGTGCCCATTGATACATCACTTAGTTGCAAGAGATCAGGATGCAGTTGGGCTGAAGTTTTCGATACGCGTGTGCGGGTATGTTGTACGTAGCGGCTGGGGCTGAGGGCTATGCCCCAACGTGGAAACCCACAGGCTATGAGGCATTATGCACAGACACATGCTTCCCTCTGAGGTTTCCCTCCATTTCAATGCTGACCTGGGTGTCCGCTCGTGCATGATCTATCAGCGTCTTTGCATCTGCAGTGAGCCCGCTCATAGCGCACGCCATGTGCTCGTCTATCTCCATAATCTTCTCAATGCTGCTCGGTTCCTGCATGACCGGGTACATCAACCAGGTGTCCAGGAGCTGTCGATGGGAAAATGGCTTTCGGAAGGATGCCTTCCTCACCAGAAGCGGGGATGTAACGCGTTTCTCCACAGCCAGAACGACCCCTTCCTTGGTGCAAATACCGATAGCTGTCGATCCGAGCTGCAAAGTATACAGGCAATACGTTTAACCTTCCCCTTGCAGGCCTGCCATTCGTTCCGTGCTGGATCTAACTTGCGCGCCCTGACCTTAATGGCTTCTAAAGCATACTCGACTTGAAAAAGACGACCTTCTGGGCTAAATGTGTTGACACCTCGATCATACTCACTTCGTGTGAGAAACATTGCGCTCACAAAGACTACAAATGAGAAGTATCCAAGGAACTACAGACCGCAAATGACCTTAAGTACAGGCTTATTACCGCATATAATATTGTTTCCTGAAACCAAAGGAATTAGGTGAGGGAAACAGCCCCGTACAACCGGCAACGCAATCGTACAAATGCAATACTCCGTTATACTGCATTTCCGATATAGTGGATGGCTCCACCGCGCTTAAGTTGCTTTTAACCTCCTCATGTGTTTCTCGCCAAGAGAAGCGATATTGTGTGCCAAATGATTGCGAACCTAAGTACATACAGAATTTCCGGTATCTAAGCTCCTATCAGATTTACTACTGTATTAAATAAATGGGGGTATAACAACTTAGAGGCGGGGCTGGAGGGTGGACAGTTTAGTACTGTGCATGTGTGCGTTCCAATCGATTAGTTGACGCACGACTAACAGAGACCACAGCAGCTCGAGTAGCAGCTGACTGAGCAAAATCAACACCCTTGTGATGTAAGTGGTCTACGTCTTTGCTGTCCATTAGTGGCGTCATGCACCGGAAAGTCGCCCAATTGCAGGCTGGCCGCAAGCCCTGACTTCTCTCTCTCCCGGTACACCTTTTACTTTTCCAGCGCCCGCCATATCAGGCGCCTACATTGACATATGTGATTGTGTGCGATATAGGACCCGTGGCCACTAGCCTGGCAGTCTCTACCTTCCCCGACGTTTCGGGGCACCCTCATCCCTCTCAGCCATGCCGACTTCTCCAAAGTCAAAAGCTTGTTAGGGTTCAGCACCCACCAGTAGCGCCCAGTGGAATCTGCCGGATCAACGGGGGCGACAACCCAGCTTGCATTCCTGGTCGATTCGCTGTCGAAACTAAAACCGGGTCCATCACAATCCATGGACATGGGAGCGCATTAACCCTCAACATATCGGCTGTGTCCGGAGTATAAGTGCCATCCAGGCTTGTTTGGTTCCCCACTCTGCTGACATGCTGAAGATCGTGTGGGATGTAATGCCCCTACCTCCGCTGCGGCTGTCAAACCCAAGCAAATAACCAGTTATTCTGGTCTCCTGATTCCTCCTAAGATCTGGATGTCCGAGTCCTCCCAAGAGTTGGGCAGGTGCTGGCTTACCCGGCCACTTTTCCTTAGCCGCTGCCACCAGCATATGCGGGTCTGTGGAGTTATCAGGATATAAGGATACCACACACTAACCTTGCTAACGATTATGTCACGCTACAGTTCACTAAACGAATGGTCCTTGTAATTCTAGCGCCCTACCAGTGAGGACTCACGGCCAAAACAATGGACGCTACGTGATGACATGACTCCACCTGTTTACTGGAGTCATAACACGCATAGTTCGTTTGGATGGCCCAATGTTCTGCTTTGGAGCCACGTGCATGCGCTAGCCACACAGGCTTCTCCGAAATTGGCAACTATTCACCCGCGCTGCTGAAGCCAAGTGGGACCCTACGTCGGTTTGAAACGTGGGCTAAGCTAGATTAAAATTGCCATGGCATTCATAGTACAACCGAAAAGGATGGAGTGGAAGGGACAGTGGCTAACGTCCGTTTCGGGGCTATGTAGCAAAGATGACTTTAGCTGCGCACCCTCGTGACAGGTCCAAGTGTGCCGTATCAGGCGCTTGAATATGTAATTATCATATTTTGAAAGGACAGCGCTCGCAGCTGCCTTGGCGCACGCCTACAGCATCACTGTGCAAGTAGTTTTGGGGCATGGAAGGAAATCGAGCCCCGACGCCTGAAACCTTTAAGCAAAAACGCGATGAACTCGTGAAATGGCTCTTTTACACAGGTGAGAAGACGCTCTTCAAGGAAAGGTGAATCACAAAATCTCTGCTTTCCATGGTACCACCAGTCTCCGTGTATGAACGTTTTATAATTAAGAAAACTTTTAAGCGGAAAGGAAGTAATGATTTCCCATAGGCGTCCAAAATAACGGACACATTCATGGGCCAGCGACACGATGCAACGTAAACAAAACAAAGTAACTTAAAACAATTACGATAGCAGCCTTATAAAACATAAAACAAATGCTGCATTTCGGTTGTTCACTTCACGCAATCACCAACCTTCAGAACCGCAGTTGTACGGCGGAGATCGCCATCTCTCGCGCGTCTAAAATAGCCGTCCCATTCCCAGAAGAAGCATACTTGCCATTTTCTTTGCGAGTATCAGTACTTATTGCAGCCATGGCCCTCGCCGTCCGCGCTAACGCCGCCACTGTGCGCCCTGCCAAGGTCAGGAGGCGTGTTCTCCCATAGCTTTTTGCGCGACATGCTGTTGTAGCCTGTATAGATGGTCGCTGTAGATTTTCCTAGCAAAGAAGCGTTTATTCGCTCTCTGCTTCCTGGCCTCTTGGACACCTGATTGCTCAGCTGCCTGAATGGCCAACTTATGTGTGCGCAGGCAAATCTGGTAACTGTATCTGATTAGGTGTCTTGAACGATTGTGTTGGACAGTATTTTAGAGGCCAATAGCTGATATTCTCAGTGCACTCAACTGCTTTCTGTGCAGGCTACCCGCCGCAGCGCCGTTGTGGTGCGCGCTGATGGTGGCTTCATTGGTTCTAGCACCAACCTGGTGAGTTGAGCCCTGCGGCAGGTGCTGGCCTGAGCTCATGTGTTCATCCCTTGAGCGATGGAGTCTCACAAATCCAATCTCAAGTTAGGACAAAATGTTTACTTTAGTGTCTACACTTCTAGTCTTTTTTTCCGGTCCATTTCCACGTCATAGCTTGACTTGTTAGCACTTCGTCAGCCCGATCTTCTTAGGCTATCGTGCCCTTGTAAACTCAACCCCTACAGATCATGGTGGCGTCGACTGGCGCGTGCCTGGCTGCTGCTCGCTTCGGCCTGGCTCCGTCGGTCAAGAAGCAGGCGACCGCTGGCCTGAAGCTGGTGGAGGGCAAGAACGCCGCTGGCGTTCTGTCCAACGACCCCGCTGGTCAGTAGACTCCTCCTCGGTCCCTTTAAAATGTACTTAATGCAGTGGTCCACACATCTAGTGATGACATGGGCTTTCTTTTGTTGCGCGTCTTTGCCTACTGCGGCTCTCGTTGCATATTTCTGACATTAATTTCTCACTGTGGCTTTTTCCCTCGCTTTCCCTTGCAGGCTTCACCGTCGTTGACGTTCTGGCAATGGGCTCTGCTGGCCATGCCATTGGTGCTGGCATTGTCCTGGGCCTGAAGGGCATTGGCGCTCTCTGAACATGAGGAGAGCTGCCTGCGCATTTTCGGTTCCGTCGGCCTTTGCTCGGCCGGGTTTTAGCATGCTTCCTTGTCGGCGATTTTGCCATGTACACTATCTGGTGCATCTAACTAGTCTTTAGAGTAAGTGGTGCTGTGGACGGGCTAAACGACCAGTGGTGCCCCTGCTGCACCTCCGTCTCTGGAGCGGGTTGCCCAGGAGAGAAGAGAGCATATGTTGACTTCGACACACGTCTTGACGTGGTCTTTTTGTAAAAACATTGGCTGTTCCACCGTATGTCCTCGTCAAAAGTGCAACGGATCTGGATACTGCGGCAAGACTGTCCTGGTTAGCAATGTCTACAGAGTGTGATACCTCGATGCCAGCGGGAAACGTGTCTTTACATATAGATGACCCGGGCAAATGTATATTTAATCATTTATATAATGGTGTATTGGGTCCGGCAGCACTAGAAACTCCTAACCAACTCGAGATGGTTAAACCATTCCTAAGACATACAAGTTCTAGCTAGTTTTATCTCGAAGATCTGGCATGTTACGCTCAGGTGCGTCGAGCCGCCACAGTAATGACATTGACCGCCCATAGACCACCCGGCATTTTCAGACGGCCCTCGCACTTGGGCGAATTATTTATCATACCCACACCGTTATACACAAAAGTCATTACAAGAGGAAATAATTATAAGTGTAACTTGAAAAAAAATGGAAAAGTTCCTCGTTTAGAACATGATTACTGAGAAATCCGATTGCGTCAAACGCCACAATATGCTAAAACGACCCGAGCTCATCTTATTACGCGCACGCTGCCCAATCGCAAAGTCAGGATACAGCCTGGCCGGGCTTAATCCTTTACAGTGTACACGGGTAAGGCCCTCTACTTCACGATCTGGCGAACCAGAGCTCTTCAGGTGCTTGGACACCACCCTCTGCGCAGCAGCCGCAGCAGCATGTGTATCACAAAGCAATGCCTAGCGAACTCCCGTGAAAAACGCCATCACCATGCGCGCCACGTGCAAGACACCCAAACTAGTCCTAGAAACCACGTTGTGACCTTATCATGTTGCCGTACTAACCGTGCAATTACACACCTCTGGTTGTCCGCTCTGCTCAGCGTTCCTAAATGCCAATGCGATGCAGAGTGCTACGGGTGTCAGAAGACCAAGAGCAAGGGGGAAACCAGGGCCGGAGGCGATGCTCAAACTACAGAGCTGCCTGTAATAATGGCTCACGTCTGCCTGCTCTCTCATCTGTATCCTGAAGACCTGTCAAGGAAGCTTGAAAGGACCCTCTAGTCAAATCTCAAATGCTCTCAAAGTATACATGCGCGCAGCATATCATGTAAATCCAGTGCCCGCAGTCAATATAAAACCCAGCTGTTAAATCCGTAGCGCAGTATCACTCTACAGTCCCCATACTACGAGTAATACATGCAACACAGTCGCACAAGGTTCCAATCACAATATTCCAAACAAGATCAACAACGAGGCAAATATCCAAGCCGAGAAAGTACAAAAACCCCAACAAAGGCAACAAACACCTAACCTCCTGGTCACGCTTCTTGCCCAACCTGCTGCTGGCTTCCTGCCCTCCTGCTTGCCTACCTTGCCGTTCTGCCCAACTATACCCCTAGCATCCGACGAGCAACCCGCCCCCGGATCCCCTCTGCCTGCCCATCCCAGCCATCCCCAGCTAGCCCCCCAGCTCCCCAGCGAGATGCCAAAATTGTTCACCCTTGCCGCCTCATCGGCGCCCTGCCTTGCCGCTGCACAGCGCCCCCGGGCCGGCACGCCCCTCCCACGCAGCTCGTACATGTCGTCCATGGCCGAGCGCGGCACAACGCCTTCATCCAGAGGTGCCCAGCGGGGTGTGTGTCGTCGTCGCAGCAGTTTAACCGCTCGCGCTCCTCAAACGGCTTCGGCACATAGTCATGGCCGTACGTCGTGATTGTGGGCACGTGGCTTGATGGCAGTAGCGGCCGCGACGCGCGCGGCGATCGCGACAGTAACGGCTTTCGATAAAACTCATCCCGGTACTCGGTTGCATCATCAAGACGGACCTTAGGGATTGGCAGAGGTGGATCAGCAGTCCAAGGTCGAACCTTCTTCTTCACATAGTCGGTATCGTATGTGCTGGCGCCGACGAAGGGCGCGGTCATGTTTGGATACACCGGCTGGGGGGGTTGTTCAAGGTCTGCGCGCTTTGCAGGGAACTGGACATTGTAGGTCGTTCTATCATCCAAAGGACTGTACGGAATTGGCACGTCGGCTGGACGTGCAGATGCTGATCGGCCTTTTTTAGGGGTGTAGTCTGCGCGCTGCGTGGTAACCCCGTAGAAGGGCATGCTGTCCATGGGCGGAGGCCCTGTGGGAGTGTATAACGGCAGGAGGTGCACAGGGGGATGGAGGGGTTAAAAGCGCGAGTCTAGGGAGGTCTGGTCCCTGGCCCCGGACTGCATGGAGGTTTGGATTTTGGAGGTTTGGTCGCGTTGAGCCGGGCATGTTGCTCCTAAGGGATTGGGATGTAGCTCCCGGCGATTCCGGGCATCTCTGCAGATCGCAAGTGGATGGAAAGAAGCAGCTGCCGTGACCCTTGTGCGGCGCTAACCGACTGGCCGACATGCCCCAGGCAGGCGTGCTGTGCATTTCCCTTCTCCGTCTCGAGTCTTGTTAACCCTCAATGCCACAGCTCGCTCACCTGGAACCCGCTTCTCGACATCGGAATGCTTTGGCGGGTAGTCCCGCTTGTATTGCGTGTTCAACTGCGAAGCAATACGTTTATTGTGGTGGATGGTGTCAGCAAAGCAGCTAGTCCTAGCTGCAAGATGTTACGGTCACATGCGTGACGACAGAAAGTTGACGAAACGGCGGATACACACGTGCCATATCGTCACCTACCGCATCGTCCGTCCACTTCGAAGCTCTATGTACGCGACACTTCGCGACATTGCATATATGACACCAATTAGGGCAGCAATCGCAGGATCCAGCTAGGCTGCACGCCTGGCAACCATGAGTCTTTCGTGTTGAGCGCGCCCGCGACTGCAGGACAACAGGCGAAGCTTGGGTTTTCAAGATGAGGGCTGCTGAAGCACAAAGGGCGACAGCACAAGTATTAAATCATGTCTCATAGCGTAAGAACTCAGGGTGCAGCCTAAGAAGATACGTGTTCCACCACCCTGCATTTCGCTCTGCTATAAGGCGTTCTACAGGCATTCGATGATCGATAATTGTAAAGACCTACCCCGGTCGATTTACGCATCTTGAATAACAAGGCTAATACCTCAAGGCGCCTCGCTATCGAGGCTGGAATAAACGACAAAATAGGATATGAAGAACAGAAATGAGCCAGCCACTATAAAAGTTAAGTTCTAAGTTACTGAGAAGTTCTGAGTGTTAGAGGCAAGCTTAGTACACCAGCTCGGAATGTCGTGATGCACCGAAACCACGGCTGCCAACGGGCGGGCGCTAGAGGTAGTTCACCAAGTAAAACTCCTAGTATCAAAACTACAACATCCAAAATAGCCTGTATTGATGCAGTTGTAAAACGCTTCTTAATTTTAGCATGGACATGGCGCGACCTTTAAAGTTCAAATATCAACGGTGTGCATACACAGGCCACAGTCACACTAATTAAAGCAACGAATCTGGCTTTGTAGGTGCACCTCTGGATGGCAGCAACAAGGCTGGTGCTTGCACTCTAGCCATGTCTACCTACATTAACGTAACTGGAAAGTGTGGCGGAACCCCATTTACATTCCCCTTTACCGTATGGTTTCTTGTAACATAGCATGCACATCTGTAATAGCCAAAACGCAAGAGTGCAGAAACTATGTATGAGTTACAAGTTACAAGTTCCACAAAAGTGCGGGATGCATCCGTTGGTCAATCACGGTCAATTGTCTTTCATGGTGTTGTCGTCCTCCCACGCTCGCCTTGGCTCGACGCGCCTGAGTGCGACATGCCTGGCAGACCTCCAAGAGAAAACTCGCCACAGCTAGGGGGGGCTTCAGACATAATAGGACGCACAGTAGCATAGAATGAGCAGTTACGGTGTCACACGCAACATAGGTTGAATAGCGCCCCCAGCTAGTGTTATAGCCATGAGGAGGTTGAGATAACACAGTTCTGCTTGTGACGAGGCTAATAAACCTGATTGCGTCCTCACAACAAAAACCCTAATTTAAATCAGCAAACATCCTTGAGCGACACGGTAACGGTGAGCAAGTGCTTGTCATGCAGGCCACTGCTCCACAGGTATCCAAAGTCCCCAACAGCCCCAAACGGTAAAGTCAAAACTGCATGATTAAAAGTCCGAAACCAGCAGCCTCTCTTCGTCAAAGTCCTCATCCTCCCACTCATCCCCCCCATACTCTTCCAGCGCTCCTAACCATCTGCCCTTGAAGCCATCCTTTTCCCCCCGCTCCAGCTCGGCCCCATCTCGTCGCTCCTCTCCCGACCCATCTTCCCACTCCTGCTCCTCCAACCCCGAACCCAGCCCGAACCCCCCAGCCCCCTCCCCACGCTGCCGTGCCGCGCCCTCCGCCCACCATCGGCTGTACCGGGGGCAACGCCGAACAAACTTCACCCTACTCTCGTACACCAACATCCTCACGGACGCATCACTGCGCTCCCCCGTCAGCACCAAATATTCAAACCGGTCTATAACCTCCTCACTGACAGTCAATATCCGCGACACCAAGGACAGCAGCTCCGAATCCAATTCCCGGCCTAGGGCACCCGCCGCCGGTGGCACCGCCGCCGCGGCGGCCGCTGCTGCAGCTGCTGCCGGAGCCTCCGGTGTCGCCACAGCTACCTTACTGCGCCGGCCCGGGCCGTTTTCGCCCTGCACTGCAACCGCAGGCGGATGGATGGTTGCCCCCAGGCAGGCCGCCAGCTCCACACCCCAGGTTGCGGCTCTCCTTAACGAGTAGAGCCGCAACCGAAAGATGTTCTCGCGGCATTGGGAGGGGTCCCGAAGCAACACACAGGGGTCGTGTAACGCCAACTGGGCGACCTGCACAGGCCAAACCCCACCAGCCGCCACGCGTGCGGGTTAGGTCATCGGGTCGGGTAAGGAGGGGGGCCGCGGACGGTTGGGCCCGCAATGCAGTGGAGTTTAAGGCAAGCGTCCTGCTCTCTCTCCCTCCTGCAGAAGGATAGAGCGCAGAAAGAAGAGCGCTCCACACTTCGCTTCGCAATGCAGTCACAGTCCGCAGTTACATTACAGATCACAATTCATTGTGCGCTCGTTTGAGTGACCTGGCTCTTGCGGCGTGTTGTCTCCTCCCGACTAGATAAGTCGACCACATCCAGACCACCGCAGATATCAACACAGAACAAAAGAAGTCAGCCCGCCGACGCAACCCAGCCCCAACCTCCCGGGGGAGTTCCGCAGCACAAGGCCCGATGTGATCTGGACACGTGCCTGATCTGACCTGGTCTGATCTAATTGGGCCGACATGAGAATGCACTCACCCACCCACGCAATCAGCCCGCCAACCAGTCCTGCCTTGACTTCCGAACAGCGCCCCCCCCCACACACACACCTGCTCCGAACTCCAACTCAGCGCCACGGACAGCTCCTGCAGCCGCCTCCGAACCTCCCCGAGCTCCAGGTCCAGGACCCCCGGGGCGTCCTCAAGCAGGCGAGCCAGGGGCCGTGCGGGGGCACAGCTGGGTGGCGTAGCAGCGGCGACAGCCGCCGCTAACGGGCCCGCGACCCGTGGGTCGATCGCTGTCAGGAGCTGTACGGCGCGCGATGCCAAGTCCCGTGGGTCGCGATCCAGCAGTTCAGGGTGGCGCTGCACGCCCACGTAGGCTGTCTCCCGGCCGAACAGCGCCACGAGCTCCTGCCTCCGCGGGTTCCGGAGCCAGGTATCGGCACGGCCCCGGGGTGGGTAGGTGTAGGGATAGGCAGAGGGAGGTTAAGGAGTAGGTCACGCGATACGTCGGTACGTGAATAAGGCCGGTTGGTAAGTAACGGAGTGGCAGTCGCACGGCGCCGATTCGACTGCAGCAACAGCCGCGGCAACAGCAATAATGGAAAAACCACCGTACACCTCCACAGTGCCTTCCAAGTATAAACACCACCACCATCATCACCATCATCACCACCACCACCACCACCACCACCACCACCAACAACAACAACAACAACAACAACGACACTGCCACGTCCTCCCCGCAAGTCCTTCTACGGTTTTCGTCTCTCCAGGCACTAAGATGGCACTGAGATATTTGCCCAAGCCTAATACCTCTCCTCTTTCCCATTCGCCCTCCCTCCCTCCCGCCCTCGCCCCCCTGTCCCTCACCCTACCTGGAGTCGTAGCGACAGCTCCAGGGGGTCCACGTGACGGCGCTGGTGCACCAGTGCAGCCCGAGGTCGCTGAGGCGAGGATGATTGATGTCGAAGGTGCGGATGGGGGTGAGGGTGAGGATGAGAGTGAGGCTCAGTTCCTTGCCGATGATTATCTATCGCAGCCATCGGGGGACCCGGCAGCTGCGGTGACGCCTGATTCGACGGGTGCGGCGATGCCTGTGGCTGTAGCTGCGGCGCCACTGTGCGTGGCACCGCCAGCGGCGGTTGAGGCGGCGGCGGCGGCAGCAGGGTCGCTCCAGGGATCCGTAGCAGGTGGGCGAAGGCGCTGGGCGGAACCCTCGCGCCGCCAAACGCCCGGCCAAACACCTCATCGAGGTCCAGCAGGTTGGCGGCCGTGAGCGCGGGGTCGCGGTCCAGGAACGGCATCACCGTCATCAGCACGTGCGTGGTGTCGTACGATGGCAGTAGCGCTGCGAAACGCTGTGCGCGGTCCAGCAAGAGCTGGGGGTCGTGTGCCAGGAGGGTCCGAGGACTGGACGCCAGAAGCTGCCGCAGCCGCAGGCGCGGGAGGAGAGGATCTAGCAGCAACAACGTGCGGGCTCGGTTTCGTAGCAAGTCGGCGTCACATGGCAAGCGGCCCTGGCACCAGTCAGGGTGAGGTTGAAACGCATGAGGGCATTATGGGCAACGTTTGGGGGTGGGGGCGAAGGTGGTAGGTGAGAAGTGGCTGAGGTGTTAGGGAAATGACGGTAGTGCAGGTAGGCGTCCCGAGTCATGACTGTTAGGTAGGAGGGTAGGCGTGAGGAGGTTCAGGTAGGGCAGAACAAGAATTGAAGATCTGGTACTGACGTCACCAGTATGACTAAACACACCACCACTAAACACACCAGGTTGGCGAGCATCAAAGTAGCCTTACCTTAGCGACATCGTCTAAGACAGAAGTGGCTGCCTCCTTCCCTATCTGCAGTTCTTCCCTGTAACGCAGCCAGAGCGTCTCAAACTGCCGCAAGGATGCAATGGATGGGCGTGCCGGGCGACGTTGCAGAGTCTCACGGACCGGACTCGGCCGTCCTTTCACATTGGGAGAGGTCTTTCGTCTCTTAGCCTTATGTCCCTGTTTGCCTGTCGCGGCACGTGTGCCTACATCCGGGGGCACCGAAGCCGAGGCTTGGCTCACAGGCATTTTTAGCCGGCGTTGGCATTGGAAACTAAACGTTTTATGATGCGGAAACATTTGGGCTGGAAGGAGGTTTGGACGCATCGCTCGGTCCCTCAGAGCTAGAGCATTTGAAGGCGTGCAAGACTCCCTAGAGCCACACTCGTAAGCCTTTTAATCCCTTGGCTCGCATTCTCGCTCATCATACAACACAGAGCATGTTCGCATCTTGTCAATGGGAGTATTCGGTTGTGAACGTTAGACGGTTTGCAGGCTTCGACCGCAACGCCGCATTAGGCTTGCCGCGCACAGAAGCCACAATAATGGGCATATAATTCGATTCTTCCAAAAAGGGGCAGTTTACGTGGAGCTCGCGTAAGGTGCTAAAACTTTTTGTAGCAACGATTACAATATTGCGCATTATCGTAGCTCATGATGCTAGTTACACAAACACGAGAATGATAAGGAACCATGTATTTGAAAAACAAGGGGAAAATCAGGAAAAAGCTCGAAAGAGCTGTCCCCACAAAGCCAACAGTCGGCAATCCCCACCTCTCACACGCGGCCATGCTACCAGAAGGTACCCACGTAATCAACAACCAACAATTGTAAGACTTACATATTTCAACAGGAACGAATCCAAGACGTCATCAATCACTACAACGACAGCCCCCACCAGTCCAACAGCACGAGAACTCCGCATCTCCGAGAGTTCCGCAACTGAAGACGCCGGAGTGGAGTGGTAACCTCGTCATGTTTTGGAACCGGCAAAATCGTGCCCATCTCCCTGTCGGTACGGCAGGATCGCCACGTGCCCAAGGAGATAGTTGTACGGTTGCCTTATACCACATCCGAGGCAGCACGACTGCGCAACCAGGAATACAACCCGTTTCGCCCTTCTCGACGGCGCACATCAGTCCAATACCGCATGGAAAGGAGTTGTTAAGAGCCCGCTGAGCTATCGGATATGTAATCCGTACCATGCGGCGCCACAAAAGGAAAATACCGCTAATAACAAATTATCACTAAGATCCTTAACCATTATAGCCATTTCGTTGCTAAAAGCGGAAGGAGGATATAAACCTTGTTTGTAACCAAAAGAAGGAAAGGCCAAAACAAACGCATGGAGAGTACAAATCTTCCACAGTTGCTTGTGCTTCACCCTCCAATATTTTCTACCACGTTTAAAGCCAAGGAAAGCACAACACCAAACCTGGACTCTAAATTCAACGTCGCCGTCCGTCGACGTGACCGCACGCGGATATACGCCCTCGCACAACCCTCGTATAGCCGTCCTACCGAAGTGCAACAGCAGCACAGTCCGCAGGGCAAAAATGTGGTACCCCAGTCACCGTCCTCCATACTCTCCTTGAATGTCAGGTTGCATGGCTACACAGCCGATACCATCAGATAAGAATCAGCCCCTTGCCCGGCGCAAGACACGACGCGGGCTGCTGCCCCTGCCGTCCCAAATTCTTACGTTCACGCCGCCTGTGCCATCGACGGTACAACATAGCCCCGGAACCCTCAGTACGGCAACGTCATAGAAACACTCTGCTCAAAGTGCCCTTATAGCCTCACATCCCTCACAAGGGTACAAATCCCAATGAGTATGAAATGTCATGAACCTAAGCAACCAAAGCCCATCCCTCACGGGGCTCATGGATATTCGGTGGGACGTGCCACAACGACGTGGTCGTCAGAACAGCATCAACCACGCCTCAACATCAGAAAACACTCCTCACCGTGCGGCCCGGGTCGGAAAGCGGCAGGCGGTCCCGACGGCAGGCGGCTGCCGGCAAGGACAAGGAAAACTACTATCCACTTGCAAACACCATCACCGAGATCGACATCCCTGCTATCTTACTCTCAAACCGTTCCATACGACAAGCTGATGCAACGGGCAACGGTAAACCATAAGCGAGGCAACAAATCGTACTTAAGCTGTGCAGACCACGGGAGGAAAGGCCGCTCAAGCGGCCACAATCCGCGGACAGATGTACGAACGCATACAAGTTCATATCTAAGTTTTATATGAAACACACGGACACACACACAGACGCATACATACGGACGAACATACAAGCGAGCATACGTATAAACGCGCGTTATAGACATACGCTACCATGTGCAGCTGGCAGCAGCCGGGGCTATGGCCCTTATTGCAAGCGCAGACGCAGCTCATATAGCTAACTTAACAGTACCAGCCACGCAGGGGTATTAAGCGACGGCGTAAGGCAGGTGAAACAACGCCTGTGCGCATTATACCCTGATCAGCACCGCAGGTGGCGTCGTGACATATCCACGACGCCCATGGCATTGCAGCACGCTTAATTTATAATCCATGACTAAGCGAAAACGGTGGCCATGCGCCCGCTCGCTCTAGGACGGCGTCGTCGCCCCTGGCTTTAAAAAGGCATCTTCAAGGCGGCAAGGAAAAGCAACCAAACTCTTTCTGAGGGTCATGCAACATAATGAAGAGCATAGCATAGCGAAGTTGTTACATGGAAAGAAACGTAGCTAACGCTGGTATTCGGAGTTGCGGCCCGCAGCTTCCAGGCTACCAAATGCGCGAACGCCATAATAAAGGTACGTCGACATCGTGAGAAACGAAAATGGGTTCGTTGGGGAGCTCGAGGTGATCCAGGCATATTAATATGAGTTGGCCAACGCGGATTTCCAAATATGCTGAAGATTGAGAAGAAGGGGGCATAGGGATCGTTGGCTCAAGCGGCGTCTCGCTTCCGCATGCAGATGCGCCAACATTGCGCGTCCGTCCGGTTCTTGGTTCCACCGTAGGTGCATACTTAATTACTCCTGTCCTGGTGGCTCCGGCGCGGGCGAGACAAGTTCCCGACGGCATACTTGACTGGGCTTGCAGTACCTGTCAGTACCTGTCTTCGGTCTTTGGTGCTGTTCCTACGTTGTTGCGCTCTTGCTGCTCTTGCTGGCTGCTTTGACTGTCTTTCTGTTGCAGCTGTTGCATGTGCTGATGCAGCTGCTGCTGCCGTCGCAGAACAACGCGGGCCCTGCTGCGCAGCACAGCGCCAACGGCCCAGCCAAGCGCCTGCATCCATATCGCTTGTACGACCGCCCGCTGCCGCCGGCTCGTCGCGCCGTACTTGTACAGCAACCGGCTGCCGGTAACAGCTTCAGCGAGGCGCAGGAAGACGTTGAGCCCGCAAGGAGCCTGCAAACACGCACGTCACATAAACAAGAACAATACAAGGATTTGCTGCTCCCCGGCGAGCTAGCTCGCGCGCTCATAGCAATCAGCATTGTTACCTCCTTCCTGTTCCTGCTCCTGCATGCTGTCCTGGTTTGGGCCGAGTCCAGAACTCAATACGGAGGCGCCTCTGGCCAGAATGGGACATACCGTCCGTTCGTCCGTCCGTCTGTCTGCATGGCTTGCTGACTGCCTTGGTCTGCCTTCCTATATGTCTTTGTGTTGGTGTCTACCTTCCAAGATTGAAACCAGGTTGCCTCCTGTCCGCCTGGCCACCAACCTGTCTGTCTGTCTATCTGTCGACACAGGTCAAGTCGACACACCAGGCCATCCCCACAGCCACAACATGCTCTCTTCGGCTCCCTCCCTCACCAACCTGATAGCAGCAGGAGGTTACCAGTACGAACAACACATAAGCCAGCGTCATCTGGGGGCCGTACGCGCTCATTTCAGAGGGCGGCAGCAGCGACCCCTCCCCCCCTTGGTAAATGCACCGCATCGCCGCGGCCGCCGCACAGCACAGCCAGTGCCATCTCAGCCCTAGCGGCGACGCCATCACAGCAGCCAGCACCGCCTCCAATACCGTCCACCACAGACGACCCGCGACGCAGCGCCCCGCCAAGCGGGATGCATGTAGCCAGCTCCAAGCTGCGATGGGCGATGATGCTGCTGCCGCAGCCGCGGCCGCGGCCGCCGCCATGGGGCATGTGGCCTGGAAGGATCCAAGGAGCGCCTGCGAGATGGGATCCCCCAGAAAACACGAGGAGGGGCTAGTGTGTTTAATGTCACATGGGGCCATCAGGACGTTACAGCCATAATCACCATATCACGACAGTTATAGCAGGGAAAGCGGTAGCCGACGCGAGGCGGGTGGCCGGCCCGCCCCACGCACTTGGTGGTGCCTTATCCAACCCGGTTCGCAGCCCGCCGCACCAGGACTGCACATCACCAACTCAACTCAACTCAACTCAACTCGCCCTCTCCGCCCCGCCCGGTAGCCAGCCAAACCGATCACTGTACCTTAAGTTGAGCCAGCAACTGGTAAACGACGATAACCACCTGGAAGGCCACCATCTGCGTGCACGTGCCCTGTGCCACGAACCTGGGGGAGGTTTCGTCACGAGGGAGTTTTTGGGGTGCACCGGTGTTGGGTGTCCGGGGGTTGAGAGCAGGATGGCGGCGAGGACTGCTTAAAGGACATAAACTGGGTGTGGTGGCGGGTAAGGCGGACCACTGGCGAATGAAGCAGATACCAGAGTTAGATGTGATGGTGGTGGATTAATGCCTCGGCCTCCTACGCAGAGGCCCCTTGGTGACGGGAGCGGCCTGCTCGGCTGGGTCACTTGGTTGGTACAGGGTCGCCCTGGTGAGACATCCCATAGGGAGGGTCCCCTCGCCTATGCTCTCCACACATAACAGGCACAATATATATACACACACGCGCGCTTCCTGCTCGCAGCTCGCAAGGTAATTATAACACACACGTGCGAAAGTAAGGATAGCATGATGACGGAGCGTATGCTTTGCCGCCCTGTCCTGTTCCTGTCCTGTTTTCCTTCGTTTCCCTAAGCTCTCCACGATGCCTTACATGTCGAGGTCCATAGCCAGGGGTCCAGCTCCGGTGTCCAGTCCTGCAGCGCCCTTGCCCCCCGATACTGCGGGCGACGTCATAGCCTTGCTTATTCCAGCCTGAAGTGCGGCCTGCCCGCACGAAGCTTCTGGTGAGGAGCTCTCCGAGGAAAAGGATGAGGCGACTACGACGGCTGCAGTGGCTGCGCAGTAGGGCGGCTCAGACGCAGCCGCAAATGGCTGCGTTGCTGGCGAAGCTGGTGGTAATGGTGGGTGCGAGCCCCCTCGGTGCATTCCTGCTGTGGCCCCTCTACGTCGCGGCACCCGCAGAGGCCGGCGCCGCTCCAAAAGGCACTCGCCCCACTGCCGCCACACCGCCATGCAGCACTGACCCACTGCCGCCAGCGCCGTCGCTGCTGGCGCGACCGCTGTCCGTACATCGGCCTCCAATACAACGGCCCATAGCCCCGCCGCCACTGCCATCGACCTGCCGCTGGCACCATTCATGCGGACGCGCCACGCCACCAGCGCCTGAGGATGGTTTCGGAGAATGTACGACAGCAGGGCTCCTGATGGCGACGTCGCCACCGCCAGAGCCAGCGGTGTCAGTACTGCAGGCGAGCCCGGGATCCGCATAGGCTGCAGCCAGGGCTCCGGCAAGCTGGCCGCAGCGTACCAGGACAGCACCAGATCCGCCTGCAGGGCAACACAGGGTCCCAGTCCGATGTGCGACTGCAATTCCCATACGAGAACTTGAGAGCTATACAAGGACGCAACAAGCCAAGAGGGTCGGGTGGCTTTCCCAGGAACGCGAGAGCACACACCACGGGTAGCATACATCCCAGCGACTACACGCAGCTTTGTGTGTTAAAACAGCAACGCCTCGCTAGGCATTTCATTTTGCTGGGGTGGGATCTGACTGTCAAGATTTTTAGCTCTAAACTCGTCAATATCCCACTTGCTACTGCACCTCCCGGCGGATGAGGGAGGAGGCAGCGGACATGCAACAAACGACGCAGCGACCTTGGCTGTTTACAACCCACCACCCGCGGTTCTCCAGAGGCTGCGGCCGCGTGCAACAGGGGCCAGCTGCCCTGCGAATATCCTGCGCAGTGCAGCAACACCTCCTCCGCTCCGAAACCAAGACGCTCCAAGGACGCCCAGATAAGCTCCGCCAGTGTGCAGCAGCCGTGCTGCAGTGAGTTTAATGGGGAAGGGAAACGGGGCGTGTCAAGGGCGTATAGCTTCCGGGCGGGGGGTTAAAAGGGGAAGACGATATTATAACACACCTAACAGCAAGGCAAGGGTGCAGGTCGGTCACCTAGGCTACAATAACTGCTCAAACGGACTGGAAGATTCAGGAGGGCGCGACGGACCCACTGGATGCGCGATATCTGCAGGCCTCTTGCAATCGACCTGTCTTGGCGCGATCTACCTATACCAGGTTTCCCCACTGCCAAACGAGGCAGGCGCGCATGTCACCGTTCGCTTACTCTCAACACCAAAGATAGCAGGCCTGTGCCCAGGTCCAGTAGCAGCACCAGCTGGCAGCCGACCCGCGAGCCGCCGCCGCCATGCACAGCAGTTGCCGCAACGGCTATAACGGACGCCGTGTGTGCACCGCAGCCGGCCTCTACCGACGACGCGGCTGCGGCGGCAGCCGCAGCAGCGGGCGCCAATCCCACGTGCGCTTTCCCTTTCGCCTCCGGCGCAGGCGCCGATGGCACCGAAAGCCGCTCAGCCCTAGGAATGCCTTCCAATGCATCGGAAAGAAAGAGACCCAGATCCACAGTGATGTGTTGGGCCACATTGGGGGGTTGCAAGCTCAGAAGCTCCTCCAGCTGTCGTGTCCAGCGTCGTCCTGAGGTCACATCGCCGTCGCCGCCGTCGCAACCGTGACCGCCGCCGACGGCACTGCAGACAGATGGCTGTGTTTGAGGTACGAGCAGCACTATACGTGCCATCAGGAGCTCCTGGCCATGCCACGCCGTCAGGTCCACAAGGAACGGCGGCGCGGCGCCAGCATGTCTGTCACCACCGCCGATCCGTCCAGGCCCCTGCTGCTGTGGCAAGGCGACGGTCGTCGGCCCTGCCTCTGCTGGCACGGACTCGTCCCACACCGTCAGTGCCCATATCCGACTCCGCCCGCCAGCTGCATTCCCTCTTTTGTACGACCCAGGTCCGGATCCAGATTCCATCCGGAATTCCGGTTCCTGTGACCAACGGGTCATGGCACCGGCGACGCTTTGATGTGTCAGCACCTGGCATACTTTGAGCTCCTTGCAGGGAACGCCGAGCGACTGGGCACGGAACACGACATCACAGTCGCCCCATGGGTCGCCTGTTGTCACTTCGTTACCGCAGTCACCACACGCGCCTGGCTCCACAGCTCCGGCGCCAGCGCTCCCGTGCAGCGGCGAAGACGACGTAACCGCGTCTGCCCGGACATGAGTATCATAGCGCTGGGCGCGGAAGGAGCTGGCAATGAGACCGCCACCACTACCATCACCATCACAAGTTGATGCGGCGGCGCCGATGGTGTTGCCCAGCTCCAGTGTGCCAAGCACCACATACGGCGTCCAGATGACCCATTCCTTTGAAGCGCCTCGCGCATCGAAGCCCAGGTCCGCCTGCGTGACTACATCCGTCCCAACAGCACCAGCGTCACCGCTGCTGTTGCTGCTACCAGGTGCATTCGATGCACCCGGGGCAGTCGGGCTCCGCTGCTTACTGTTAATGGGGCCCCCAAGATCATCAATGCCATGGCGGTGGAGGTCCTGGGCGTGTTGCTGGCTGCATGGTGGCAGCTGTGGTGCTTTCGCCGCCATTGCCGCACCGGCAGTACCCTTGGCCATAACACCGGGCGCCAAGGCTGCCGGCCTTGAGCCGCCATCGCCGAGCGGCTCCTTCAGCCAGCTACCATCAGCCTGGCAAACATACCTGGCACGGTGTCTGCGGCCATCGTCCGTAATCACCTGCTAGGACAGACGTGGCGGCGGCTGCGGTGGTGAACTTTGTTGGCCGGTAATCACAGCGAGCTGGAAACGCATCACAGAGCACACGTCTTCTCGTAGGGAACCTCTGGGTCAACATGCCTCGCCTTCTCTCAATACATTGCCTAAAATTACGCAGGGGCCGTACGCGTCCAAGCAGCCCCGACGAACTCTGGCCTCATGCGTCCCATGCGCATCACAGACCTGTACCCGTCTCCAGCGCCGTGGAAACACCCGCCACAAAGACCCTCGTAATTGTGCCGACACAATTCCCCCCAAGCCGCACATACCTGTACGGTAAAAGAAAAGCCGGGGCCGATTTCCTGACGGCTGATCTTCAGCCCAGCCAGCAGCTCCTCAGGCGTGGCAAGGAGGCTCGGCTCCGTGAGTCCAACCCGTGCTGCAGGCAAAGCCCCGGTTCCAGCCTCCCAGACAATAGCCCCGTCCGCCGCTTGCTCTGCAGCTACTTCCGCACCCGCATCCGCATGGGCAGCCGTGTGATGGTCCCCCTGCAGGCTGGCGAGTGTGACGGAGATGCAGGTACTGCGGCGAACGGCCGTGCTCAGAAGGCACCATCCCCTACGAGGGCGGAGAACAGGACGTGAGGGGTCGTCAAGGAGGCCGAGATGGAAGCAGGAGGTTGCACTCGCGCTGCCCAAATCGACTTGGCTTCTTCACTGTTGCGAAGAGGTGAGTATGCGCAGGGACGTGGATGGTCCCAGTCACGGTCCCGGCCGGTCAGGGGCCCAACCAAGACCCCAACCCGGTTTGAGTTCGGGGTGAACCCAACCCAACCCAGCCCAGCCCATTCCATCCAGTTCATGGATTACGATCATCAATATTATGCGCCAAGTGCATGCACCCATGAATCCGACCAACAACATCCTCGAACTCCAGGGAACGCATTCCACGTCAGCTCCAAATCCGAACCCACGCATCTTCTCTCCTTCAATCGGGAAGAGCACCATCACCATTATTACTACTACTACCACTGCTCAATGGTATTTGGGGACAGTCCTTCCGCCTTACGGTCCACGATAGCCCTTGCCGCGCTCCTTAGCGCCATTCACTCACTGGCCTGCAAACTGCCGCTCCAGCTCCTTCCGCCATCCGGGGGAAAGCTCGCCGGGCTGCACACCCGCAACATGCAGCTGCACGTGGGCGCTCTGCGCCGCGCAGCTGTAGGACATCAGCCGGTGCTCCTGTACGAGACGTAGTGCCTCGGTCAAAGCGACCGCGCTGCTGGACGCCGAGGGGGTTGCGCAGCTTGGCCGTGCGGAGCTGCTGCTGTGGCGCAACGGTGACGGCAGCGACGGGCTGTTTGTAAGTGGGGCCAGTGGGCGCAGTTTACCATGGGATAAACGTTCTTGCAGGGAGGCAAGGAGCCAGATCGAGGGATTGCTGACTGACTCCCATATCCGAAAATCCGTCTGGGTTAAGGCAGGCGGCTTTCAGCGGCTTTACGTGCGTGTATGTGTGTGTATCTATGTTGGATGTTAGGTCACTTTTCTCCTGCAAAGGCTATTTAACCCAGTAGTTGAAGCGCGCCGGCACATTAGGGGGTTTCCCTGAATAAAATAATCAAGGGGCCGGACGCGCGGGTTTGGGTTGCCTAGCAAACATGATAGCGTGGAATTTTGCGTTATACCTAATTGACCCAAATGGTTCTTTATTATCCTAGCCACGTGCCAGCAAGTAGGGTCGGTTCAGGTTGAATTCGATTTGGGTCAATCTCGGTGATGACCCGAATTGCGTGAATTTGGACCCCAAATTCACCCACATGGACACTTCATCACTCACCCCTCCATAGCTGCGGCTGATTCCATGACGGGCTGTGAGCGCCCTTCGTTGTTGAGCGCAAGTCTCGATCCACCCCAGCTGCCGACGTACGACGACCCAGTTCCGGATCCAAGGATACCTGTAGGTGGATCCAAACTTTGGCACTGAACGTTGTGTTGCCGTCGCCCCGCCAGCGTCTCACGCGGGACCCGTCTTTGTCCTTCCTGCCTTGACTGATTCTGCTGCCGCTGCTGCTGCGTGCCCTGCCCAGCAATAGATAAGCCCCCGGCTGCTCTTGCCCATCTCGCGCTGTGACCCTCGTGTTCCGCCCCCGATTGCGGCTGCTGCTGACGCGCGTGGTCATTGCCCGGGGTCGCCTTCAACCGGTGCAGCAGCGCCGCTGCCTGCAGAGCCATCGCGAGACCAGCGCCTCCCGCGACCTGTAGGTTATGGTAGGGTGAATGCCCATGGGGCCGACTTATGAGCCAATGCCCACAGAACTGACGCCGCGTCGAGCAATATGGTCGGAATGGGAGATGCCATCCCCAGGTGCCGTGCCAGGTGGTCATCTTGCCGTGACAGGTGTGACTACTTCTGTAAGGAAGCGTGCATTGCTAGCAAGGAAAAGAAAGCAGGGTTATCGCTGTCCCGCAATCGACATCTGGGTCGCATGAATGGCAGAGCTGCTCGCACAGCTGCTAGTACGGAAACTGCCAGGGCCAAGCTCCGCGTTTACTCATCGACAGAATTAAACAAGGTGTCCCCATCCTCTGAGCCCGTCGTCTACCTAGACGTCCACGCACCATGCACCATATCGCCTTGGTGACGGTGCCGCTACCCAACGCAACGCTGAATGCAACGACGCTGAGCGGCACGAAGCAGCAGCACGCCGCCAACGCCAGCAGCGGAAGCCAGGACGAAAACGGCACGGGCTGCAGCAGCGCTTCAGCGTGTGTCCAAGGCTGCCGGCAAGCGGGCAGGTGTAGAGGCAAGGCTATGCCGCACACGCCGTATAGCCCAGCGTTGACTGGGACTGAGGACCATGGCCGGGAGCCGTTTGGCGGAAATAGCGCCTGGCAGAACCCAACAGCAAGGGGCCAACATGTACGCGAACTTGGTAGAACGACAAGGTCAAAGTATTGATCTGACGTAGAAAGGCGGGTAGGGCCTTGCCCCAAAACGACAGCCCCAACAAGTGGAAGCGTGGGGCTGACCAGAACAGGTTAGGGAGCGGAATTTGGCATTATGTAACTGAAGATTGGAAACAGGTCCACAAGCTCAGCTAGCGTCAAACGCACAGAAAGGACGGGAGCGACACCCTTCACTACTATTGATCTGCCTTATGCATGGCAACCGCTATGTCACTCCGTATACACAGTGTAGACGCATCAAGGGCTTTACTTCGTACTCATTTTTCCTGGGCTCACAGTCTCTGACCTGACGCAAGATGACCAAGTTGTTGAACAGCCGATCGCTCACTGCGCAATAAACCGAAAACATTTCAGGACGCCGGAAGAGGGTGCATGCCTCCGTTTGCAGGAATAAGCATGCACTTAAGACACCCCATTTTTAGCTAAGATGCTTGCACAAAATGGCGTTGCAAGCAGGGGGCGACTCCCTCCATACAAGCAAATAAATCAGTTAACTTTAAACTGGGAGGCATCATTCATTATGTCCAAAATCGTCGAGAAATTGCTTAACGGTATCATGCAATCGGCCCCACATGTAGGCGAAGTGTTGCATCCAGCATGGCAAGGCACCTCGCACCTCGTTACCGTATTTAGGTCCCGGAGCCATAAACCGCCATCCATATTCTGTGTATGCAGAGAATAGGATAGATAATAACGTGACATTATTAAATATATTTAAAGCTTCCAACAGGCTTCAGGCGACAAACTTTTTCGCGCCTTCGAACAAAAATGTCCGCGCAAGGGACCGCTCTGCAGAACCACAACAACGAGCTTGTAAAATGTACGTTGATTTGAAGGATATTTGACCAAACAACAACTGTCTGCGGAGATGCAGAACACCGCGGCACAGGTCATCATTGCGGTATAAATTTGCGCAGGCATCGAGGACCTGCGCGAGAAGCGTGAAGAGATAATCAAGCAACTTCGAGAGGATGACGCAGAGAAGGCTAAGATAACGCAGGACCTTCAGATTCTGACAAAGCGCTTGGCACAAGTCAACGACTCTATCGCCCGTAAGGTGCGTACCACGACCACGTCAGCTGGAGGTCTAAGACATATGTTTCTGGGGAGGTAACCTGCTTAGTTGTCGGTGGTTCCAACTGTACTGTTGACAATTCAATCAGCGCAATCTTTACATCCTTGGCCCGGCATCCATCTGTTACCCCGTTATGGTACATCTATATGCTTTAGCAGGCCGTTGGCCGTGTTGGTTCTAAGTACCGGAACGAGGGTCATAAGCATACTTGGGACGTACACAACGTGGCAGCTGGGGATGAAAGGCCTATGGCGACAGCACGGGGATGTCGGGAGCATCCCTGCACAGATGGTGCTTGCTTGGTTACAGTGTTCTCGCTTAAACTGTGACTGTGGGCTTTAATAAGTCCACCACGGTTTCTCCCTGGACAATATCACACTGGACAGTGTCAAAGTCGTCTCGACAATCTGTTAGAAACATGTTGGTAGCGGCTGAAAGGTGTGCCCGGCTGCCAGTATTTGCGCTCTTACACTTCACTGGGCTCTAATTTGGGCACTCCTCTCCGTCCTGTGAACTGTGTATTAGGACCCGCTGTTTGCAAGCGCAAAAAACAGCGGTGCACTTAACGGAACTGCATCTACCTTTGTACGTTAAAATGTTGCCCCTGTGTGCCGGCCATCCCTGTATGCCGGCGCCCTCTTCCCTGAGCTCCTGTGCCTTCCTGTGCCCCATATAATGGCTGATGCGTACAGACGGAAACCAAGAATGAGTACGACAAGGTCATTAGTGAGACGGAGGCAGCCTATCTTAAGATCCTTGAGAGCTCGCAGACATTGTTGACCGTCCTCAAGCGCGAGGCGGTGAACATTGCGAAGAAGAAGCAGGCGAGCTCGTGAGATGCAGTACGCCAGCTCAATGCATTACAGCGTATTAGACATAGGTTGTTCAGCATACACGCATGGACTGCGGAGCACTGAGAAGCGCGCGATACATGCGGTCAAGCCTGGGGCAATTGGCCTTCATTTTAGGCGATTCGGTTAGAGGATTCAATTCAAAGGAACAATGTCACCTTTCGCGATAATATGGGGGTAACGGTGGCAACGAACTCACGTGTGCAATCGTTACCTACGATACTTACTTACGACTTGCGTGTACGGCACTGGACTGGAATGGTAGCTAGTGTATTCTCGTATCTGTGTAGCTAGCGCATCCTTTTGCCTGTGCTAACGTTTTCTAAAGTTTTCATCTAGTGCAGGTGCACTGAGAGCGCTTGACCTGAGGGGGTATTAGCCACAGACAGCACGTAGCAGTGTTGGCTTAACGCTGCTGAAAAGCTTGCCATGACCATGCATAGCCCCTTGTAATGACTGGTAGGGCACGTTATGTTGCTATTCCAGGGCACAAGGTAGACCCTGGCCACTGCATGATCACATGGATGTTCGTGTGTTAACATTAGTAATGTAAAGTAAACGAGGAGAACACGTCTTCGTACACTTTTTGAGCTGAGTCGAATTAGCCCCGACGCTGCGTCGGGGCTGTTGTTGGCCGTCAGGTGAACAGGACCGAGACTTTGCTCGTTTACTCTTGGTCCGGCCGTTTTTCGTACGCATGCTTGCTCCGGCAACTAGACCACTCGTACCCCTGGCACGTCCATTGCTAGTCCGTGGCCATCACAGATTGTACTTCGGATTACTACTCATGGAACGGTGCATAACTTCAGCTGCTGCACCAAGAAATTTGCGCCACAACCATGGGCAATGTGCGCCATTGGAGCAGCAATGTAGAAGAGCACTGTAACCACATCCATAAGTATCTAATGGTCACTGTACAAGGGATGCGAAACACCTTGATCCCCCTGACGAGGACCTCGTTGAGCTGTGGGGAAAATAAGCATGTCTCGCGGCCAAGCGTGGAAAGACTCGGGACGCAATCAAGATGTTGCCTTTACTCAGTAGTCAGGCCGCACTCGTCAACCTCTCGGATGCATGCGCGCGACATAGTAGCAGCTGCCGTGCCAAGGGTTGCTTCAATATCTACGGCCCATCTGACATAGCGCTTCCTCCGTCCCTACAGTTACAAGTTCCGCACACAAGTGCGGGTGTGTCCGTAAAAGCCGGGGGGGCCATGGACGTTGTATTGGTATTGATGCGGGTACGCGGGAGGTCATCTTCATTCTCCCTCGTCCGCTTCAGGGCGAAGCGCCTTAGCGCGACGTGCCTGGCCTCCCAGATTTCCGAGAGGTACCTGGCCAATGCCAGGGGTAGCGCCTCAGTCATAGTGGTGCGCATGCTGCGCCCCGTAAGGACTAGGTCACCATCATACTTAGCCCGTATGCTCTTGTAAGCGGGACATTCTTCAAAAACATGCAACTCATCTTCAACCGCTCCACAGTCACAAAGCCTGCAGGTACGCGCGGTGCGCTCACGCCCATTAGGTCTATTAACCTCTAACTCCCAGCAGCCTAACCGAAAACGCATGAGCACATGATGAAGTCGCTGGGGCATGGTCCCTTTAGTGTGCTCCAGCCAATCAAGACGCGCACCCCTTGACGGGGCAGCTCCCATCCAGTTCATATAGCGACACGCCTTGGCTCCGGTAATTCCTATGGGGAAGACGCGGGGGTCACCCAAGGTATTCGGGCACTCCCACCGAGCATCAAGCCGCTTGGCAAAAACCTTAAGAATGCTCTCGACTGGTAATTTAAGGGCAGGGTTCTTCACCCCGATTCGGGCCCGAACTTTTTCGAGATATTTCCGTTTTGCCCGAAAGGAAAAGTAGTGCGCCCCGGAGCATTCCGAACGGATTTTGGGCCTTTTAGAGCATTTTTCCGGGGACCCCACCGAAGCCTTTTGAAAGCTTTTTCGGAGAAAACCGAACGATATGTCAGCGTAAATTTGCATGTTTTCGGGCGCAGACGGGCCTGGAAACCGGGCTTGCCGTATAAGGCCCGCTTGGTCACCAGTAAAACAACAAGTACAAATGTGCATTGCGGCTGTTTCGCAGCTGTATCGCAGACATTTTCATACATCTAAGCATATGCATAGTTAAACATACCCGAGTCAACTGATGATGAGCGCCCAATCAAGGTGCCCCGCATCTCCCTCGGGATTCGCGGCTTCGGCAAGCTCGAACCGCCTGTTTGCCTTCGATGTCAGCGAACTTGACGTTTTTTAGAAAGAGTTTTCAGTTATGAAGTCTAAGATGGCCTTGCTTTGGGTAAAATCCTTGCTGAAATACCTCTCCCTGGAGCTATGTTCCAAAATAAAGTCACCTGTTAGTTCAGCCGTCCTAGCATATAACGATAGAATCCAGCTAAATTTTACCCCGAAAACCGCTTCAGACAGTTTCGGGGTACCCGAAAACACTCTCCGGCTGACAGGAAAATTATCGGGGAGGGCCCCGAAAGGTTATTCAGAGGGTTTCGGACACGGCCGAAATTTTTGGGTACCCTGGTGAAGAACCCTTAAATTAAGGGTGGTGTAGTACGATATAAGGTCATTACTGCGCGTATTAGTGGGGGGTTCCACTCCTAAGCTAGTAAGAAAGGCTAGTACCTTGCTTGCCCAACACTCAGTGACGCCCCCAAGTGCCAACTCCAGGTCAGCGACAAACGCCCGGTGACACAACGTTCCCGGCCTCTTAACCACGGAGTTCCAAAACCTAAGTACAAGATTGGTCCAATGGAACTGGAGTGGCCTCTGTGACAGCTCGCGATATAGGGAAACCATAGTCGGGCTCCTCGCCCCAACTACGGTTCGCATGTAAGCACGTTGTTCCTGGACCATGGGATTAGCCATAGCACCTTCAAAATTCACATTAATGAAGTCAGGTCCCCAAATGTATAAAAACTGACCCTACATGTATAAAAACTGACCCCATTGATGTTTCACCCGCATCGTTGAGTCGCACAATGGCTTCATCCGTCTAGCCCGCTACACCGTGCAATCCGCCCACCCAGACGCAGTCAACGCTCCCTACACCCAATCCTAGCAGCTCCCCCGTTCTCTAGTTGAGTTGCCTTACTGGCGCTGCCCCGGAACCAAGGACGTAGCTATACTCTCCCCCGCTGGTCCTCTGGCAGGTCCAGGTAGCGCAGCGCCAGGCACCTCTGGCGCCAACTGGTAAACACCCGCGCCGCCTCCCCCCCCAGGTCCGGCACTTCCACCAGACGATCCAGCCAGAAGATGGGCATGTGCTCCCTCTGGGGCCGTAGCAGCAAGGACTCCGCGTTCAAGGAGACCAGGTCCGCGTGCCGCACGGCATGGGGCACGGTGTTGCCAGCTGACAGCGGTGCGGCAGGGACACCATCCTGCGAGGGAAAGAGCGTAACAAGTTGTGACCCCGGCCTGTTCCGTACAGTTACAGGCCAACAAGGCCATAGGCCACTCACCCCTAACTTCAGTGTCGTTTCCGTATTGTGCGGAGCGTTGCTGGTTGCCAGCAGGTGATGGAACTCCACTGCCAACATGCCGCGACCCGTATCCATTCGTTCAGGAGAAGAGCTGCAGAGACAGTCTGAGACAGAGGGGTCAAGGGATAAGAGGGCAATCCATATCGATGGGCATGAGGAATGTCGAGAAGCAGGTGTCCGGGCGTTCCAGGAAAGGACTCTGGGGCGACACGAAGCGTCCGGGGATGTAGAATGTGGGTCCCTGAACCAGCCCAGTGGGCAAAGCCTTTTCTCGCTTGGTAAGGAAGGCCTTAACAGGCTTTGGCTTTGGGGGAGCCAGGCGGGAAGCGAGCGGCCCACACCGCATGAACAGCTGCGCAACCAAGCCTTCCTCTTGAGGAAAAGGGCATATTGCTGAGGTTATACTCCAGCGGCTGCAGTTGCAGATGCAAAGTCCGGTCGGATAGTTGCATATTTTTTTCCCCGGAATCCTAGGAGCGGAAGCAGCAGCAGGGGTAAGAAAGTTGGACCCAGTGCGCGTACACAATTAAAGGTGCTGCCGCCTTCCTAGATGGTAATAAAGCGACATGGGCATGATAGCAGCGAGAGTTTACTGACCGTAGTGCGAAAAGCCCGCCCACTCGCACTTCAGCTCCTCCAGGCTGTTACCGAATGGTTGCACGGTGTAGGACGTATCCAGGTACGACCATGGTACGGTGTGCTCCGTCACACGGCGGCCCTCCTTGCGTGCCACCTCCGTGAGCGCCTTCACGGCATGCGGGCCATTGGGGCCATTGGGCAAAGAAGGGGTTAAGTGGGAATGAAATCCAGGGCACATCAGGGATGGGAGGGACGGTTTGGGCGAAGCATGCCGCATGCAGCGGCAGGCGGCATGGGAGCAGCGCCGACCGCCTCCGGCATTCACGTCAGATTATCACATAGGTATCATGAGTGATACGATCCAAAGGCGGCGAAACGCCAGAATCGGTACAGCTTGCATATTGTCTTGCACATCAAAAGGTATCGATTCAAAATGCAGTGCAGCCGCACGGGTGGCGACTCGCAACCAAAGCATCCCTTGCTCCGACGCCCGCAGAAGCTCAGACTGCTCTACCCGTGAGGTATACTCATCTTTAAACTATGCCATCCCCGTCAGTTCCTACCCGCGGCTCAGCTCTTTGAAACTCACCCACTCGCTATCGCAGGGCGCAGCGGGCCACGCCGCAATGGCCCCCAACGCCACCGCCACCTGCGCCAGCCCCTGTACAGCCGCCACGTACTGCTCCTTGCCTGACAGCGAGTGACGACAGGTGGGTGGATGCGTGGATGGGTCGGGAGGGAAGGAAGGAGGGAGAGTAATCCAAACGCGCGCCGGCACACAGCAGGTGAAGAGAGAACCGCGGAGCAGGGTCAAGAATGGCGTGTGCGCGTGAAGTCATGTCGGGCTGCAAAACGAAGTCTACCGGGTAAATGACCGGGTACCGGGTAAATGAGCCGCCATTCTACCCGGCCAGCGGGGCCCCGTGCTTCCCGTCTTCATTGCCCCCTCGGCCAGGCTTGAAATCTTAAGAGTCCTAAGTTTTTTAAGCCCTACGTTGTTGTTGTAAAGCAGCTGGTGCTACTGCGTAAGAAAGGTTCCTTGCCCCAGAAGCCGTCAACACGCCATCAGGCATCCTCGCAACCCGCCGGCTACCGCACTACTCATGCAGACACTGCGCGAACTTGAAACTGCTGCTTTCAACGGAGGAAGCTGCAGGGGCATCTGCAAGAGGAAGCTGCCGGCTACCTGCAGGCTTGTAATGCGACCCGGCGCAATCCGTTCGTGCTTATGCGATATGCGCTATCTTTGCCCTGCCGCGAGGCGCCGCTAGGTGCGCACCACACACACACACACACACACATCAGCACAGGTCACACCGCATCACGGCTATACGACCTACATTGCGCGGTGTGCACCTTACTTACTAAGTCCTGCATGTATGACTCCTGGCTGGTATGCAATCACGGTGCGGACCTCCGGCACGGGGACGTGCATGTGGCTCAGGGAACAAGGCTGGTTGGCGATGTAAACTCGCTGCCGGCTCTTAGCCAACCTGCGGGAAGGGTTGGGTCGTGTGGTATCGTGTTGTGTCGTGTGGGTCCAGCGGGATGCAGGAGGGAGGGGAAAGCGCTAGAAAGAAAGGCGCGAGGTCACAACCCAGATGTGGCGGTCATGCGCTGCGGAAACATGGAGGGAAAAGCAGACCAGGAACGACGAAACTCTCTTCCCACCACTGGCCGGCACGATTGCGCACTGATTTGCAGGTATGCCCTGACGACGAATACGGGAACGGGAACCAAGCGTGCCGCAGGTCGGGACCGGAAAACAATGTCTGGGGTTTCACCGCAACAAATAACAGGCAATATTGGGTGTCAACAGGCCCTGTGGGCCGCCCTGCGGTCGCGAGGTCGCCCACCTGGCCGCTATCCGCCAATTGTACCAGCCAGTGTGCATGAGGATTATCTCCTTCTGGTACTCGCCAGGGAACAGATTAGCCCAGATGTGGCCAATCCCCACCTGCACAAAGGAGGGAGTTCAGTCGCCAGGCAGGGATGCAAGTAGAAAGTAGGTTGCGTCGCTGACATCAACATCCGGGGTTATGAAGCGGAAGACCGGCCCTGCACACAAAGCTGAGGGAACCCCCGTGTGGGGGTGTTGTAGCGCGTTATTAGCATTACTGAGCTAAATCGCAAATGCGATTAAGACATAACTTGATCGAGACTATGAGCAGTCTACAAACGTTTTGGAATACATAAAGTATTTCCTACTAAGGAATATAAAGGTTTTTGTTACTCTATAACCAGATAAGAGCCCAGACCTGGGCGGAGCGAGTCCATCCTGTGACTTGTCGGTTCTTTATCAACATTACACGCTAACCAGGGGGTAGTATGGCACTCCTTCAGGTAAGGGAATATAAGAGGGGGAAAAGGTTCAGCGCGGCATCGACGACGTGTTCATCAACGGATACCTCTTTCCCCGCACCCAGCGAGGGTGCACGTACAAGCCGTTCCCGCACCCCTACCTAGCTACTAATGATCGACTTCACCCACACTCGCTTCCACCGGCATCGCATCTCTCTTTCCCTTAACCACCTAGTCTTTGCCAGCACCCGCTCTCCTTGTTATACGCTCCCATACCTTCCGTCGAGCGTGGCCCGGCATGTTGCGGTGCCACCAGCCATGACGGCCCGTCATCCACCAAGTGGACTCAGCCCAGCAGCCCGCACACTCCTCATCGCTTACTGAGGCTCGCATAGGGGACAACGAAACCCATCATCGGGAATAGCAACAGTGGCAGCAGGGGCCGAAATCGCATACGGGTGTGAGGAACATAAACGAACCATGACAGCCGGGGATGGAAACTGATCGGATATGGAACCCGAGCGGCAGTTATAGAAACTATAACGTGTCAGGCACCGCATGCAAGCATACAGGACCAAGCGTCTGTCGCACACAATCGTCGCTGCCCCCATGAGCATGATATCATCCCCGTGCGCATGATATCATCCCCGTGCGCATGATATCATCCCCGTGCGCATGATATGATCCCCATGCGCATGATATCATCCCCAAGGCGTTACAGTACGGAAGGGCAAGACGCCAACTGGGTGGCACGTGCGCATCATGACGACGACGAACACCGCCATGAGTACGGGTGAGCTGAAAGGAACTACGGGAACCGCGACTAGAGCCGTGGAAGTCATGGCCGACGGATGGGACGGGACGGGATAGGAACTCACGCCGGCTCGCGAGGTAGCCAAACATCTCGGACTTGGTCGCCCTCGCCGCCTCCTCCGTGTTGGGGTCCTCGGGATCCGGCCACAGCTTCACACCTGCAAGAGAATCATCAGAATAAACAGGAATCAGTGCAGACAGATAGATGGTGCACATAAAAGGCAGATTCTGTCGCCACACGCGGATGTTAGGACGGATTACGGCCTTTGCCGCTCGGGAGTCCTGCAGGCTGGAAACAAGTTGAAGTCTGTTGCAAATGTTTTTTCACTGGTGCCCACATCCTGCGCAGGATGCTTGACAACGCCCTGCCTCGCCTGGTCCCGCTTTGGGTTCAATGCAAGTTGAGGGGGCAAGTTGCAAGTCTGGACAGCACAAGGCGCGTCACGCCGCAAGGCATGTTGTTGCCAAACCAACACGCCTGCCCTACCGCTTTACGTGGTCAGCACTCCGTGCTGTGGATGAAAGGAGAAGCGGTAACCGACAAAGCCAACATGTCCCATGGTTGCCTGTACCATGTGCACTAAATGCATGCAAAAAACCAGTCCTAACACGCGCAAAATCGTGTGTGGGGCCCTTGAGCTGTGAAAGCTTTCCAGACACTTTAACCAGATTTGCTAAAGCACTGCAGCACACCGCTCCGCGCACCTAGGTCCGCGTATGCCTGCCGGTATGCGACGGTGAGAGGTCCCGGTGTCCGGTTGAAGGGATACCTGCGGTCGGGTGCAGGACAGGAGGGACAGCCACCGGCGCTGTCAGCGCTACTGCTGCTACTGCTGCTGCTGCTGCTGCTGCTGCTCAAGAAGCAAGCGAGATCGCAGGAGGGAAGTACCGTCGCAGATAGGGCGCCAAGCTCATGCGGCTTCTGCCCATCATCGTTACCATAACTCATAACTGGAAACAGCGTTCACGAGCTCGTGGGGCCGCCAAGGGCCGAGGCCTAACCCATCCACAGCAGGTATAGACCACGTGAAGACGGGTGGAAGGTTCATCGTGAACAGAAGATAGAGAGAGACACACACACACACACAGAGAGAGAGGGAGAGAGAGGCGCATTCAGCCTCGTCAGCAACGCGGCGTCGCAAGGAGTTGTGCAGCTCTGCCCCGACCGTCCCTCTCCTTCCTGGCCTAGCCTAGAGGCTGTGCTGCGTTAGCCCAGCTTAACCTAAACGAGGCTTTTAGTCAAGCCGCGGAATCGCGGTGTGCTTATGTGCGCCGCCAACTCAACACGCGGCTACGCAACCTTGCGGGAATCCATACTCCCATCCTACCCGCCAAACTCTACGGGCCACTTCCCACCTGCGGGGACATGAAGGGAATGGCAGAAACGAGGCAAAGGGAAAAAGGAAAAGCAGCATTTTCTATTAAATGCCCGCGCGGCATTTCGCTGCGCAATGTATGACGCGAACTCGGAGGGCATGCGTGATAAGACGTGGTGGAACTGATGCAGTTTTCGTTTTTTCCCTTCCCTCTCCCAATTTCGCACGGCCTTACTCGCACCTAGCATGGTGCCTATAGCAGGGTAACTATAGCTTGGGACTACAGTAAGTCGGACAGAGCACGTGCGCAGTGTAGGGCTATACGGCCCTCAACCCAGAGCAACCCGATCAAACAGCCATATCGCCCCTCGCTCGCAGACGGACCGCTGTGGGGCATCCTCAGCATGGCGGTGGATATCTGCACCAGACTCCTCTCAAAAGTGGGGCAACTCGCGTTCATGAACCGCTCGCAAACCAGCTCGCCAAGCTCCCCCGCCACGGAGTATTTCTGCGGGTCCGCGGCGGCGCGGGGTGCGGCACAGGGGCACAGGGGCGGGGGCGGCAAGGGCGAGCCTAGCTAGCATATGCATGAAAAAGGAGGTACAGTAAGAGCCGCTGTGAAAGAATAGGTACAGGGCCCCGCCATGGCGGCGGAGGGCTTTGTCGGAGGGCTTTGTGGGAGGGCTTTGTCGGAGGGCTTTGTGGGAGGGCTTTGTCGGAGGGCTTTGTGGGAGGGCTTTGTCGGAGGGCTTTGTCGGAGGGCTTTGGTATCACTCTGACAGGGCTTTGGTACCGCTATCAGCTGCGAGAAGAGCTAAGCTAGTGTGTTGTGACCCCCGGAAAGGGACTGCCCCTCATTGGCAATCAATGGAAACTTAGATGACAGATATTTACATGGCCGTTAAGATCAGGCGTGTTGCCGAGCGTGGCAAGGAGGATAGGCGCGCTGTGGAGAGCGGACGCGCTGTAGCACCGAGAGTGCACGTGCGTGTGTCATAGCTTCGGCAGTGTGAGACGAGTGATGGTACGTGCGGTTTACTGTTTACTGCTATCCTCAAGCCACGTCATGCCGCGTCACATGCCCAACTGGGGCCTTTGTATGGGGCACCTGTCAAGGCTTTTGAGGCCTCCTCCCTGGACTGCCGTACGACCGCGTGGCCAAGAGCAAAAGCAACGACCCGTACCAATGCATGAAAGGCCCCCGGTCATAGCCGTCTCTTCTCGTACCTTCCCCATCTCCCAAGCCTCCATCACCGGGTCGTGCATAGCTCGAAACATCTGCAGCGGTGCAACGGAACAAGTCCGAGCGGGTAGGCAACTCTATCAAAGGGGCAGACAACTCTTTTTTTTGAAGCGGCATGGTCGCCTTAACGTTGTGTCACGGGATCTGGCACCCGCCGACCGGTACTTTTCGTAGTCGTGATACGTCAGAAATGGTATGGAGACGGTTTCCCAGTTCCGATTCTGTCTTAAGCAGTTTCTGCGGGGGGCGTGGCAGGCCCCGCGACCGCCGTGTCCATACCCCGCCCCGCACCGCCCTGGCCAGGTCGCCAACTGGATCCACCAACCCGCACCCCTAGGGCACGTGTACGGGCAGTACACACCTCCGGATTGGTGATGCCCAGGCGGCGATAGGCCGCCTCGTCGTTTGCGTAAAACGCCATCACAGAGGGGAAAATGGGGTGTCCCGCCACCGCGCTGTGGAGGCACTCCTGCAGTATACCTTGGTCGTTGAGACCCATATGCCGATGAGATTCTACATACAACACATCAGCACATATCGACAGTCAAACACATCAGGTCCCAACCACCCACAAAACAGTGTTCCCGCTCATTATCTCGTCATCTTGACATGAAAGATCTGGCATTCACGAACCAACGCCCAGATCATCCCCACATCCAGGAATCCAAAAGCCGTGCTGGAGGACAGCACCCAGTCCCAGCAGCACTAGCACGCAACACAAAGGCAGCATGACGCGCACAGGCGCAACGGCCGCGTCAGACCATTTAACCGCGACGACTTGAGTCATGTGGATATCGCCTGAATTAGCGTTCGTGAAAGCAGTCGCACATCGCATATATGTGCATATATGTGAGAATGTCGTATGTACCAGCTTGAACTGCTTACTGTAAACGGAGGAGACGGCTTGGATGGCGGAGTCGTCCTCGGCCCATCGAACTGCGGTTAGAAGTGACGCGTGTCCGGAAGGTAGTGCGAGGTGAAGACGGCGGCGCGCGGAGCTGGATACGGAAGGCGAGATACTCCCAAAGGCAGGGCCCACACATGCCCACATCTTCATTAGCACAGCGCGGACTGGTAGCCGGTCAGGAGGTGCTTATGGTTTATGGTTTACGGCGTGGAATAATTGGTGTTCGGCCCCGCCGCCCGCATGGCCCGGACCGTCGGGTGCTGGTATGCTTGTGCGTGTGTGTCCTGAGGCATCGCTTTCGTTATGGTGGGTAGCGTCAGTTTGACGACCTCCTGCTCTACGCACACAGTCGTGCTATACCGTACCTTCCATATCTGCTTCCATTCCGCTCGCTCTCCTTTCCGGTTTCTTTCGGGAAGCTTCCGAATCCGCTCACCCATGCAGCTCATTTACCTATCCATCGCCCCACGCACCCGCTCTATGCAGCGCCTCGAACAGCAGCCAGGCGATTGGCCCCGAGGAAGCTGCGTTCTGGATGTAGCTAAAGCCGCCGTTGAAGCTGATTCCCCACTCGTTCTGTGTGAGCATGTTGAAGTCACTAAGTGGCGGCTGCTTCACCCGCCAGTACCTGCAAGTGATCGGCAGAGGTCGCACAACACGGCCATCTGAGGACTCCGCAACAACTAGTCCCAAACAGTTACCATCACCGGCAGCGCGGAAAGGGCACCGTGCCGTTAACCGCCAGTCCAAGCATGGGTGCTCACCAGTCGTCAAGCACAAGCACATCCTGCGGACGGACAGACAAACAGACAGACAAACAGGTAAGCAACCAGGCAGAAGTCACGCGGTGCAGGCTGAAGGAGCGGGACCCTGATAACCTGCATGTCACCAAACATTCCCTTCCTTCCCCGCAGTCACCCGCCAACGCCCCTGACCCTAGGTCCCCTTCCGCCCGTTGTCCGCCCCTCCCCGTCCACAAATCTCACCGTGTCGACAGCCATCACATTGTAGCCCAGTGCGACGGCTCGACCTGCTTAGGTGTTAGGGTTTTAGGGGTTGCGGTTGTTAGGGGTTGTGGTGTTGCCTCGCACGAGATCGGGACATGAGCAGGGCGCCTGACCTTACGCCCACGAAAAGGAAGACGGGGAGATAAGGGGAAAACGTGTGGCAGGATAAACGTGTGGCAGATGGCCCCGAGTTTTTGAACGGTGCGGTGCCACAGAGCTTTACAGCTGGTGGCGGTGATTCCGAGCAAATGGAGTGAGTGTAACGGATACACGGCTGATCCCGCATACCAGCACGCCCGCATGCAGTGCAACCGTGAGAGAGGAAGGCCCTCTGGTTTGTTTGATTGGTATTTGGTGCTGTTCAAACGTAAAGGCGGCTGCAATAGGCGCAGCGGCGCAATCCAACCCACCAACGGTGAACCATTTGCGCCACCAGGCGGAGTATCCAACCAATCGGGCGAGGTATTTAAATTTTGTGATGTACTCCTGGCCACTGCGTACCGTGAATGGGGGGGGATATGGGTTGAGTTGGCAGGCGCCAGGGCGCGGCGACAGCTCCGGCAGCGTTACAGCGGGACGTACGACTTGCGTCCCCACGCACCTGGCATCACTGGTGGCATATGTTCCACAACTGATGGGGCCTTCATCAGGTGGCCAAGGATAAAATAGTCCCTTTAGATGGTGGCACTGAACGACCTCTTCCTGTGTACCGCCAACCGTAATCGCTAACGACTTGCTGTAGGCCAGCAGCGCAACTGAGGAGCTTCCCTTACCAAAACTGGTATAACATGACTATATCCAGCATCCCTAAACCGCGCTAAGGCTTGTGCGGCATCTGGTAGTCGGGTCTCCCCAAAGACGATGACCTCTTTTCTAAAATGAGTTGCCTCCAGTGCATCCTGCAACTGCTCAGCGGTATCAAGTGGCCCTATATAGCCTCTAACTTTGCCGTTTGAACAAAATCCACTGCTTTCGCACACACGGTTTGCGGTTGCGAGTAGTAGTTGCGTTAAGGCAACAAATAAGGTTAAGCAATTCCTAAATATCATTTTAAGTTCTATTACTTCCCACTTTATGCTTTGAAGATGGGTTATAACTTTCCATGCCTGGTCTGCGCAGTTGCAGACAGGTAGATTACGCAGTTGGACAGGAATCGCATTAAGGTTTGCAAGGCATATAGAAATGACTATACAGATGTTCATATACCGCGGCATCATCTACCGCATGGGGGCTGCGAAGCTCGTACACTGGTCCCATGGACCTATCCGAGAGTGGTCAATGCTGAAACGGTTTCAAAGCTCCAGACATAAGGCAATCTTGCATGTCATAAGACATACCACGCGCGTTATTGCTGATCTGGTTCTGATCCTCTGCGCTGGCTCGCATAAAACTCCTTCACTGCTCGGCCTACAGTCGTGTACGGACTAGCATCCGGAGAGAAGGCAGCAGCGAAACCCTGACATGTCTTAACCCCCTGCCATTTAAAGGATTTCTACCGCTGTGGTCTTGGAATTCCGTGCGCGGCTTACTGCGTTCGCGGCTAGAAGTCACGCTCCCAAAGGCTGGGAGTCCATACCGTCTGACCGCCCGTTCCTGGCTCTCGAGCGGTGTGACAAACTACTTTGCCATGGACCAGACAACCAGCGGTTTATTTTTTGTCCCTTCCTAACTTTCAACTGTGTGCTAACTGAATCTATATCTTAAGTAAGGCTAGCATGTAAGCCCCATAGTGTTGTGCATTTGGCGCTCGATAGGGTCAGGGCGTTGCAGACGAGCCGTTCGGGCTCCCCTGTAATAACTACAACCCAAACAGCCTAGCTCAAGGCCCATGCAGTGCTGGGCTCCGCTGCATTGTTGTAAACAAAAGACCATATCGGCCTCCAAATCAGCAAGGTTTCTCCATCCATTCATTCATTTCCCCCCAAAGCATCGACGGTGCAACAGGCAGGCTTGCCACTAAGGAGCCGTCCAAAGCTCCGTTGTCCCAGGCTCCGCCGCCACCCTCAACCCTCCCCAGAATGCGCTCTGCGGGGTTCTACAACCTCCCATCCTCTTAACCTAAAGCCTCCCATCCTCTCAACCTAAAGCCTCCCATCCTCTTAACCCAAGCCAGCAGCTCACCTACCACGCTTCACTTCCCACGCGGGACGCCTCCTAACTCCCAACCAACTATGCGTCTTGTCGAACTGTTGCCTCCCATGACTGAGCGCCCATCCGAGCTCAAGAAACCGCTGAAATCTTGCTGACGAACCCTCCGCATGCAAAGCTTAACCCCAACTGGGCTTGGCTGCATTTAGCTATGAGGCCGCAGCGTGTAGGCGTCCAACAGCAGCAGCAGCAGCGGCGGCAGTAGCAGCAGCAGCGGCAGTAGCAGCAGCAGCGGCAGTAGCAGCAGCAGCAGGGACAGTCCAACTCCCGCAAAGTTTACTGCAGCTTAAGCCGCTGCAAGAATAGCCGTTCTGCTGGTAACTGAGGCCACGTAGCCTTGAGATATACCCATGCTGTACTGCACCGGTGTCCGTACCATGTCGTCTGGGTTCCTATTTCTGTGGGGATATATATCTGAACGTCTTAGCTCGCGGGGTCCCCCGTAATAGCTGCCTTCATTTTCAGACCTACGGTCGTGCTTGCGCTCTTGCGACTCGCTCTGCCTCCGTGTCCCAACGGATGAGCGCCACGATGATGCTGTAGGCAATGGCCTGTCATAAAGACACACCGCACAACACCATAATCGAGAAAACACGAACACAAGAGCACACATAACACCGCACACCACCGGTGGCCCCTTGCCATCCCCTACCAGTATTACGTCCTAACCCAAACCCTGGGATCGATGCAGGGATGCGGTTAGCAGTCATCCATCCGTGACAAAAATACGCATTCATATGGCAAGAGTGACGCAAACTGAAGGTGTAAATCACACACACACACATACATACACAATTGGCACACGGACTTGCACAGTACAATACGGGTAAACCTTCGCGACGTAGCGATACACATACACACGCACGTATCCACATGCCTTGTGTACAATGTCCACCCATGCGGGTGTACGGACCCACCTGCAGCACGGAGCCCAGCAGCATACCCGACCACATCCCCACCACGCCCAGCTCCTTCCTGAAGCCAAGCCATAGGGCCAGAGGGACCGCGAGGCCGTAGAACACCAGCAGGTTGGTGTAGGAGCCGTGGAACTGCTTGCCGGCGCCCTGATGGATGTCGGTGTTGTGCGAGCGCAGGGGCCAAAGTACGCCAGCGCAGATGTACTCGCGCCAGCAAGGGCGTGGGCGACAAGTGAGGGCGGCGGCGGCGGCGGTAGCGGAGACGCGGATGGTTGAGCAAAGGGCCGTGCGGGAAGCGATGCATTCACAGTAGCAATGCATTTATAAACAAACGCGTCTTTTTTAAAAGCATTGGCCAGGGAGACGGAAGTCGCAAGATCGATACACGAACCACCCATCACCCCGTGCGTGCAACTCTCCCAACTGGCAGGTACGCTTGATTGTTCGATCGCTTGCAATGTCGGAATGCCGCGCACCTCCACGACGCCCGTCAGGATGGTCTGCATTCCGTCAAAGAGGTTGACCGCCGCCACCAGCAGCATCAGCGGGTTGAGGATGGACATGAAGCGGGGGTTGCGGTCGTCCGTAAACACGGAGATGACTACAGCAAGGACCAAGGCCAGAGAGACGAAAATCAGCTACCTTTGTCAAATTGGTAATCTGGCGCTTCGCTGCGAAGCGTGCGTTTTGGTTAGCCGCAATGGTTGATTGTAAAATGGCAGTTGTGGTGGTGTTCCGTTAAGTTTGTAACTGCCATGGAAAGGAGCAGCCGACCCCGCAATGGGCCACTTTTCATCCTTGTCCATCTGCACCCTCCCGACACCGCAGCAGTGCCGCCCTGAATCCGCCATCATTCCAACCCCCATGCATCCCATGTCAGTGAGAAGGTCGTCCATTATCACCCACCGCCACCCTCCACCACCGCCCAGCCTCCCTCACTCCTCCCACCTCCACCCTCCCACCATCCACCTACCGACGTCCCGGCAATGCGGTTCTATGAGGGCCACAGCGGGCAGGCTCCACAACAGAGGACCCACCAGCGCCGAGGCCACAGCTGCAGTGCGGGCGCCACGACCATCACCTGCCGCCGCAGACGTGCGGTGTGCCCGTGTATGGTCCGGTTGTCGCCATTGTCATTGCCATCCGTCAAGTTCGCCATGTCGCGTGATTGAGGAGGTATGCAGTCGGAGGACCAGGCATCAGGCAGCCGGTGGCGGGAAACAGCATGTAAAGTGGGACGCAAGCCAAGGAAGTAAACGCCAAGACGAGATGGATTCCCGTATTTGTAACCTTCGTGCATTTTACCTGCAACCGCGCCAACCGCAAGCCAAAACCCGCCACCCTCTTATATCTCCCGCCACCCCTCCTGCTCCACCACAGTCACACCTGCTCCCAGCTTGTTGCCCACTTGGGTACATGCCGTCATGCCGAAGGCGTTGAAGGGCATGTACATGACGGCGCAGGTGCTGAATCCCACTGAGATGGCGGCAACAGAGTTCTGGTGGGGCCCCGCGAGCGAGCGAAGAGGAGGGAGGGAAAAAGTAGGAAAGGATGCGAGAGGGCGACAAAATTGAGGCTGAGGATTTTTGTGTCGTCGAGGAATGCGGAAGGAGATGAAGGTGCTCAGCTCGGTAGCATGAAATGCTCCGTGCGGTGGTGGGGAGGATTGTCCGTATGTATCATCCACCAAGCAAAATATGAAACAAACCAGATCGGGACATGATGCCGCCGCCGCCGTAGCAGCAGCTAATCAGAGGCGACACGGAGCCTACCGTAGGGTCAGGCAGGGCTGCGGCGATGACGGTCATGGCGCTGAAGGCTGCGCTCTCCGCCACCCGCATCACTGCGGGAGCGACCCACGGGTCAGTTGTCCATATTGATTATAACAGGTCATCAGTAGCACATACACGGTGCCATGGATCGCAGCATGCATCCCCAGTCCACGGACAATGCATGCATGCACGCGTCCATTTCCACGCATGCCCCAGAAGAAGAAAAAGAAGAAGAAGCCGCTGCCGGCCGCCGCCGCAGCCGCGGGCTGGCTGTGCGGTCGCGGTCCTGTCCAACATCAACTCTGAGTTGCGTGTAACTGCTAGGTGAGCACACACTGCACTGCCATTGCTAGGGGAAGAGAGATGGAAAAGAAGGGGGCAGCCTTTCCATCTCTGGAAAACCCTAAAACCATTGATCGGGCGGAGTTCCCGGAAATTCCGACACCCGCCGATGCCCCACCCATCGCCGGATATGCCAAAGACGCCATTTGCCGCCAGCCCTGTCACAGACAGCAGCGGCGGTACACAGAGGCGGTGGTCTTGATGTTAATGTTGGTGTTAATGTAGGTGTTGATGTTGATGTTGGTGTTAATGTTGATGTTAATGTTGGCCTTGGTGTTGATGTTTGTGTTGATGTTGGGTTCATTTTGGTGTCGGGCCCTACAAGAGAGGCCCTAGCAGCGAAGAGGAGAACAAGTCGCGACAGAACGCATATACCTAATCCAAATGTCCAACAGATCCAGCTGGCTTCGCGAAGCGCTGCAGTGCTTACACGGTGATGCTCACCATAACTCGCAAGGCTTTGTCATGCAAAGGTGCGAAGGTGAAAAGGCACGCAATCGCAAGTCCAAAACACGGGCGTCCTCGTCATACACACATCGCCAGGAGGTTGGCATTGGAGCGCAGAATCCCTTTCTGTACTTTGCCGTTTCCCGCCGGGTAGATGGAAGCTGCATCCGGGACACCCAGAACTACCAGCACCATTTTACCATGTGTAACTGCTCCCTAACTGCTCTTGTGCTCGTGCGGGTGTTGTACCTTAAACACTTGAGACCAGACGCCTCCAAACACCCGGTGCGCCAGACCCGACCACACGATGTACGCGGACGTGAACAGGCAGATGTAGCCGTTCGTGGCACCCACCTACGTGTTGTTTTGGCATGCTGTTGGTCAGGCGCGTTGGTTAGGCGTGTTGGTCAGGCGCGTTGGTTAGGCGTGTTGGTCAGGCGCGTTGGTTAGGCGCGTTGGTTAGGCGTGTTGGTTAGGCGCGTTGGTTAGGCGCGTTGGTCAGGCGTGTTGGTTAGGCGCGTTGGTTAGGCGCGTTGGTTAGGCGTGTTGGTTAGGCGCGTTGGTTAGGCGTGTTGGTCAGGCGCGTTGGTTAGGCGTGTTGGTCAGGCGCGTTGGTTAGGCGTGTTGGTCAGGCGCGTTGGTTAGGCGTGTTGGTTAGGCGCGTTGGTTAGGCGCGTTGGTTCGGCGCGTTGGTTCGGCGCGTTGGTTAGGTGTACGAGACACGCAGGGGCGGTCCCGGACAGACGAACGACACAATGCCAGGGGAATGCCAGGTAACCCAAGCAAGCGTCACAGACTCAGACTCGGGGGACAACCAAGGCCCTGTAATTCCAACATCAAGCACGTTCGTACATCCGTACACGTCCGTACATACCGCCAGCGCGGCCCCTATGTAGCCCAGTCCTGCAGGGAACATGAGCAGGTATGTTGTGGCGACGTGTAGCGGCACAATGATCAGGGAGATGACCATCTGCGGCTTGGTGATGCGCTGGGCCACCAGGATGCGGTTAAGAGGTCTGCGGGCGGAGGCAGGTTGGGTTTAGGAAGAGAACCAGAGGACCCGGATGAGTCCCGCGATGGTGGGTATGATTGATGTGGCGGTGGGGTAGCCGGTGGCCTGCCGTGATTTCCGTACTCCTCTGAAGTCGAGCGGCAAGAGGACATGTAGTGGTGCCGCCACGTAGTGCCGCCACGACGATGCAAGTCAATGGAGAAATCGAACCAGCCCAAGAACGCGTACAGGTCTTCTGTGTCGCAACATCCTCATTTCGTTTTCCAGTACGCCTCTGTTTGCGCTTTTCCAAGCACAAATACAAGCACAAACACAAGCACAACAAGTACAAGCACAAGTACAAGGCCCTTCACGTCACGTACCTGGCCATGGCATCCAACCAGACGGCGGGAATAAGCGCAAGAATGTACCTGGCGGGTGATTGGGGAAAAAAGGGGAGGTGGAGGAAGAGACACCCCACCCCGAAAGCGGCTTTAAGAGGCGACAGGAGGATAACGACGAGAGTTCGAATGAACCAGATCCGAGAAGCCGCAGGACCTGAGGGAGGAGGAGGGAGAGGAAGAAAATCGGCGACGACGGCGAAACCCAGGAGGCAAGGGAAGAAGGTGGCAGGGTGCTGGGGCTGAGGCAGCGAGCAAAGCACCTCCCGCACATTCACACACCCGCCTTTTCCCCTCATTACCACGCCTCCTCCTGGGGCCCCCGTGTGGGGCAGGAGACACTCGCTTTCAGCTAATGCCCTGGTCATCTGTCAGCCCCCCTCGTCTGAACCCTCCGCTCCTACGCAACCTGCAGGCGGCTGCGCATCGTGGCACCTCCTACATGACCACCGCCGCTGCTTCCAGCACCACTACTAGCAACAGCTACAACAGCGGCCCTCCCTTCCCTCGTACTTGTGGGCAATGACCGCCATCTCGTGCTCCCTGCTTAGGTATCGAAGCAGGTGTGGGGCCGCCAGCAGGACCCCCGTGATGGGCAGGCAGTGCAGCCACAGGAACAGCAGCGTGCGCTTGAAGATAGGACCCAGAGCCCCGTAGTTGCCAGCACCGAAAGCCTTCACAGGATCGTTGCGAGGGGTGAAGAGGGGGAGTGGTGCACAGTGGGTCAGATGGGCGCCAGGTGTGGAGGGGAAGAGGCGGGGTGCTGACGTGATTGGCAGGTGGGGTGGGATCACGTTCCCCGCCCCGGGCCCAGGGGGCTATTAAGGAAATCCGAAATAAAACACCGTGGACTGGCCAAAGCTGACATGGTACTCAGCCACTAGCGCCACCACCACCATCACCCGCATCACTACCGTTGACTCCGTTACCTGGGGCGCCTGTGTGTCCAGTCCCCCGCAAAGCCCCTGCAACACGTAGCGTGCGGTGATGCCCGTGAAGGAGTTGCCCAGGGCGGCGCCTGGCCGGTCACACACGGGTCAGCAAATAAACGCAGCCAGGACACGTGCAACACGTGAGGTTTAATGTCCCGATGCAGTTGTGGCCCCTTCGCCACCACCACTGAACCTTTCGGGTGCGTGCGAAGAATGATGATGATGGTGATGATGATAGTGATGATAATTGTGATGATGATAGTGGTGCTGATAGTGATGATGATACTGATGATGATAGTGATAATGATAGTGATGGTAGTAGTGATGATGATGGTGATGCTGATAGTGATGGTGGTAGTGATGATGACGACAGGGGTTCGGTCCGTCTGTGGTCAGGCCCTACACTCATCTGGCGGCAGTGGTGGTGAGGAGAAGAGGGACTGGAGGAAGAGGGGAAGCCTGGACAGGGCTTTTTGACCGGATGACAGACGACATCAAAGTCATGGCTTGCTGGGGCAGAGCCATGTAAGGTGTGTGAGGGCACTCTTGTTAACGCATGCCTAAGTATACACAGTTAACGCATAACTATAACTATAACTATAGCTAGACACAGTGCCGACCAGCGGGTGGACGGGCGGGCTGCGGGCCCGCAGCTCCGTTACCCATTTTTTTGGTTGCAGGACAGAGGTCCGAATCGCCAATCTGCCCTTGTTTCGGTTAATGGGGACCCATATTTAACCCCCCATGAACACACACACCAACCAAAGATGCATTTCACCTGCCAGTTCCTTGGTGCCCAAGTGGCCCACAAAGGAAGAGCTGATAATGCTGGTGGAGTAGGCGGCCAGCAGGTTCAAAGCCAGAGGCCACGCAAGTGAAGCCTGTTCAAGCATATCCTGAAGAGGATGGCGCCACGAGGAACGGTGCAAGCAAGTTGGGAGTGCTACCTGCTATCTCTTAAGGTCATAGTATGACCGCAATCTTTTATTACGGCCCGGTGCGGGCTGTATTATGGTAGGAGACCATGCCCGGTATTTGCTGGGGGGCCGGTGTCCCTGCTCCCTGGACAGTGAGTCTGGGTAGCGCATGGTAAGGGGTGATGATGGTGGATGAGACGGACTAAGGCTACCAAACCTGCAGAATCCCCGTTTGCAATCGGTCTTTTTCCTCAGGAGAGTCAGATTCATCCTCTTGGAAATGTCCAGCTTCACCATCGTCCGCAGGCAGAAGTCGCTCCCGCAAGTCTTTTTCGAGGGATTCAACTTTTGGACTAGACGAGTCGGACATGGCACATGGAGATTTAATGAAGTATGGCAATATAATTAAAGTATGGCAATATAATAATCACCTAATGAAAATTTCTTGCATAACCATAACCCGCATCACGGCCTGTCAAGGTAGCGATGGAAGGTACAGCTGATCCACACCATGGGAAGCCTACCTATTAAGGTGTTTGTTCATCTTGTAAAGTGGCGGGAGTACGTTATCGTCCATTATTCCGGTAAACAACGGACACCTGTCTTGTCCATCAACCGCCATGATTCCTGTTTTGACAACAGACATCGCCAAACGGGTTATTTCTGGTTTCGGGAACGGGTCTATTCTGTCTTCCAGTAGAAGTTCTTCTACAAAGCCGCGGAACAAAAATGCGTTTTTGCATTAGTTTGACATCCTGAAAATCTGAATCCCGACGTCTAGCACACCATGGGCCGCATAACACCTTTCGTATGTGGCGCATGATCCTATTTCTGCAAGCCGGCCGGCTTCGGGAAATCTATTTCTGTTTTCGGGAGGTTCGGTACGACCCAAACTCCCGAAGCGTTTGCCGATGTGAGAAATCCACACTTTCATCTTGAAATTGTCTACCATGCAACGGAGCAGGGCGATACCATGCACTATCCATTAATTAATCTTTTACTCGTACACGAAAACCTTTTCGGTTCAAGAAACAGTTCCGAGGCCCCTTCCGTTTCCAGCTCGGCGGCCCATGCGCCATTTGGCTCGTCTAGTCCGTACAATCTCGCGAAGCTGTAACGTCAAGAACGTCACAACGAAGTCCTAGGAAGGATGCTGTTGTTGCAACCCTTCCCATTTATCCCTCCCACCATTCCTCCACACACCTTCCATTCCTTACTCCCTCCATACATGCCTCACTCCATGCGTAAACCCTTCCATCCCTCCCTCCATCCCTCTATACATCTCTCCCTTTATACATCCCTTCCCCCACCCAATGGCATAAAAGGGTCGATAACCGGCCGGTTTGCTATAACCTAACCGTTCGCTTCGGTAGGCCTACCGACATTTCGAGATAACGACCCGGAAACTGACCGGTTACCGTACCGGTCGGTTATCTTACTGACCGGTAACCTGTCGGTAACCCCCCAGTTACTGGGTCGTTAGCTCGTTATGTCGGTTACCCTGCTTGCCCGGTCCCGAAGCGACCAGTTACCGACAGGTTTGTTAGGGCTACCGATTGGTGACAAGCATCCGAATAAAGGCTCTTGGCGACAAATGCAGAGGGGCAACTGCCTCCCCGCCAGCGACAAGCAGCTTGTCGCCAGGCTTGCAGTGGCATACATAACAGCCGACTCTGTAAAAGCTAACCTTTAAATTTCTAGTTGCTTTGTTCAGGATGCGAATTTCCGCTCGAACATGGTGAACATCTCTCCTTCCATATATCCCCCACCAGTTCTTTGGGAGCGCTGCAGTAGCAGCAACCATAGCAGTCTCAAGGGTGTGAGGCGACCGCTAAATGTTGGTGCTGCGCTTGAGTCCCCCAAACAGAGGAGAGCCTGAAAGGCGAGTCCGCCAGCCAGCTCTTTGTACATCTTAAACTCAGACCACCCAAATCCCAATCCTTGGTCTGTCCCTGGTCTATGGATCATGAACGTGGGGCCACATTTCATCTATGCGCCAGGAATGCCTCCCGCCTCCCCATTCTTTCAGTGGTTAGCCATAAGGTGTGTCGCAGGGTTACTCCGGAAACCTTCCGCTCATCCACAACAGCAACATCGATGTGGCCTGACACCGAACCGAATCCAACCCAACCCAGTCCAGCCCCCGCCTTGGCCACCGGCACCTTGTGTCAGCCCGATGGTATAAAGCGTCTTTAGTTGGCAGGTATACTATGTAGGTCACCCAGTGCTCGTAAGGTGGCACTAGGATGAATTACTGCAAATTAACGTAAAATCCAATTAACGATCAACGCTTAGGAAACTGCCAAAGGCACCTTTTAATGCCTTACTTGGAAGCCGCTATCATTATTTCGCAAGGTGAGATGGACGATGCTGCTTTTGTGCATATATTTTACGCGTGCGGCTAAAAGTTCTTGCTACAGCAGAGCTGGCGAGAGTTGGGCTCGGATCGTGGCTGCGGAAGGATTCCAGTGATTTTTCTAGGTTACATTTATATTATCAATGTCATAACAGGAGGCCAGTGGATCCAACGGTTGCATCCACCAAATACATCTGGGCCTGGGCCCAGCCCGGCCCAAGCAAGTTCGTATCACAAATAAGGAAAAGGAAATCAGCACGCGTTACCTCCAATCATTAATGATAACGCTATGGTTTATAAGTCACCACAAGTAAAGCTTGGCACGACGGCGAGAAGTGACGTCCTTCCGTCCGTCTGGGTAACTGCCTTCGGGTTCCATGGGCCCCGGCCAGGAACGACCTGATTATGATATTGAGGCTCAGAGACTTACAAAAGCGATAATATCAATTATTGGTAATTAAGTTCACATGTTTCACTCTTAGGCTATTACAGTACAAGGACAAGGTTTTGATAATCGTCGGCCCTCGCTGGCCTTGCTAGCCCCGCTAATAGAAGAGCTTTTAGTGGTTGATTACCTCTGCTCAGATCCTCTGCCTTGTGCCATTTGAGGTTGCACTCGCTTCCGACATGGATACCGGAAGCGAGGTGGCACAGGTTGAATGCACCGATGTTCCCCAGAGTGAACCGATCAGCGAGGACCAAGTCCCCAACAATGCTGGCGGGTTCGTCTATACGATAGACGACTTCTCCAGACTAAAGCGCTTTGTCATCCTCGGAAGCAATGGTGAGTGACCAGGTCCAGCAGAATTAAGCTACCTGAAAGCAAGCATTTTGTGTGAAAATGCCATCCTTTCTTAATCTCTGCGTTTCAGTTTGACATCTCGCTACGTGGCATACCAATCGTCCGCCAACCTAAAACACCAACGACAATCTAACACGTGTCCCTATCTTGCCCACGGCCGCCCATGACTCCCACACGCAGCCAACAATTACTACGTCTCAAGCAAGGATTTGGGACTGGAGAACTGCGAGTGCGTTCTGAAGCTGCTTGCAGAGGGACATGGCGTGCGGGTGGTGGAGGAGGTGACTCGCATCTCCCGAGAAGGCCGAGCCCCGCGCCAGTCCACAGGTGATGAAGCGTCACGACCACCACCACCATCTTCACCACCATCGCAAGCCCTTTAAGGCCTTGACGAAGCCCTAGCTCCACATCTACTCGGACTTCGGATGTTAAGTCCTTAAGTCCAACATATAATGCTTTTGACATTGTTTACGCCGAATGCGTCTCACTTGAGGCCCACCACGGGTGTCGTACTCCCGAGGCCTAAGCTACAGTGAGCATCTTAGGCGTCTGAGGTTCATGCAAGGACAGATGACGTTACGGAGTCTGTAGGTCTGTCATGTAACCGCAAAACCCGCACCATGGCCCGTTCCTCACATGTTTCTCCCGCCCTGCCTTGCCCTCCCTACACCCGATTCGGCTGCAGGGATCATGGTCCTGGCCATATGTGCGCGTCTCGGTGACCTCGCCACCCGCCGGGCTGCACTGGCGGCTCTGCCCGCGGTCTGCCGTACGGCCTCCACCCTGTTCGAGCTGGTCCAGCGCTGCAAGGAGCTGGGGCCCGTGGTGAGGGCGACACGGGTGGGGGACGCAGCGGCCGACCCAGGTGCCGTACAGGCCTTCCTGCGGGGCTCCGCCGCGATCCCTGCCGACGCAGGTGACACCCACGCTGGGGCTATGGTTGGTGGTCGCAGCTCTCGTCCCGCGATGCACCTGGCAGGTGCCAGCAGAGGTGGAAAGGCCAGCTGGGGACGCTCCATGCGGCGCGCCATTGCGCTGTGGTACTTGGAAAAGTCATCGGCCGCCGTTGCGTATCAGGCGACTAAGTACAGCCAACGATGCGGCTGGAGCCACGTAGATCTGCTCCGCCTCGCACATCCCGATCCGGAAGAGCATGCCGCTAAGCGCCACAAGCTGCGCCTGGCGGCGGCGGCGGCGGCGGCGGCGGGGCAGGGCGGCGGCGCCACCGCCGCCATCGAAGGTACGGAACAGCGCCACAAGGGATCTGGCGATGCGTCAGATGGAGCTGACTCGGACTGGGTCCTGGTAAAGGAGGAGGGGGCGGACGCGGACGAGGGGGAAGGCGGGGCTGGTGGCGGTGGCGGTGCATCAGAGCTGGGGGCGTTGGTGGCAGCAATGGGGGCCGCATCGATTACCGCGGCGGCAAGCGACGCTGAGGAGGCCGCTGCCGCAGCGGAGGCTCAGCGGGTGGCGGACATGAAGGCCATTTTTGACTTTCTGACCCACGGGACTCTGCCAGGCCAGGCAAAGCCCGTGCGTTGCGCCAAGAGGAAGGCAGCGGCTGACGGCGGCGGCGATGGCGGCGAGGGACCCCCGGCTGCAGAGCAGACTCGGCCGGCAGTGGAAAGCGGCGCGGCCGCGAGCAGTGACGTTGCCAACACCGCCGCCGCCGCCGACACCGCCGTCGACGTGCCCATGTCGCCCCAGCAGACATCAGACGCTCCTCCAACAACGAATCACACAACTTCCACAGCGAACGCCGTCACCACTGCCCCCGCTGCCGCAGCAGATGCGCCTTTGAGCCCAGTCATGCAGTACCTCGTCGATGCGCATCGTCTGCGGAAGGAAATCCGGGCGCCGCCACCGCTGGTCAAGCCGCCGCCTGAGAATGAGCCTGGGCAGCTGTCAAAGCGACGCCGACGCGGTAAGTCAGAATCGACGCCAACGGCTGAGCAGGGGGAGGCGCCGGCACGGCCACCGCCAGATCCCGCCGCAATCGCCGCCAACGAAGCTGCCTGCGCCGCCGCAATCGAGCAGGCGGTGTCACTCATCCGGCGACACCGCTTCGGACACGAACACGTGGGTGACACGGCGCTGCTGCGGGCTCCGGAGTTGTGGGCCGCGTTTCTGGAAGTGGGCATGCCGCTGACGGCTCTGGTACGCAACTTAGGCCGCATGACCCAGATGGGCCTCATGGAGCGACCGGACTGCCTAGAAGCCGTCACGCGGCGCCTGCGGGACGGGCGCGCTCTGGCGGCAGCGCGTGTGCATCCGATGACCCTCTTAGAGGCCATGTGCACGTACCGGGCCGGTGCAGGCGCGCGCGGGGTGACATCATGGAAGGCCAAGGCGGAGGTCAAGCAGGCGCTGGAGGAGGGCTTTTACCTGTCGTTCAAGAATGTGACTCCCACCGGTCAACGCTACCTGATTGGGATGGATGTGTCGGGCTCCATGTGCTGTGCTTGCGCCGGCATGACATCCGTGACTTCGCGGGAGGCGGCTGCGGCGATGGCCATGACGTTGGTGCGGACGGACCCATGCAAGACGATGGCATTTTCGCACCAACTGGTGCCCCTGGAGCTCCAGGTAGACGGGGGAGAAGTTGGGAAAGGGAAGTGGCGACGAAGGGGCTGTGGGGGTTCTATATTATATAATATGTTGCATTATATTTTATTATATTTTTTATTATGGTGTAGTATTGTAATAAATATAATATATATGTATTACGTGTAATAAATTTCCCATCCTGTAACCCTCCTTTCGCAGCCCAATCATCGGCTAGAGGAAGTCGTGTCCCGCGCCGCGGCCATCCCAATGGGCGGTACTGACTGCGCGCTGCCCATGCTGTACGCCCTGGAGCGCAAGCTGCCCGTGGACGTGTTCGTTGTGCTAACTGACAACGAGACCTGGTTTGGGAAGGTCCACCCGTCGGAGGCTCTGAAGCGCTACCGGGCGGCCATGGGCCTGCCGGCTAAGCTGGTCGTGCTGGCGTTCAGCGCCACAAACTTCAGCATCGCGGACCCTCGGGACGCTGGCATGCTCGATGTGGCGGGGCTGGACAGTGCGGTGCCGCAGATCGTGGCAGACTTTGCAGCGGGTAGGGTGTAGGCTAACGCGGGGTAGCGTGTGGGCCCCCTTAATGGCGGGAAGGGTGTAGACTTTTGGAATACGTGGAGGATACCGGATATTGTAAGGGGGTTTGCGTTGTTTTTGATGGTGCAAGTGTAAGGCATCGTGGCGAGTTGGTCGCAAAGCAGGCGAGGGGATTTCGAGGAGTTACGCTTTTTGTCTGTCTCTACGGAGAAAGATTTCGAAGCCACAAACACGATGATGCCATGGCGTCTTGATAGACCTAAGTTTCGACTTCTATCGTCACGCCGTTTTGTTCGATTATAACGAAGCGTGCTGTCGGTTTGCGACGGGTATGATTTTCACTTGAGGAAGCGCTACCATTAAATGCTGGAAGCTTGGAACGGAAGCGTTTTGCGTTTTAAATCGTCCGGTTTTTTTTGTAAGGGCTTGCACGCCCGTCGTACTGGGAATGCGCGTGGGAGGTCGTGTAAGTTGGGATGACGGGTGGGGCGCGGCAGGGTGGAAGGATTGCAGATGGGAACAGTTACCGGATACGCGGAAGTCGTGACATGGTCCAGGTCGTAAAGCGGTGTAGTCCACATGTTGAACAGGATCAGTGGGCATAACCGAAGATCTTCACCGTTTTTTGTTTATGGCGCAGCTGTTGCCATCCATCAGCTTTGGGCAGTGTGGGTTAAAATGGTAAGGCCTTTGTGTGTAAGATCTGATTCATCATAATTCTTGTATCCATTCTCGCCGCGCCTTAAACGTGACCACTGGCGGGCCGGCACAAGGGCAATGTCCAGGGAATGACCGGACACCACCTTGGGGGCCTGGCAATCTCCTGTCGCCCTTCGCGCTGAAGTCTTGAAGCAGGGGCGGGAACATATAACCAAGACGCACGGTGGCTACACATTTGCAGTCTTTTACAACAGTTGGGATATATGTATTAATGGCGCAAATGCCTGGCCGCACAACTACGGCATGGCGTAATCGTGTCCGCGGCTGGCTTAAAGACACCAGATGCCGTTACCTATGCTGGATACGCCGCCTCTATCGCAGCATCGCCGCACATCACCAGCACACATCTCCCCCACCTGCGTCTTGCGTCCACATACTAAATGCGGTCACCACAAATCCTGTCTCATGAGGATGCACCACCCCACGACCCTCCGAGCTCCAGGCTTGCCCTCCCACAGCAGCCCACTTGCGTGAGACGCCAAACAGGCTACCAATGAGAAACTGGATCGGTCCCTAATACCTGGCATGCCGGTTGGTGGCTAAGGCAATGCCGTTGGGGTTCCATTATTGATCCCGCAGCGATACCACCGGCTTGCTAGCACTGACTGCCAGCCACTTGGGACCCCTCCTCCAACTCCACAACAATAGCAGCCACAGCAACGGAGAGCGCTATGGCTCTGAGCTGCGGAAAGATAACTGAGTGCGAATATGTTAAACGGAACGCAATCCTACCTTTTACAACCCTGGGAACTGGTGGCCTAGCAAACTCCCCTTCCTGCCCCTCATTACGCCTCACGTCACCTTTTCGATTCGCAACCATCCCAGAAACTCCCGTCCCAAATAGTGTCGGAGAACGCGCCTTTGAACAGGCTCTCAGCATAGCCGACCCTTAGTCCCACACCACAGCTTTCTCTCCACGAACATCGCGCCGGAAGGCTGCACGTCTGCAGCCATGCCGCGGCGGATAGCATCGCCAGAAAGCGGAGGAGCGCGACTGCCTGTAGGGCGCGTGTCCCTTCATACAACAGAACCGCTCTCACACATAAGCATATGCTTGTACGCACGTAAAACTCCTGTCAGATTTCTCACCCACAACCGCACAAGTGTAAGATGTTTCCTAATACTATTGACACATACGTACGCAACACGAGATAGCCGAGATGGCTAAGTTTCGGTAGTGGCCTTAGCGTGATGTAAGTCGCAGGAGCAAGACACATGAGGCTACGGGTGGCCTACGGGCCAGGGCACCAGGGCGGGCATGCGACGAACCAGAGCGTGTGAGACCGGTCCGAGCGTTGTCATTAATGTCAGCATCCACAAGCAGCAGCAGCCGTAGTAATAGTAGAAGTAGCGGCAGCAGCACTTTCTCAGAAGGCAGGCCGGGCCGGCGGGGGCATGAGGGCGCCGTAGGGCCGTTCGTGCGGCTGCAGAGGCTGCTGTTGTAACTGGTTGACGCGCGCAAAGATGCTGCGAATCTCATTGAGCATTTCCAGTGCGGTCAGGCCATTCACTGCATATTGGGGAAATGGGGGCGTTGCGTCGTTAGGTTGAGCGCAGGCAGAGAGGGTTGGGATAGGGGTTAGGACCTTAAGAAACCTCTCTGCGTTTGCGGGTCCGTACATAGGACACACTGATGCCCCCGGAGGTTCCGGGATCGAGACCTGTCAGGGTCGAAAATCCTTCCGATGGTGTAAGGTAAAAGTGTCCCTGTCGATGGACGGTGGTAACCTGTCCCTATCGATGGACGGTGGTAACCTGTCCCTGTCGATGGACGGTGGTAACCTGGGATAAAGTTGACTTGCGAGCTGACCAGGAACGCAGTTGTGTCGCCGTTGATCAGGCAGATTCCGTTGGATGCCGGTGGTGGGTGCTGAACCCGAGCGATCCACTGAGAAGTTGACTAGGGTAACTGGATGAGGGTGCCCCTAAACACCGGGGAAGGCAGGGTCTTCCGGGTAGCGGCCACAGGGTGAAGATATGAAACCCCCTGTCCCACGCATCATAGGACAACGCAGGGCTGGGCTGCAAGGCTGCTCCTGTCCTGAGCACAGCAGATAAGACCCCTGCACCATGCCAGCGACTGACGGCTTCACCATGGGCAATACGCAAGGGAACGATAGTCCCGTCACACAATACGACAACATGCGTCGCTGTCCCTTGCAGCACAGTGCAGAGCGACGGTAGCGCCAGGCACCAAGCACTTCTTTTTTAGTGTGCTGCCCAAGGGGCAACTCGTTTCTTACCCTTGCGCCAGGGGACCAGCTTCACAGCGCCTTGCTCCTGTAGGGCGACGAGGTGCCGGGCGGGACGGGATGTTCACGCCGAAGGACGAGGTATGATAAGCTGCAACGCCTGTCCAGTAGGACACCTGGATATCTACTAGAGTCGGATTAATTATCTAAAAGCAGATTAGCTAACTTATCCCAGTATCCCAGTTACTAAACGCCTATCACAAGCCACTCGAAACGCCAAGGTCGAGAGCGCAGGTGCGGTGTTTTTTATTGGAGGTGTTCCTCCGATGGACGTTACGCCATATGCCACAGCATCACAGGATGCCGCAGTGACTAGTGCTGTGTGCAATGCGCTCAGGGCACATGACCACTGCCCCCGAATCAGCACCGCGCTGCAGAGCGGTACTCCTTCCGGGTCTCGGCGGTGCCCTGCTTCCAACGTACCTCCATTTCCCGCATGGCTCTCCGCACGCGAGGCGCGTACTCGTCCACGGACTTGAGCATGCCCTTCCTCGAGCGCATCAACCGGTCCAACATTTCCGTTGCGTCGGACTGGCGCTTGGCCTCCAGGGCCTCTCGCAGGGCCAGAACGGTGGACTGTAATGCGGCCACGTCACGTTGCCGGGACTGCGGGTGTGGAAAGTGACGGGGACCAAGGAAAGAATATCTGGGAAAGCCGGCGGAGAAATCAGCATTAAGAAAAGCCGTGCCCCAGTGATAGGCTGTAGGGGAAGATGAAAATGTAGCGTGGACTGTAGAATTTCAAAGACGGGAAGCAGGAGGAGAAGCTGCGGCTGCCGTGGTGAAGGGTAGGATGAGGTAATGCGGAGGCGTTGGGCTAACTTGCTGTCTGGCTGCCCGGCCGGCAGTATTTTCAAGACAAGTGTTTACTTATGAATCGATGGATGCGTGGACGGATGTACGCATGGATGAAAGGGTCCGTGGACGAACTCCTTGTTGGCCATATGCATACATACATAAGTACATACACACAAAGCGGGTCACCGGTCAGTGCCGTGAGGAGCACTGCCGAAGAAAGCCTGAAGAGAGAGCCAGTAATGCGCCGCACGCCTCGTACCCGCAGCTGAGCATCCGCGGCGGTGAGCCACTTGGCCGCCTGGTCATGATTTTGAAACCGGTCTGCGCGGGCCACGAGGGAAGTGCGCCGTGCAGAGTCGACAAGGGGGCTTTCCTCAGGACATAACATATGCTACTGCCGTATACACGCACGATACGCATGTGACGCGTATACATGCCTCGATAATAAATCATGTACACAGACACGCCTAAACACACGCAACGCGATGGTGGACTATCCCATTTGGCTATGAAGCGCATGAAGTGTGAGACCCGGTCAGGGAACGACACCACAGCCGCACCGCATATCACGAGCGCCACACCAATATCAACCTGCAAGGCCCCCGGACGAGCGCACCGTTCAAGTCACGCAGGAGCGCGGCGGGGCAGCGCAGCGGGGCCAGCGGGTCAAGCGCCGACGCAGCTGCCAGCCAATAGCACAGCGTCGGTAGCCCCAGCGCTGCTGGACCGGGGCCCCACGCCACCGCTGGAGCAGACGAGGCCGCGCCGGTGGCGCCCAGCCATGAGCAGCTGCCGCCCAACCCGCCGCTGCCGCCGCCACCGGCCCCCGTGCCGCCAGTCCCGTGGAGGTTCTCAGCGGCGCCAGACCCCCGGCCACCTCCACCCCAGCCGGCGGCCGCAGCGGCCGCCGCCAAGCCCGACCCCAGGCCTTGACCTTGGGCAGCCCCAGACCAGGAGCCTGAGCCGGCCCAGCACCCGCTGCCTGCGTTAAGGCTGGCGCTGACACTACCACTAACGCTGCACGCGCCCAGCAGCACAACGTCGCTGGTGCTGCTTTGTGCGCCTTGACTGCTGGCGGTGCTGGCGGCGGAGCTGCGGACGAAAAGTGACCCATGGGTCGAAGCCACGCCCAAGTAGGCACTGCAGCCCGACGCGGCGGAGGCGCGCAGCATGGCGATGGCACGCTGGGGCCCCACGTACGGCAATGTAAGACGCAGGCGTTCCACTAACGACAGAGAGTTCAAAGAGGGGAAGCCTGTGCCGTAGGATATTGCGGTCAGGGCGGTGTGGCGCGGGGAAGGAAAGGAAATCATCCTGGATACACCACCTCTATGTCGCAAAGACAGGGGCAGGGGCAAAATGAGGGTAGAAAGCTAATCAGGACAAGCGACTCAGCACAGCCTTTTTTAATTCCACTTAGCTAAGTTCCATAAAAAACGGACAGTTCCGATATGGATACCCCATAATCCCTTTGGAACCTCTGCTCCCTGTCCTGCCCTTTCCAGTTCCCTAGCAGCGCACCCCAAAGCCTCACCCAGGCTGCCACTGCCAGGCCGCCCCTGCCCCGAACTTCCCACCGCCGCCGCTGCAGTGCCCATCACATCCCCCCCTTGTAGCCGCTGCATCCGGCGCTGCTCCGCCATCACGGGCAGCAGCTCGCAAGGTACCCGCATCAGTTCCGACACGCCACGCGATAGGCTGTCGATGTTGCGTGCGGCGCGGTCCGCAAGGTCGCCGTACACTTTGGGCAGCATGCGGTGCACGAACTCCTGGTTTGCGGGGTACTGCTGCTGCCACTCGGAAAGCACCTGGCCCAGAGAGTTGGTTAGCAAGCTAACCAGGCTCTGCCGATGCGGAATAACGGCGGTAATAAGGTAGGAAAAATTCGACGTTGGCAGTACGCAGGATGGGACGTGGTAGGCCAAAGAGGCGAAGCGGGCGGTTTCAGGGCGCAGATGAGGGCAGCGTGGAACGGACTGGAACGGTTCCAAGTTGGAGTCAAAGGGCGATGACGGCACCCCACGTCAAAGTCCTCGCAGCCTAGCCCTGAGGACCTAAGGACCCACTGAAGATCCCCTGGAGCCCTCCCCACCCCCAAAAAAGGGTTCCGGCCCCCTCCATTCCCGCGTCCATACGCGGAGACAGGGTCCAATGCTCTTGTTGTTCCTCTCAAGCGGACTTCCCGAATGCTGCCCGCATCCCTCCCACGTCTCCCGGCTCTCCCCGAGTCCCACACACCTCCAGCCTCCGTTCCTCCCGCTCCAGCTCGAAGGCCGCGGCCTCCAGCCTCCCCACCTCCTCTACCAGCTCTCCCTGGTCCTCCGCGTCGCGGATGAGGACATCGAAGGAGGCACGGCCCGCCCCCAGGGCGGCACGCACACCCTCGTTCTGTGGATGCATGCAACAGCGGTTTGTCACCAACACCGGGACATTAAAAATATTTGTCATTGGGTTTCAGTACAAGACGCCTCTTAGATGGGTAAGGTCGGAGGACTTCCACGGGCGGGACAACAGCAACCGCACCACTGCGTAAATTTTCAGCTGCCAATAAAAAAGAGTCGAAAAAAAGGGGGAAAGAGGTCAGGGAGGAGTATGCCCGGGAAGAGATAACGTGCCGTTTCGCACCTTGACCCTCGTCCTGACGGTCGGCTGGCTGAGCGCCTGCTTGACTGCGGGAAGCATCGCCAGCTCCGTCAGCCGGGTCTTGGCAGCGAGCACCTGGTTCTCCAGGCGACGAAGCTCCACGTAGCTGTCCACTTGAGCCTGAGGACATGACGAAAATGGGGGGTCGTAGATGGCTGGGTAAGAAGTGAGTGTAGAGCGGCGGCTGTGCCCGATAGTGGATTACGAGGGAGGCACGAGGGTGGAAGACGGAATTACGCCGGTAGCAGCGGTAGGGACATCCTGCTCTCCTATCCTGGTTACTTAATGTGTGGTTGTGGGACTTAATGTGCGGTTGCATCGTGCGTCTATTATCAACCGGTGGGCATTCTTTGCAATTTGTGGCTCCTACTGGCCAAACAGGCCACCCACCGTACGTCAACACCAGGCATCAGAAGCCCAATCCTTGTACACACGCCACATACGACAATTAGATCATCGACTTTTCTCCTGCCAACGTGCAGGCATGCTGGTGGCATTACATATTCTCTAAGGCTAACTAATCCGCCGCCCACCTGCTGCATTTTCCGTACATCGTACAAGGGGTCCACGGCCGCTCCTAGCGCCTGGCATCGTCGTCGCGCGTCTGCGAGCAAGTCCCAGCCGCCCACCAGCACCGACAGACCATTGCGAGATGATCTGGACAGCTGCACGCGCGGGACGGGTCGTATGGGCACCAGGCGGGGAACATGTGAGTCGTTCCTCGAGCCTCAACCCACCCGAGAGCTAGCATGACACCTCCTCAGCATGTTGCATCCGTGGGGACACCGTGGATTTCACACAAGGATGTCACAGGTAAGAGACCCACGTGACCCAGACCCTGAGCCGGGCGAGCATGTAGCAAGGGCGCACTCACGTGACCCCCGGCTCGCCCTGAGCTGCGCTGGGCGCTTCCGCCCATGAGTGTCAACAAGCATGTTAACAAGCATGCGTCTCTAAAGGAAGCGCGCGTTGGAGTAACCCCGGCTCTACCCCACGTCAGTCAGGCGAAGTATACACACGGAACACATGCTTCTTACCCAATGCGGTTTGGGTCCTAGCCGATTTGGGTCCTCACAAACGTCATTACATCGACCGTTTCATTGCGTGTATGCCTCAACGGGGCTCGTAAGTCGTAACACACCGACAGACACAGTTACGCCTTACCTGGCAGATTGCGTGCACCAGCTTCTGTGGCGGCAGCAGCAGAAAGGTGCTCAGCTGTCGCTGCAGGACGCTGCTACGAGGCAGGTGCAGGAACTTCTCCAGTTCAGGTTGCGGATTCGCTCCGGGAAAGGGTGCGCTCAGCGCTCCCGCGAAGGGGTCCACACCTAAGGGGTCGCCACCGCTGGTCAGCATAAGCGAGCCGTGCATACCGCCAGCTGCGGTGTAGCACAGGGACGAGGACAAAAGGTGCCAGCGTGGGTGCAGAGATGGGGCACACATTGGAGAAAGGTCCTGAAGGACATACGGCCCTTGTAAAGATTGCTCCGGCGCCTCTCTGAATGCGGCTTGGCATGCTTCATCTACCAAGCGCGTGTTTATGATGGTTGCTGTGGCCCTGGCCCTGGCCGTGGTCGTGACATGTCTGGTATGGCGAGACGCGACGGTGTAACTGCTAAACGACAGCAACAACTGCAGTGGATTAGGGTAGCGGCCGCAACCCCACTCTAGGGAAAGGAAGAAGAAAGGAAGGGAGTGGGAGGTAGGTCAAGTAGCCAAGCCGCAAGCTCACCTGCGGCGGCATCCATGCTCGCAGCGTTGAGTTGCATCCAAAGCTCCTGCTGCACAAGGGCACACATCTGCCCCACGCGCTCCACCGTGGCGCCATCGCCGCCAGGATCTGACCCAGGGGTCCGGAAGGGATCGAAACCGTCGGCAGGTAAGTAAATGCCCTTACCCCACCATGATTGCGCCTTCGCAGTGAAACGACTTAGACGTCATGGGAGGCCCCCGCCGCTGACCTTATCCTCCATCCCTGCTTTTAGGGGCTTATGCTGGCCATGGCCCCTCTGTGCTTCGGGCGGTGCGACTGATTTAAGAGATGCTGATGTAGGTTACGGGTACAGGAGGCATGTGGCCGATTGGGCACCCAGCGGACGGCACCCTGCCCAAGCCCTCATGTGGCAAGTGGCAAAGCGCTGCGTGTTCGCGTCTTCTAAGGAACCCACCTGCCTCGCCAAGCATTCGCGACCGCACCGCCTGAATCTGCTGCCGCTGTCGATATGTGAACTCTTCCAGGGAAGGACGCAACCGCCTGCTGCGATTGACGAGCAGCGCTAGTAGGTTCGCCTGCGCGAGCAGCGGAACAGGCGACGCTCCAGCCATTCTAACCGCAATCTCCACGTACACTACTTGATAAAAGGTGTGGCCCCGCAGGGCTTGGGGACAACTTCACCATGGTCCAGAAGCAATGAGGTCTGGGAAGGAACCTGCCCACTGAGAACCGCAACGTGCTGAGCCTGAAGCCGCTCTTCTCCAGCCCCTCCACCCGGCCCTGCCCCTCCGTTTGCCCCTCTGCCCCATTCCTCTGCTGGAGGTATCTCAAAGCCTCTCCCGGCCCTCTCGCCTACCCTCTCCCTCTGTTGCTGCTGCTCCAGCTGAAGGCGAGTCAGCTTGGCCTGGTCCTCCAGGCCGGCGCCCAACTGCGACCGGACTTGCGCCTGAGAGATGAAGGCACAGGGTGGCGAAATGCGCAAGCGGGTCCGTTGAGTAAGGGTCTCCTGGAGCCTAAGCGGGCATACGTTTGCGAGACAGGCAGCAGGAAAAGGCAACACGTCTGGATAGGAGCCTGCAAACATGTGCCCATTGGCTAGCATAATACTTGCATTTCGCTTTGGGAGCAAAGGTTGGGAACAGGACCAACACTTACAAGAAACTGAGCGAAGTCAAAACCCTTGTAACCCGGTTGCACAGTGCGGAGGTGCAGTGAAAACCACGTAACAACTCTTCTCGCAGCTGAGGGAAGCCTGTGTCGGGTTTGCGCCTCCCGAACCTGTGCTTATGAGGTTGGTTGGTACGCTGGGGACCTGTCGTGCACCTGCCACACACCTCGAGCTGGTCTTGTGCCAACTCCTGCTCCCGTACACGCGCCTTGCGCGCCTCTAGGCAGCGCAGCGCCGCTTGAAGTTTATGATCGATTGTGACTTCTTTTCCGGTCCGCGCCCCGTTGTCCTTCGCTTTGTTTGCTGCTGCCCGTAGCCGCTGGGCATCCTCGGCGCCATGGAACGCGGAGATAATCGCGCTGACTGCATCCCGGTTTTGAGGACGCAAATGACGAATAACTTGTGCTCTAGTTGTAGCTGCGCCCCCTTCTGCTGGCTGCCGAAAGTCCGTCGCCTTTCCAAGACGCAGCAATCCTTCAACCAAGGGGTCCCGATGCTGAACCATGACGCAAGTTCACCAAGCTCACAGCTGAGAGATGCAAGGCACTTTTGCTTGAAATGTTGATATGCAGAACAAGGCACCTATGCTATGCCGTTGGGAGGGGCACAGCAGGAGAAGCTCTTTTTGCAGAGCGAAGGTCATATTCAGCTGCGTGAGTAGCAAACATCTCCGTAAGGTTCATGGTCAAAAGAGTAACAGAACTATGTTCTAGGAGAAAGTCCACGAAAAGCTGTCGTGCTCTGATTGAATTACAGTTCATGGAATTCCCATTGCTGTTGCCTGGTCCGTCACCATAACCCGCCTATAGAGCAGGTATCACCTGTGCACCCTATGTAGCAGACAAACTTTACAAGAATGCACACCTACGTTACTCACCGTCGCATCGGTGGTCTTAAGACACCAAGGACATCAAACACTTGGTCTGAAAAGATCCTAAGTTTGCTCTTAATAACAGCATCAGTAGCGCTTGCAATTGCTTGCGTTGCAGCTGTCATGCAGAGCTTCCATCTTTCCGTCACGATGCGTCCGGTCCGGTTGGGCGCTAAAATAAGTGCGGAGAAAGATCAAGGTAGGGGTTTGCGTGTCCCTTTGTTGGAAACAGAACGGAAGGCACACACCTTAAGGTTCAAACTGACTGAGTGTAACTGCGCATGGCTCAGTTTTGCGCAGAGTTTTCTGGTTGTGGGTACAAAATGTGTGAAGGATTTTACGGATTGTATGGACCTCCCACTTCTCGTTGCTGCGATTGCAACAGTCTTGCGTAACGTTGCCACATCTGTCCTGCTGTCACGAACAGCCTATTCATACATGAGATGTAGCTAGTAGCGCCAGAACCTGGGAAGGCCACCCTGCGAAACGCTGAGCTTTTCCTGCGCACCTCCTGCCAACTCGTCCCCACCGGTGCAGGACAAGGACACACCGGGTCTGCAGACACGTCCTCCAGCGGGACGCAGAGTACTGCGAAACACACGGTTGTTGACGTTGTCCGGCTCCGAAAAGCAGCCAAAGTTCTGGATCCGGAGGTCATGGAGCAGGTGCCAGACACGTTCTTGAGCGAGGTGAAGAACCCCTGCTGGAACACCAGCAACGGGGATTTCAGGTATGCCATTGGGTGCAAGGTCAGGGCCCTGAGGAAACCCACATCAGATAACCACCGGCACAGGCGGTATGAGGCAAGGACTGGGCGCGTGCTGCTCGGGGTGCACATCAGAGGGGCAGGCAGGCTATGTGTAATCCCTGGGTCTGCGGCTTTACCCGTGTGTGTACCCCTGTGTAAGAAACCTCTGCTTATGGGCTCGCATGTGCATGACGGCAGGTGTCTGCCGTATTTCTACGTCACTGGCATGTTTCACGCGGGAGCGATGAGTATCTCGACTAAGCTTATGCAGCACCCGGACGTCGTGGTGGTAAGTGGCTGCAGGACTGGGACGGGGACGTGGAGGGAAGCGAGCCATTGGGAGGTGGTTTTGGAGCATGTTTTATCTCGCGCGCCCCTGCCATCGCCTCCAACGTCCTTAAGTGCACATGCAGGACGCATGCTCGGGGTGCCAATTCTGGGGCGAAGAGGGCAAGACGATGGCATTCTACCTAGATAATATGAAGGAGGCTCCTAAGGCCATTCGGCAGAACCCTGACACAAAGGTGCGAACCGCGGAGGCGTGGAGGGCGTTAGCCGATGACCAGGATTATCAGAGAGGATGGGGCCCTGATGCGGACGACGAAGTCCAAGGGAGCGGGCTGTAGCTGCTTGAAAGGGAGAGAGGATGGGCTGTCGGCCTCGCCCTGTAGCGCTCAACCCAGCCGAGGCGGGGCGATGGAATGGGCAGGTGTTTGGTAGGTCTACATGGTGTCCTCGATTCGCTGAGCCGCTATCCGCTCGTTGTATGCACACCCCCATGGCCAGAACATTCGCTCCGAGAGCAATAGTCGGAGGTCTTGGTCAGCATGCGCGCCTCCACGTATCTTGATGCGCTCCTGATCAGTGCTGCCCGCCCGCCCGCTCATCTGACCACTGCCGTACGGAATGACATAGGTCCTTATGGATAGCTCAGCCTCCACGTTCGCATTCTACTGGGCCGCGGCCGGTAAGGCCCACAGGTACGGTATGAGTGTACCTCGCCCCGTACGCTCCTCCCTTTGGAGCGTGGCGGAGGACACGGGATGGGTCGACCTACGGGTCAATCAGGGCGCCTCATTAGGGGGAGCGCGCTCTCGCTGATTGATGCTCGGGGGCGCGATGACTTTGTACCATGGCTCTTGCTACCGGGTTCCGTACCACCCTGGCTGCCGCTGTTACCGGGGATGCAAACAGCGACTTCCTAAGGACGGGCTCTCAAGAAATCTCCGCAAGTCCATCCTGTGCCCCGTCGTTTCCTTTCCTATATCTCGCCGCTCTGCGCTTCTTCTATCTCCCCAATCACCTCGCGCTGCCTGATTTTTTCCCACTTGTTTCTTAGTCACATTATCCATCTGATTCTGGGCGTTTCATTCCAACCCCACCAAAACCTGTCCAACACCTAATCCTAAACGAGGCATTACTTGAATTGGGGCGACGATGGAGTTGCACGCGCGTATGTGTTCCGTGTGTAGACCTGGCCCTGGTACCTTATTTCCCATATTTCTTGGCTGGTCTTATCCCGGATAGGGGCTATGCGGATGCCATGAAGCCTTGCTATCGCGCTTGCGTGGAGCTATTCAATACAGAAAAGGTTCCCGTGGGCACCTGCATGTCACAAAGGTGCTACAACACAAGCGTGGCTGCGGACAGTAAGGTAGGTGTGCTCAGGTGCCTGCTGGAATGGGAGGTTACTTGGCGGAGGTAGGTGACGGTGTTGCCGGCCCAAGTTATGCCGTAATAGTTGACAACATGCCTTAGGTCAGCTGCGTACTACTGCTACTGCTGCAGCAGCTCGATATTTGTCCCACAGCATGTGCTTCTTGCCTGGCCTTCGGACGGACCGGAATTTTTAACAAGGTTCCTGGTCAGACTTTCGTTAGTTGGCATTATGGTGGAGTCACCATTACATCGGACCCCTGGTGCTGCTTGCTGCTCGTAATCCGTACCCCTAACACAGCGCGCCACTGACGCGGGTATCGACTGGGAAACGGAAGCGCACAATCCTTTGCTGGTCCGCGCTGTCTACGGCGACAAGATGCCTAAAATGATCTTGGTCGCGCGCGACCCCATCGCCCGTCTCTACTCGGCCTTCCACGGCTACCCTCACTACCATGGGAAATATGGTGCGTCTGGGGGCAATGGCGGGGGGAGCGGATTTGAAGGATGGGAGCCACGGAGGAAACCGACCCGAACGTCGATTCCTCTCTCACGTTATAACCTTGGACCCCGGCTCGGTCCTCAAGGCCCTCTTCCTCTTCCCCCTTAGTATCTCGTAACTTTAGGCATCTCACTCCGTAAGCATTGCAGGCCGCACTGGCGCTCTAGCGATTTTGCCTAAACCCAGTAGGATGCGCTGGATAGATTTATTACAGCCCAGGGTTGGTTTCCCCCCGCAGGCAAAAGCAGCTCGGGCTTCACGGCATATGTAGAAGAGCAAGTGGCTGCCTTCCGGGCGTGCGCGCAGGACTTTGGGGAGGCTCCTTGTGCGCTGTACTTTGAGGCTCTGAGTCATCGGGAGGAGCAGGTGTACTTCCACGCCGACCAGGTAGGGAGGAAATGACAGGGGGCAAATTTGATGAATGGATAAGGCTCTTTTGAAGCATCCTTGTGCCGGCCTTCCTGTGTCTCATGAGCCCTTCTGTTGGTCTCTTCACCCCATCCTTTCTTTTAACACCCTTTCCTTTTTGCGCCTCTGCCCATCTTTCCGCTGTGAGCGCCTCTCAACTCCCCCCTACTGAGTGCAGCTCATGCGCGGCATGTACGGCCTGTTCCTGGAGATCTGGTACCGCTTCATTCCCCCGTCGAACTGGATGGTCGTGCATTCGGATGACCTGTTCCAACGACCCAAGGAGACCATGGCCAAGCTTGTGGACTTTCTGGGCCTTACGAAGGTCGACGATGCCACATTGACGCGCATGGTATGGTCCTTCTAATGCTTATCGGCGCGGTCGCACGTTATACGGCGCACGTTATAATGCGCACGTTATAACTCCTTGTTTTTCCGCCTCCGTGCTTCCCCATCGTCGCCCTAATGCATGGGCCACCAGTCGGCGAGCCTGTCGTTGTTTCTCTGCGATGGGTACTTGGAGGGGTATTATATAATGTTAATGGGCTGATCTTGTCACGGATAGTGAGGTCAGCATTCATTGCATTCACCTTCCCTTCCCTCAAGGTACAGCACGACATTGGGTGGTCCCGCTGCGTCCAGACACGCAATGTTAGAACCTCATTCCGCTGTTTGCCCCTCCCTTGAAACATATCATGCGTCGTTTGGTTTGATTGGATGGTTACCCCCTAACTCGAAGCTTCTTGTTGGTCCCGTTCGTTGGACTCCGCTTCGGCCCTGCAGGCCAGCGCCGGGACGCCGCAAAGCTTCACCAGGGGGCAGGAGCCCGTGCAGCCGCGGGCACGGCAGCTCCTCATGGAGCTATACAAGCCGTACAACACCAAATTAGCGCAGCTCACAGGCGACAGGCGATATGAGAAGTGGAACGAGCAACCTGCCAGTCATTAACCGGGTCAGGGCCTAGCGTCTTGCGTCTGCCATTGTAGGTAAGGTGTGTCCAATTGTGAGCAAAGGGCTCTCCGGCTTGCGGCTCGGAGAGGGCAGTGAGGAGGCACAGAAGGGCCCGGCAGCATGCAGTATGGCATGGCTGGTGGGCTTAGGCCACCTGGTGCCGCAGCCAAATGACGGCCGGAAGTTGTCTCGAATTGTAAGGGTGGTCTGGGTGAATGGCTTTTTGCGTGTCACCGTGTTTGGTGGCGGCAGGCAGTCCAGTTGAGGTTACCGTGATGTTTGACGTGTGCATATGTCATGATGCTACTATAATGAGAGGTGTTGAGGAGTCATCACCAGGCGCAAGGCGAGAGCTAGGCTACGTATCGCATATGTGCATATCGGTGGTTGGGGTGGCGGCGGTAGTAATGGTAAGGGTGGTGGTGTTAAGTGCAAATGTGCGTGATGGAGAGGAGCGTGAAGCATTTTGGGACGCTGCGCAATGTTCCGAAGGCCAGCAAGCTCAACCTATTTTATCGCTTGTGAGACAGATCGGATTATAGCGCCAACATTGAACGTAGGGGCTTCAGTCGCGATCATGTTAACCACATACGTGGCATCATCATCATCATCATCATCATCATCATCATCGTCACTAAGCAAGGAACCTGTGAAAATGATTGCGGAGAAAGGCAGCGGCAGCAGTGCCGCAAGCTATTCTTTTGCGCAGGGCAATTTTGTGACGGGGGTTATAGAAAAGCAGAAGGCATGGCGGTGGCAAGAGTCGAAGACAACGCCGGTTGGGACCGCGGATAAACTTGCGGACATGGGGTTTAATGGGACTGCGCGCTTTGGGACAGTGTAAGGAGGGTCCTACAGCCTGCCTAGTTCGACTTGGGCATTCTGTGTACATGCGACATAAAAAACTCTTGCGCGGCATTGCAATTTCACGCAATGTAATCACCCGGAACCTATGCAATCCTATTGAACGACCAGGATTCCTCCCGCATCTTCTCCCGGCTGTCCTTTGATGTCTCAATGCACTTCATCGTCCCTTCATATTGCGGTGCTTCGTTAGACCTTTTCGTTGGCTTAGACTTCCTTCTCTGGTAACGTATGTGCCGCTGCGCTGGTGCACACACGGCACACTGTTGCAGGGTCTGCATGGCATGGGTTTACAAAATAATTGCGCAGGGAACCTGGCAACAACCTTAGGTCCGAAATGGTTTTCATCTTGCCTCAAGACTAGGCGCTCCTCCTTGCAAGGAGGCTCCTTGCAACGGCGGCCCCACCCATATGGCAAAGCACCACCACTATATCCGACCCACACAGCCAACAAGCCTTTCATGTGCTCCTATCGTAGCCCGCGCCTAATCTGATATCAGCCAAAGCCACCACCTTCGCTTCGTAACCGAAGCTCTGCGGACCATCCTTGCACATCACCCGCCATGACGTCGCGTCACCACTGACCGCATCCTGCAGCCCAGTTAGGCCAACCGCCTCTTGCCACGGCCTGTCTTCGTCCGTCCGCATACTGCCTATCCACCCGGGCACAGCCTCGGTGGAGCAACTTGCAACACGTGGGAGGTTTGCTCCTTGCTGTCCAAAGCGCAAACTGTTACACCTCGATGAATTTTTCACTCTAGCGGGGGTCCACAATCCTACAACCCTCCTCGGCGGTCCGCACGTCCACCAGTCTCAACTTGCCTTGGCGGTTGCGTCCATCAACTTGGCACCTCATTGCAGCTCGCGTGCCTTACAGCAAACTCCCGGCCGTCGCGATGCAGGGCCCTTAGCCGAACACGCGATCCTAGCGGCAGGGGTCAGACCTCTGGTTGCCCCACGCCGTACTTTTGCTTGACCATCTCCTCCGCTTCCTGCAGCGTCCCTGCCGGGTGGATCAGCTGCCAGTCCACCACTGCCGCCATCACCCGACCTAGCTCGGGACCAGGCTTGGACCAGCCAAGCAGGCTCATCACCTGCGACGGATCGGGCGGGGGGGTTTGCACGACACGCACAGCGAGGCATCCTCCCTCAGCACACCCAAATGAATCGCTGTGCGTTTTGGCGTCAGCAGTGGCTACGTTCCTAAAAACCCCTAAAACCCTACACTTTCCAAACCTCCACCCCACGACCGTGAATTGAACCGTTAGGCTCTTCCCCGAGTCCAATTTGCAGTTTCCATGAAAACTCCCCAACCATCACCTGCCGCCGCAATTCAGACGAACGCCATTTTACAAACGGCTTCCGCACCTTTTTTCCGTCCATGAGGGGCTTCCAAGACCAGCACTCTGCCAGACCGTACGCCTCCACCGCGGACAGCAGCTCCCGAGCCATTTCCAGTCGCGCAGCGGCGGCCTCCTCCGACAACTCACCGCCTCCGTCTACGGTAGAGTCCTCCGAGCCGCCCGCGGATCCAGACCCAGAACTAGAGGCCGCATCTTTGCCCAGCGGTGCCGCCGCGCGCATGAGAACCACCGGTGCTAAGACGACGCCTGCGTGGAGTGCGGCATTGCAGCGTTGCAGCAGTCGTGGCGTTGTGGTGTATGCAGTTGGTGCAAGGTAGCCGAGTCACGATGCATCGATGCGATGACAATGCGGAGGGGCCGCGGGGCGTGGTGGGTTGGAGCGGTAGTACACACACAGGGCGCGGGCCAAGAAGCGGAGTAGGGAGTACGAGATCATACATGTGGTAGGTTTGGTAGTGCGTTTGGGAGCTCCTGCGCCATGTCCCCTCTTACATTGGCTACCAAGGACGCCATCCATCCCGCACGAAGCCAAGCCTCTCACGTGCAATTCCACTCACCAAGCTTCCAGTGCTGCTTTAGCTTGCGAATTGCTTGTCCAAGCATTACCCGGACATCCTGCTCGCGGCCCGGCGCCGCGTCAACGCTGCCGGCAGCGGCACCCTTGGACAGTACGGCATGCGCGGCCGCCAGCTCCGCCGCCGCATCATGCAGCGCCCCAGTCATCTCAATGTCCTTGACGCGCCACTTGATCGAGTCACGGATGAGGGCTGCGGTGGCGGGCACCGGCTTGCCCTTGGCGGCCGGCGCACGGAGGTCGCGCAGCGGCAGCAGCAGGGCCGCCAGCAGCAGGAAGCGTCGCTCTTCCTTGTCCATCTGTAGCGGCCCATGGTTGAGGGAAAGAAGAGCGGAGGAAAATGGGGAGCACCGATTCAGACACGACCCAAGGATTTGGGCACTGTGGGCGAATAATGGTAATGTCGGAATCCGCACCCGGGGTAGCTGCTGCTGCTGCTGCTGCTGCTACTCTTGCTGCTGCCAGCGCGACCTGATTCATTGGTATCCAGGACACGTCAACACCGCTGCCCGCTACCCGCCCCGACTGACCTCAGCTAAGCAGACCCACCGCACACTGCTAGCGCGACCAATACGCCATTCCCCATGCCAATCCTGGAAAGACCGTCCTGGTCCGCCGTCCTCACCCCGCAGCATTGGCCGGTGCATGGCCGCACAATGGCCCATGGCTGGGTCCCGGCCTGCTGTATGGCGTGTATGTTGTTGCTAAACAACGGCCTAGTGCCCGCACGAGCAAAGTGCATTTGACACAGACCTGCAGGCCCAGAGCACATGCGATGCCGTCCGCTGCTGCCATGGATGTGCAGCACGGCCCGCCATACGCGCTGCCAAGTCGCGATTGGAGGGAGGGCGGTAGTCCGAAGACTGACGTGAAGAGGCCCAGCCGGTGCAACAAGCGTACAGCGTCCACGGGCGAGGGGCCTGTGAAGGTCCGAAAGGGCCTTCTTGAAGTAAACTTCCAAGTGGATTAATGTAAACACTCTCGCGCGCGTGTGGGCGTGCGTACATGGGTACGTGTATTTCGCCTTTTGGAGAGCCTCAAAATGCGCAGCGTGCGTGTCAAGTACGAAACAATCTCACCGTTGAACATCCCCTCAAGTTCCGTTCCGACGCGCTCCTTACTGATCTTTGTAGCCAGCGCACTTCGTACCTACGGAATGCCGTACGACGTGCGAGGGTCAACACGTGCAAGTATGAGTCGAAACAGAAACTGGGGATACAGATGGTACTAAAACGGAGAAGAAAAATATGCTGAAATTACTTCAGTTGCCCCATGCGCACCTATTGGATTGGTAAAGTTGCGGATTTGGCCTTACGTAAGGTGCCCAAGGAGGTGCGCCACCTGCACCACGCATAGCTGCAATTCCTATTAGATTTGTCTGATACTTTGAAAGCCTATTTTCCACATAGTTTGCATGACCCAAACGGTTGGCAAGCGGCCCGCCGAAGATATGACGCAAGTCAAGTTGAATGTCAAATGGGGAAAGGAAACATACAACGATGTCGAAGTCGACGTGTCGCAGCCACCTCTGGTTTTCAAATCACAGCTGTTTGCGTTGACGGGCGTGCCGCCGGACAGACAAAAGGTCATGATAAAGGGCGCACTGCTCAAGGATGATGAGTGGGGAAAGTCCGCACCAAAGGAGGGCATGACAATTATGCTTATGGGCTCCGCGGAAGCAGTGCCAGTGGAGGCCCCGAAGAACATCCCGAAATTTGTGGAAGATCTGCCGGAGGCCGAGCAGGAACATCTGGAGACCAAGCGCTTTGGTGCCGGCCTGCACAACCTCGGCAATACATGTTACATGAATTCCACACTGCAATGCATGTTCGCGGTGCAGCCGCTCCGTGAAGCCCTCTACAAGAAGGCCTCAGGCGCTGGGGGTGACCCGACTGGCCGTCTTGTGACGGCCATCGCGGAGCTTTTCAAGGACTTGGAGAGCGGCGGCGCCCCCTTCCCGCCTTACGCATTCCTCGTGGCGCTGCGCGCAAAGTTTCCGCAGTTTGCCCAGCAAACGCAGGGCGTGTTTGCGCAGCAGGACGCGGAGGAATGCTGGACCAACGTCATGTACGCTATGCGCGAGAAAGTAAAGGTCCGTCAGCTACGGGAAGGACAGAAGCGGCTGTTCACTGAAACGATTCCCCGGTGGGCAGAGCAAGTCCATGGGACAGCAACGCACAGGGCCACACCCCTGTACGAGAGTTGGGCGGTGACAGACGGCCCTCTGTACGCAAGCATCCGATAGCACATTGCCCTACACAGTTCCCAATTGCGTCCTTCCGAGGTTGGCTGACGTCTAAGCCCATACGCCGCCCCTTGCACTCCTCCTAACCGCAGGACGAGGACGGGAACCCCGTGGTGGACAAGCTGTTCGGCATGCGGACCCGTCTGCGCCTCAAGAGCGACGAGTCTGCCGAGGAATTCACGGTACGCACCAAGCGGCCACGGGGGAGCGCCTCATTGACCCAATTCTCGAATGGGCTTTTCTCTCCGGGTCTTTTATGTAAAACCCCTCCAATAAGTCTCCACTCTGCTCCACAGCCTTGTTGCCTGGAATGTATGGAATGTATCATTGCAATTGCAAAACGCCATGCAATGACAGCAAGGCATGTATAATTTCTTCGCGCCCGACCCGTGCGTGCCTGACAGCGCTCGATATTCACGCAAGTAGCCTCCCATCATCCATAAGCTTCTAACCCCATAGGTCAGCCGCGTTCCGCCTGGCTGGTCAATTTGCGGTTCTTTAATAACATCTCCTCTGAACATGCATTGATAATGACAACAATCGAATGCCCCAGGAGGACGGCATGACGTACACGCTCAAGGTGAATATTGAGGAGAAGACGGCGCACGTGAGCGAGGGCGTGGCGCTGGGGCTCAAGGAAGAGCGCGAGCGCAGCAGCGTGGCGATGGGCCGTACTGTGGTTTTCCGCGGCGGAACGTCACTCACAGCCCTGCCGCCATTCCTTACGCTGCAGATGATGCGCTTCTTCTTCAGGTGCTGCTGCTTCTCCATTGTCTGCCTTATAGCGTTCGTTAGCCCTGTCGCAGCTGCTGCCTCTGCAGCACATGCTGCATTAGCGGCCCGAGCAGGACAGGATTGGCCTCCGCTTCCCGGGTCAGGTCTTAGGAGACCACAGCGCAAACCGGTGTTGATTACCTTGGGTTCCTTAATTTGTAAACCTCCACAGGTCACATAGCCTTCCAATCCATGGTTTAGCATGTATTCTCAGCTCACTCTGGCGAGAAAAGAAAAGGCGCAGCCTAAGTCAGGCCTACAACAGGCAAACCGTCCGCCCATTCTTTGCATTCCCCACTCTCGACAGGCGCGATAATGGCCAGAAAGCCAAGATCTTGAAGAAGATTCCATTCTCGCTGGAGTTTGACGCGTTTGAATTTTGCAGCGACGAGCTCAAAAAGGAGCTGGAGGCTCCTCGTGTCGCATACAAGGAGGCTCAGGACCGCGAGATTGAGGCCAAGAAGCTGGCCAAAAAGGTGGGGTTTGGCTGTAAGTTGGTGCGGGACCCTGGAATCTGCAACGCGACGACAACTTCCTTCCATGATTGTAATCTAGCACAAATCTCGAAACATTGCATCGCATGGCCTACTTTTTGCACAGGGCCCGGGTCCCTCGGCTGTCGCCACCGCCTCTGCTGCTTCTGGAACGCTCACCGCTGCCAACGCCGTTGCGGATGTGGACATGAAGGAAGCTGCGGTGGCGAGCACGAGCGCACCCACTACGTCTTCTTCCACAAAACTATCTATGACGGGTACGTTTACCTGCAAGGCGTGCTGTGATGTTATTGTATAACTACCTGCCTACAAATTGGGTTGGGAAGCGTAGTTAAGTGCAGCTGCCCAGGTGTGTGCACCTGCTGTCGTGTATTGTAACGCAATCCCTATACATGGAGTTATCGTTGGTGCTTCATCGCCTTTTGCTTCGCTTGCAGGTAAATATGAGCTGGTGGGCGTGGTGACACACAAGGGTCGAACGGCCGACTCGGGACACTATGTTGCATGGGTGAAGCAGTCGTCGGACGGTACGTGGGTATGTTTCGACGACGATAAGATCACGGTGCGCACGGAGGAAGAGGTGCTGCAACTCAGTGGCGGTGGTGACTGGCACATGGCTTATTTACTGCTCTACCGCGCCATCATGGTCGACATGTCGGGTGCTGTGCCCGCCGCGGTTTCGGAGGCAGCGCAGCCGGCAGCGGCTATGGAGACGGAGGGCGGTTCAAGCGCATAATGCATTTGCTAGTGCTCATGAGGAATAATGAACGGTCGGACAGGGACTCGTCTGACGATACCGAGCTGTTGAAAAACCCAGTTGGGCTAGGTGCCGGAGCCACAGGGTATCATGCACGACGCCTGTCACGGCGCACTAGGCAGACGTTTTGGTGATGTGGCAAGAGGGTTAGGTAATATTCTTGTGCAGCAACGACGCCATAACCGTTCTTGCACGTAGAAAGTTATCAAGGTACATTCGACGTTTGGTGGAGGAGAAAAGCGGCGGGTTAGCACTATATAGCAGTGAAAGTTTTGTTGGCAGGAACATCCAGGCATGTGTGTACATATTGTACAGTCAAAGATAGCCTCTCAGGAGGGCGGTTTTCAAAAGTAGCCCGTTCAGTCAGCGACCGCAGTAGTCACACGCCCTCCAGCCAGCTTTAGATGCGTCTGTGTTGAGACTTTACCCGGAATGTCCGATTCGCTATCTCATAGTTCGGCTTCATTGTTCACGTTTTTAGCTCATTTCTTTTCACTATGTAGACAGATGGCTGCTTTTTCGTTGGCGTGCGAACCGTCAGCCCCTTGACTAACGCTACCACCACATTAGCCCCGAACACACCTGCTCCGAGGCCGCTGCTTCCAGGATGTCCGGATGAAGTCGGAAGCCGAACCGGGTGCCGAAGCGCACTGCCCGCAGGACCCGCAGCGGATCTGTTGACAACATCCGGTCAACGGGCGAAATACTTTGTGACCGACATACGTATTAATCAAGCGCTGCTCACAACTACACATAATCTTGCGTTGCATAGAAAACCACACCAGCGCTTACGCTCACAGCGATAGCTGACCCAGGTTAACAAAGCGGCTTGACCTGGCATGAGGTCACACGGCCAGTTGCCGATAGGTCATCGGCTGCCACAGCATATGGCATCACAGAATCTGAACACCACATCGTGAAACGACCCGTGCGGCCTCCCCGGTAAGGCCTCCTAGGGTGTGCCAAACTCAATCCCCCCTCACCATCGAGAAAGGTCTCCCGTGGCGGCAGCGGCGTGCGAATTAGGCCGTCGCGCAGGTCCTGCGCAGTACGACATGGTACAGCAACCTTCATGGCGCGCGACAGCAGAAATTGAGCAATCCAGCCGATCACGCCTTTGACGCAAATAGAGCTTTTAACGAAGGTTTCCCCGGCGAAAGTTCCGAATAGCAGAGCATTGGGTCCTGCACACAAACTGCCACACGCGCAGCGCCCAATCGCAACCCCGCACCTGCAGTCCGCGCCCTGTGAGGTCCTCTACCACGCCGCGTTGGGTGATGTTGTAGAACAGCGCGTTGATCGTAAAGTCACGTCGCATTGCGTCCTGCATGCGGTCAGGAAATAATCACATCACACATGCCAGGATTCAGGAGAATCGAAAATTACCCGAATAAATGTGAACCTCGTCCGTCATAACGTTTCCGAATAAGCAACCTAGCATTCAAAGTCACACAGAAAATCCACGCGGAGAGAAACGTCCACGCGATTTCGGAGGATGCCTTGCCGCATTGCTATCGCGATACTTTCCTAACACGGACGCCGCAAGGTCGTACAGTACGGCGTGGTGCGTCGTAGTACGTACCTGCTCGGGCGTGCCAAAAGTCATGCTGGGGATGCGCGAATCTGCGGCATAGGTTTCGGAGCGCAGGTTGACAAGGTCGATCCACATCTCCCCGATCTTCATGCGCGCCGTCTCCAGGTGCTTGGACTGATCGGGATTGGACTGGATCACTGCGGCGTGTCTGGCCTCCCGGCCCTGAGAGCATGTAATGCGGCACGGCGGGGAGGGACGCAGAGGAACGCGGTACGGCGGGGCTCAGCCGTTAAGGATGGAGGAGCGGAGCTTCGCATGTTGTGCCGTGTGTCAGACGGCATGGGGCTTGAACAGATCGCCGGCGTGAGCCGGTAACACAACTGTTTGGGGGTTGAGTTACGCATACTTCCCCAATAACCCAAGCCCCTGTTGCACTGCTCCAAGAGAAAAAATGCCTTCATTTAAGTACTGCACTTCCAAGCGACAGAAACCTGGAACCAGCGCCATATTTCGCGCTCTACTGCGCCCCCACAAGGCCAGACCATCGTGCACCCATCCCACCTGTGATTTGAGATACTCATTCACCAGATCCGCGAAGTCCTTTCCGAGCATGTTGTCCAGGGCGATGTCGATGTCATCGCTGTCACGTCCCAGCAGTTTGTCACGCACCCAACCGCCGGCGCAGCGGAGAGAGGTATCGGCACCGGCGTGGCGCACAGCCGCGAGCAGCGTGTCGAAGAGCTCCTGTTCGCGCTGCGTCAGCGTGATGGTGTCAAGGACCTCCAGAGTGGTGGTGGTAGCAGGGGTTATGCTGCCGCCGCCAGCGGCCGCGCCGCTGGAACCGTCATTTGGGCTGGCAGACATGTTTGGGGCTGTAGAAAAGGCGGCGATAATAGAGGAAGTGGCAGTGGGGCTGAACGGGTGAATGCGGCTGGGAGAAGATGAGGGGAGAATGGGAAGGAGAGTGGACCTGATTGCCGAGAGGGCGGCAGACGGGTGGCAGGACGCAGTCGCGATGGTGGCGACGGGGCGGCTGATGCGGGTGCGGCGGATACTGTTGAGCGCGATGAGGTCGCTATTGGTTGCCGCCAACAAGGCCATATAGACCCGGCGGATCGGCGCAAGGCGCAACACCGATGTTGCCCCGGTAAGCATGCACGGCCGCGACCACGCGGCAACTCGTGCAGGGTTTCGATATGTTCAATTGGCAAATGATAATACCTCCTAGGTACAAAGGAAGAGATTAGATGTAAAGCGTCGTCAATTGACGAGCAAGCTACGTCAGTTAATCATCATGTCGTGTATGTAATATTTAGACTGCATGTAGACCAGGCATAGAGCTAAGATATGCAAGCACCATGCTTACTCAAGTACGTTTTGGCTGCCGTGCATGATGAGTGATCCGAAACCCGAACGTATTTCACTATAGGGAAGCAGTTACTGTCTGGACGAACGAAGCACATATATTAATTTATCTGTCTTATGGTTGACTCGCTGGGTTGTGGCCAAATCGTCGAACCTTCACGAAAGGTATTTCCCTATAACAGCTAGGATACGTATGCTGTCTATCTGGATATCGATAAGTCTACTGTTAACGAGTGAGATGATCCCCACTTAACTCTGAATACGTAAGGAGTGACGGTTGAGCGTCGCTTGTTCACCATCTGATTTGGCCTCCTGGCGAACATCACAACAGCGTCCCAGAAAGCTTGGTAATTGTGGATCAACATGCGCGGACGCCACCTGTGGCGTGTGACAGGTCCAGGTGCGGGATGGAGGTAGCCTGGCGGGCGTGCAGGCTTTAGTGGCCTGCTGGCCCACGTCGCAACACCCCAATCTGCCCCTTAGCAACGTATTTGTTCTGATAGTACAAGGCTGGTACAAGGTCGCCTCACCATCACACGTATGGAAGGATTGTTTGCGCATCCGGGGAACCCGTCACGCGCCCCCCGGGGCGACCTCTACACACTGATCCTACATGCCAACCCAGAAAGGGCAGCTAGAGGCCTAGAATTTATAGGACTGACCTTGTGCGGCCTCTACGCAGGTGTTGCTTCCTGGACGCTTGCCCACGGGTTAGCTTCCTGCACGCAATTGCTGGACCGTGCTGGGGCGGCCGCCGCTGTGGCTGTGGCAGCGGAGACGCCGGATCTTAATGCCGCGTCCCACAGCTCTCCTGGCGGAGCCGATACTCCTCCTTCATCTTCCGCTACGGCTTGTGCTGCTCCTGCACAGCCATCTGTGTCCACCGCCAATTGCATCGGCAATCGTCCTTCATCCCGTGCTGCTGCCACCGCTGCCGCCACTGCTGCCGGCCCTGCAGCCCCAATCCTTATTGGACCTACAACCAGCACAGGCAGCAGTAGCAGCAGCAGTAGTACTACCTTTAGGAGTAGCCATACCAGATCAATTAGCAACATGGCTAGCGCACAAACTGGTAGTGTAGCAGGATCTGGATCTGCATTCGGACGGCTAGCTGGACGCGGACTCGCTGCCTCCAGCGACCCCAGCGCTGGCGCCGGCAGGTGCGGCCGTGGCGGAAGGGGGGGCTGCGGCGGCGGCAGCGGCGGCCAAGGTGGCGGCCACTGGAGTGGATGGTGGAAGAATGCCGGAGCCGAAGCCGGGTCACATTCTTTCCGTGGTTTCGGAGCTGCAGCTGCGGCGGCAGCGGCAGCAGCGGCGGCCTTGACCGCTCCGTCTGTATTGGCGGATCCTTCCAGTGGGCAGGTGAAACCCGCAGATCTGTATATGTTCGGGCCCCGTGGTGTTGTGCCTGTGACAGCTGCATCCCACTACGTGAATGGACCGCTTACTATATTTGCTACTGCCGCTGCTGGTACTGCTGCTGCTGCTGCTGCTTCTGGTCGGCTTTATTAGCATAGCCGTCGCCTCCGCTGCTCCTGCTGCAGTCGATGCTACCGCAAATGCTATTGGCATTCTGCTTGATCTGCTGGTTGAATTTGTGCTTTTTACTTGGGCAGTCCTTGCAGGAAGCTGTGGCAGCTGCACAGGCTGCCCTTAAGATAGCATGGGCTGAAGTGGAGGAGGAGTTTGCGCGTGTGAATGCGCGGCTCCCCGTAAACGCGCCCAGCCTCAAGGTAGGACTAGATCGCACCAAGGTTACGGCTGATGTCATACTGGTGTGTGAAACAGGGGGGTGTATCTTCGCCCGTGGCAGCTACCCTGCGAAACCCTGCCTTCCCCGGTATTTCGGGGCACCCTCATCCAGTCACCCTAGTCAGTGGATCGCTCAGATTCCGCACCCACCACCAGCATCCAACGGAATCTGCCGGGTCGACAGCGGCGCAACTCCATTCCTGGTCGGCTCGCAGGTTAACTTTATCCCAGGTCACCACCGTCCATCAATTAGGGGCGCAATGCCTTCCACCATCGGAAGGACTTTGACCCTAACGGGTATCGATCCCGGGATCTCCCGGGGGCAATGGTCGCGCCTTACCAGTGGTGCCAAACCCTATAACCCTGGTGTGTTCATGTACCCGCGCTGTAACGCCTGCAAAGCGCCACCCGCGACACTAACTACCCACTGTAAGGCTACCCTACCGGAGGCCCATCGTGTGCGTAGCTCGGGTGCGGGGCCCTCGATCCAGATGCGCTGTTCGTGTTTTGTGTTGAACACGCCATGAATGTTAAATCCCTGATGGTGATGATGTTCGTGTGGGGGGATGGAAACACCGGCGGTGTGTCCCGCTCCGCTGCGCCTGCCCCGCGGACGGTCTGGTTTCGGGGCTGGGGCCCGCAGGGTGAGCCGCCGACGGTCAGCGAGGTGCACGGCGCGGTGGAGGTGGTGGTTCCCATACGGGAGGGTGCCGACGCCAATGCTGTGTTGCGGGTAAGTGGCTTGTAAATGCACGGTCTTGATGGGTACGGAAACATGCATGGAACATGTGCATGGCACCAGGGTGCTTTAGCTAACTGTCCTAGCTATCGTGCGTGCGTGCGCGGCATCCGACGGTGAGGAGGTGCATGTTGCGTGCTGTTACACGCACCTGGTCGCCACCGCCCCCTGTTCTCTACCTCGTACTGCTGCTGCAATTTACTGGTTTATTGTTGCTGTTAATGCTACTGCTGCTAGTACTGCTGCCACAACCACCTCCCCGCTGCAGGAGCTACGACAAGGTCTGGGAGGGCGCGGGAGCACCAGCTATAGCGTGAGTCGATGCGTATGATGGGGGGAACCCGCTTATGTGTGGATACGGCAGGTGGGGCCGGGCGGCGGGGCTGGCCTTCCTCTTGCTTGTCGCTTCAGGAACAGGAGCAGGAGGCCTACTAGTAAGGGTGCCCGACTTGAATAATGCTCCTCGTGGCGTTAGGCCCCGTGCGGTGCGATTATACGTGTGTGCCCTGCCGCTGGGGCGCGTGCAGGAGTCGGTGTACGGTGCTGCCCGTACAGTACGGATGGAGATACGGCAATCTGATGGCACGCTGCGTGTTATGATGTTCGTTCCTCCGCGGGGTGGCAGCGAGCAGGCACAGGTGCGTTGTGATCGCGGTGTGTGCCCTGGGGATGTGTGCCCTGGTGGTGTGTGCCCCGGTACAGGTCAGCAAGACCCGGAAGTAAGGAGAGGCTCTGGCAGCAGAGGGCAGTAAGAGGAGCAAGATGGGGTCCCGAAAATGGGTGTAAAGGAGCGATGAAGCTCCGTTGATGCCCACTTTACCGATGGGGTGTGTGGGACGGCCTGTTGAGTCAGCTGTCGGTTCTGTCCGAATTGATTGTGCCTTGCGTTGGCGTTTTCTCTTTTCCTCCCACTGCAACTAAACTTCCCCTTGCCCCTACCCTTACTCGGGCCGCATCTTGTTCATCTTGCGTGTGTCCCCCTCCATCCCTCCCTCCCGCCTCGGCTGTGTCCTGACTTGGCTGCTGGCTGGTGGCGGTTGGCGGTTGGCGGTTGCCAGGTGGTGGTTTCTAAGCGCGGTTCCTTCAGCGCTGAGGAGCTGGCAGCACTGGGTCGTGTGGTGGTGGCGGCCAATGTGACATTCGGATTGGACCAGCCGCCTAGGAGCACCAGTGCGCAGTGAGTTCGGAGGGGGGGAGGGAGGGGGGAGGGGAGGGGAGGGGAGGAGAGGGGAGGGGAGGAGGGGGGAGGCGCTGGTGGAGGCGGACAGGCGGATGGGGTACAGGTGGAGGACGAGGAGCAGGTGGAGAGGTCAGGTCAAAAAGAAAACGAAATCCAGAACCTTAAACCCTTCTATTGTTTCCGCCTTTGTTCCGCCCCAGGCGCCACGGCCTGTACGGCAGCATGGATTCGGATGCGAACGCCCGGGCCATGGAGTCCCTGTTTGAGGAGTTTGCCCGCAGCGCCCTGCACGGCTTCATGGTGGGGCCCATGCAGCAAATATTCGGGGAGCTGCAGCGGGGCATGGGCCTACCGCCCGATATGCGGGTACGTCAGAGGACAGCTCGTGCGGGGTGGGTGGAACTGGTTTGTGGTTTCGGAACAGTCGTAGTGGGGATGGGTGAGGGTGGGAGGGATGGGTGAAAGTGGGGCGGTGGCGAAGGGCAATGGCAAATGTTGGCCCTGCCTTGCTTAGAAGGAGATCGATGCGGTGTTGTATGGGGCCCGCTCGAGGGGGACGTCGTTGGGTCGAAGCGCCAAGGTGACGATGCAAGATGCGAATGCATTCGTGTGTGTGTATGCGTGCGTGTGAAGGCGTGTGGGAGGAAAAAGAGGGAAAGAGCAGTGGCCTAAACTCTCGGCTTGTACCGTGCCGTGCTGTTGTTACAGCAGCGCAGGGGCGTACGGGGCCTACGACCCATTCGCTTTTTGCTGTGGCTCTTAAGGTTTACCGGTTTATTCTTCCCCGCCAGTATTTCCCGCCGTAACACACGTGTATTTGCAACCCTACCACCACTTTATGTTGTCCGCCACCTCGAAGGAGGAGGACGACGGGGCACAAGGGGATGGAGGCGGCGTTGGGCCGGAGGGTGGATTCGGTTCCTTTGGAGGCTTTGGTGGTTTCGGAGGTAGGTAAAGTTGCTGGGTGGAGATCCCCGTTGGTTGGACGAGCCGGTGTGGGAGCAAAGAGTGGGATCACCCTCCGGTTCGTCAATCGTGCTGTGACGCTTGTATTTGACTTAAAGGGACTTGGTTATAAATGCTCAGACACAGGTACGCACACACATCTTGATCGCGGCTTACACACATCGCGGCTTACACACATCGCGGCTTACACACATCGCGGCTTACACACATCGCGGCTCACATCTTAAAATCGCACATTCAGCGAGGTCAGGAGTGTGGACTTGCCTGCAACCCTGCTCTCCCGCAAGATGTCGCATCCCTCATCGCAAACCCGAAGCGCAATGAGGGATGCGGCGTGTGATGCCATTGCGCACAATCCTTCTCCTTGGCCAGTGCGGGGCTCCCTAATGTGTGCCATTTTGCTTCTTTGCCACAACCCCCCTTCCCTCTCTTGGGTTGCCCCGGACCATGGACCATGGACCATGGCATTCCCTGTGCTCATAGGGCCCTTCGGCGGCGGCGGCGGCGCCTTTCCCGGCCTGCCCGGGCCAGCTCCCTCCGTACAGCACCGACCTAGGGGTCCCGGCGGCGGTGGCGGTACGAGTGCACAAGGCTACGACTGGGGTAGCCCCGCGGCCGCGCGCGCTGTGGAGCAGTTGCTAGCTATGGGTGCCCAGGTACATGGGGTTGGCGATGGTGACAGTGGCTGTGGCAGTGACAGCGGAGGAGGTGGGGGTACGTGATTGTGGAAGGCAGGGCAGCCTGGAGCTCCATGTCACTACCTCCTTCCTTCCCTAGGCTAGGGAGGGGCTTATCGGCTTAGCACACCACATTTACCATCCCTGTCGCACGTCCCCACCTTTCCTTGCGCACCCCTACCCCCAACTTCCCTCCCTCTGCCGCTGTTACTACTACTGCCCCCCCCCCAGGTGTTCCCTCCTGGTAACAAGGACAAGATGGACTGGGGTGTACTCGCAGGTGGGAGACGGGGCTGAGGTGGGGATTGTTTACTGCTGGGCGTCGTAATTGAAAGCTGAATGGCATAAGAATTTACGGCTTGCTCCTGATGCGCTTATGTGGGGTTGTTGTTGCCATAGTTTTATACCACTACTACGACCATTACTACTTTTATTACTATTACCATGACTACTGCCTCACCTTGCAGGCTACGAGGAACAGAAACGGACCATCGAGGACTGTTTGCTGCTACCGCTGCTGCGCCCGGACGTGTACGCCAAACTGGCCCGGGCCACAAGGAAGACCTTCGCCAACAACCGCCCGCGGGCTGTGCTGTTCGAGGGACCCCCGGGCACGGGTGGGTGCTGTGTGGCACTGAGTGGTCGTCCTGGCGCGCGCTCGCGCCAAGATGTGGGCGGGCAGGCAACGTCTAATTAGGACGCCTGAGAACGCAACAGATGGGGATCCCTGCTTGGTTCACGGAGGAGATGGGGAAGGAGGAGATCGGGGGAGGGCGGGAGCAGCGGTGGCGGCGGCGGTAGTTCACAGCTGGATTTGCTAAAGCCCACCTTCGCCGTGTACTCTGAACTGAGATCCGTGGCTCCAGCATTCCGCCCTGTGCCGCTGAGGGCGGGGAGGCCTTTGGAGGGTACCGACAAGCAGGAATAATAGAATGTCTCCGCGTGGGATGGTGCCGAAGACTGTTCAGTTTCCCAATATGCATCCGTATGCCACGTACCCAGATCGATATGAAAACCAGGACGCAACCCCCGCTCCTGCCTGCCATGCCGTATGGATTTGGGCCTGGTCCCCCCGCAATACGCCCTCCCCAACCACCGTGCACAGGCAAGACGACCAGCGCCCGCGTAATCAGCAGCCAGGCTGCCGTACCGCTAATATATCTGCCGCTGGAAGCCGTATTGTCTAAATGGTACGGCCAGAGCGAGCAGCAGTTGGGTGCCGTATTCAAGGCGGCGGAGGCGATGGGAGGTGCCATCATCTTCTTGGACGAGCTGGACGCTCTGGGTGGGAACCGAGAGGTGTGTAGGGCGGGCGCGGTGGGGGTGGGGGTGGGGAAGAGGAGGCGATGAGGAGGAGGAGGAGGAGGGGCTGCCTTCATCGTTTGTTTTGCAAATGTTGCAGGCAATGCAATTGTTGACAGTTGAAACTGTACGTGTACCTCCTCACCTCGCCTGACACACCTTTCTGTACCCATGTCTCTCTCTCCACCCTCCCTACCCCCTTACTCTCTGGACCCTGACCCCGCCCACCCATCCTGATCCCTGTTTTAGGCTGGGGGCTTGCACGAAGTGAGCCGGCGGCTGCTGTCCGTGCTGCTCCGGGAGATGGAGGGCTTCGACGCGGAGACGAAGCGCACCGTCGTCATCGGCGCCACCAACCGCAAGACCGACTTAGATCCTGCACTGCTGTCCAGGTTCGACCTGGTCATCACATTTGGACTTCCGGACACGGCATGCAGGTGAGTGGCGCGGTCCAGGTGCCGGGCAGGTAGGCAGGCAGGTAGGCAGGTAGGGGCAGCTTGGCAGCTGCGGGCGGCAAGACGGTAGGCGGCGCCCTGCACGCTGCGATACTACCTGACCACGAGGCCATGTGACTCCGAGATTTCTTTTCCAACATTTTCTGCTCCTTCTTTCCCTTCCATTCATAATCCATTCCTCTCCCTCCCTCCCTGCCCTGCTTTTAAACCTCCGTGCGTATGTATGTATGTGTGTCTGTGTGGCGGCGGTCCGGCAGGCAGCTGATTCTCCGGCAGTACGCCCAACAGCTCAGTGACTCTGAGGTGGTTCAGCTGGCGGAGCGGACTGGGGGCATGAGCGGCCGGGACCTTAGGGACGTGTGCGAGCACACGGAGAGGAGATGGGCGTCCAAGGTGGGTTGTCTAGCGGGGTTCGGGGGGGGGGGGAGGAGGAGGGATTTGGGAAGGCGGGAGAGCAGGGATGTGCTGCGCTATTGGAAGTCAGTAGAAAGTGGCGGCGATTGGGAGCAATTTGAGTGCAGTTGGTTTGTATGAAGATGTGTGTGCCTTGAGACTTGTGTGAGCCGTGAGACTTGGGCTTGGGACTTAGGATGTCCGTGCTATGTGCGAATATGTTGTTTTTGTTTGTGCTGGCTGCACCGTGTCAAAGAGGGCATCATTACCGGTCACCTCAGTCCTTTATTTCCCCTATCCTATCCCGCAACCTCCCTGCGTAGATCATCCGGGGGGAGGTAAGGGAGGAGGATCTGCCGCCGCTGGCGGAGTACTTGGCGTCAGCAGACGAGCGGGCCACTGCTGTACAACGTGTACAGCAACAGGCAACCGCTGCGGGCGCACTCAACCGACTTCTTGGTGCGACGGGTGCCGCGGGCGGCCGGGGCTTGCCGTCCTGGCTGACTGGCGGCGGCCAGCAGTAGCGACAGCAGTAGCGTCTGTCGTTGCAACTTTGCTTTTTAAGGCGACAGCTCTGTAGCAGCCTGCAGCTACACAGCAGCGCTGCTGTGGGTAATTGCGCTGTTTCGCGGTTGGATTGCTGTGGCGACTTTATGGCATGAGCCGACCCGTCGGCGGTCATGTACGCAAGCCGCGCAGTTATTTCTAGATGTCTAGTTGTAGATGCGGCCGTTTGTTCGCCCTCGGGTATTCATCATGCATGAAGGGTGCAGCTGATGTGTTGTTGGCAGCAGCGACAGGAGCAGTAATTGAGACGAGGAGCTTTGCTTTTCATAGGTGGTGCCACTTTGTGGTGTGGTGTGGCGTGGTGTGTTGTGTTGTGTTGTGTTGTGGAAGAGTGTGAGAGGGCCACGAGTGGACTGGACGCCATGTCCAGGTGCAGAGGATGCTGCTGCTGCTGCTTCGTCACGGACCGAAGCCGGGCTGGTCCTCTATCTAGCAGGACGGAGGGAAAGGGTGAGAAAGGGGAAGAGAGGGAGGACGGGAGGGAGGGAGAGCAAGCACGATTAAGCCGAACACGTCCCAGCGCACATGCCGCATAACCGCATTCGTTCCTCGCCGTGGCTACCAGAACTGGAGCTGCGTTCATGCTTTTACTAGCCTCGTTAATATTCTTGCGTCGAGTACCGACAATCAACTGCTGGGACGGGACGAGGCACAACGTGGGCAACCGTGTAGCAGTGCAATCTCAGTTTTCTGGAGTTGGGGTGGGGACGTGCAAAGTATGAAGAGACTGGCAACGAGACCGACGGGGGGAATTTAACACGCAATCCACGCAGGCCTTATGTAAGCTCCGGGCTGTATCCCGCTGTATGGAGTAGTCAGCGCCGGGCTGTACAATAACACCTCGAACAGCGGATTCACCAACCAAGTTGCCGCAGCAGCAAAGCAGCAGCATGAGCCGCGTTAATGGTATCAAGAGCTGTGGCTCGCGGAGGTAGCTTGAGCGACTGGCTCAAGGGGCCCCCAATGGCCGGCTCTCGACCAGGTCAAAGCTCCGACATCCTGTCTGATTCAGTCCTGATGCGGCTGCCGCAACCCGCAGCCGTTGTAGCGCTGCACGCAGCACCCTCCGCTGCTGCTACTGCGGCAGAGGTAGTAGCAGTGGCCGCGGCTCGCGCCTCGCACTCCCGCCTCCAGAACATCACCTGTGCAGCGGCAAACAGCGCTAGCAGCACCACGGCCAGAAAGCTCGGCTGTCCCAGTACCTGTAGCGCAGGAAGGTCGGGCGGGGGCCCGGAATCCCGCTCCGGGCAAAGACTGTTGGAAGGAGCCTGAAAGTTTGGGTTCGGTGGTTGTTTGGTTCGACAGGTGCCTTCAGTTAATTGGCTCGGCCACCCCTCCCTCGTCCCCTCCCGGACCCTGCACACCCACCTGTCGTATCAGGGGCCGAATGCCGTCCACTCCCACCACGAAGCCCACCAAGTTGGCGGCCATGAGCATCAGGATATTGACAGCGGCGGCAAGCGCGCAGACGTGGCGGAAGGCGGCGCTGCCGTGCCAGCGGCGTGCAGCAGCGCTCCGGGCCAAGGCCTTGAGTATCTACGTCGGAAGTCAGCACCAAATGGTATCTGAGGACACACGAAGAGGAGTTTGGCACCTATGCTGCTCTCCCCACTCAGACACACGCACACGCATAAACTGAGGCAACAAACAAACATACAGAGATACGCATGGTTCATCAACGGCATATCAGGGGAAAGTGCCGGAGGTGCGTATCGATCCCCTGAGTCTCATGAAGGCAAGTCAAAGAAAGCCAATCCCCACCTAGCACTACCTAATGCAACCCATACCAGCCATTGCTGGTAACCGTAACCGGAAAATCTGCCGACCATAACGGTATGCTGGGTGTTGTACCCACCATTTCGGGCGCCACAGCGGCCGCCATGAGCCATGCCCAGCTCAGCAGGCGCCACTCCAAGTCGTGCCACAGGGCCACGAAGGTGAAGATGACCCATACGTTGATTACTCGCCAGCGACTGCCCCCCAGTGGTATATACATGTACCGAACCAGCCAACGGTTGTACGACGCATGCCAGCTGCGCCAAAAACCCTGCAGAAGACACGTGTGCACACACAGGTGCCAAAATGCCTCCCCGCCAGCTCTCCTCCCCATACGCTTTATCCACAGTTGACTACTTCACTGCAGGCCCTCTGCTGCCGCAAACCCACCCACCACCTCTGTTACTTCGTTCTCACTTCATGCCGCCAAGCAGTACATACACATTCAACGTCGCGAAAAGGGGCAACACAGTCGCCCACCGTTGATATCAATAAAGAATGGAAAGTTAACGGATGGCATACATATTTACAGAGTTTGAATATCTATTCCCCAACGATGCCTTCCTTCCCAATGATGGGAAGTCAGCTGGGGAGCGCACGCACCTCAATGTCATAATTGTTGCACACACACCGCGTCATGTTCTCCGGCGGTACTATACCATCTGCTAGCGACGCCAGCCGGAAGAAGCGCCAGATGACTGTAAACTGCGGCCGAGGGGCCCGGGGCCGGGGGGGGAAGGGCCCGGGGAAGGGGAAGGGGAAGGACAAGAGTGCGGCTCACGGAGGATTCCCGGAGAAATCACACACGAAACTGACATATCCGCCAACCTGAGCGGCAACAACCTCAAAACGTGCCGCAAGATGGGCATGCGGATGGACAGAACGGCATAGAAAGGATAAAGGATACGGGAATACAGACATAGGGTTGGAACCGGCCGAAGATGTTAAGAACTGAAGGTACTGCTGCTTACCATTGACGGATGAGCTGAGGGCCTAACTCGGACATATCGGGGTTGTTTTGGGTACATAGAATTCGGTCGACTTTGGGTGGCAGGCAGTGCCTATTGCTTGCCTGTCTGTCTGTCTGTCTGTCTGTCTGTCAGTCAGTCTGTCTATCCAGATGTATATCTATCCTTCCGGCTTGCAACACCGCTCCAGGGCGGTGCGGGTAAACATCTGCGCATGCACACGGTACAATTGCGACGTGCGTACGGCACGACGCCGTCGTACCTTGAGCCACATGAAGACCAGCACCCAATACCCCGTGATGGCGTAATGCAGCGGTCGCGGAGCTGGGAACCAACCGCCGCCGCCGCCGCCGCTGTTGTCGATTTGCGGAGTCGCCGCTGCCCTCGCCGCCAGCCTGTCTAATACTCGGTACTTGGCGATGCTGTTGTACGGCAACGCGTGTGTAAGGCCCTCCAAGCAAGCCCAGGCCAGGGCGGCACGTAGCGCGTAGACTAGAACCTGTGCGGCAAGTGCAATTCAAACTCAAAGTTCTGCAGTCAAATCCTTGGCGGGCCAATTCCTTGGCGGGTCCAATCCATGAGGAGCGGCGACATGACAAAAGAGACTTCGAGCGAGAAAAGACAATTCTGGGAGACACGTATCCCACCTGTTGTGCCCCCATCAGCCGCTGCCTGCGGAGCATCCTCTGCGCCGCGAAGCTGTTAAAGGTTATAATGGGCCCGGCGATGTAAAGCGGCGGGTACATGCAATACTCCAGGAAGGGCATCAGGCTGTAGTAGGCCAACGGTAGGGGCGCCTCGGACAAGGCCTGAGGTGATGTTGGAAGGGAACACACAGCTCGCGGAATATCATAACGCAAAAGCGCGAGTAACAAAGAATGCGAGCACTCGACGTATAAATATTGGTATGGAACTTGAGCGCCTGGTGTACGAGCATTGGTACGGAAACCACCGGATTGAGACGCGCGTTAGGAGGGCGTCGGGTGTTGTGAGGGCGTCGGGTCAGTGCAAGCGCCCAGAGGCACTGCACCCGAGCGCATGGAGCTGTACAGCACTGTACGGTAAAGCATGGTGTACAAGCAAGGCTGGGTGGGAAATCATATGCGAGAAAGTGGGAAGTGAGCTGCTGTCAGCGGTGCCCAAGAGGTCCGAAACTGCTGCTGGAGTGCAGCGCGATGAAGTCATCGACCCGGCTGGTTGGTGCCCGGTGCTGGTGCATGACGGAAGGCCAGGATTGGTTCAGGACGTCCGCCTGCAGTGCTACCTTGCCGTGTGGGACATCATCGTCTCCCCTTAGCACATGAAAACAATCAACCGCGCACGGTTTATTTCCTTTGGTCCCCTTCAGAGTCAGCTTTTCGCAAGCGCTCAAAAACCAGCCGCCTTCTTGCGACGCCGCTCTCTACCCTGCCGTCCCCAAAGCTGCACTCTCCCCCCAGAACCCCCGTGCCCTCGAAGACAGCACTTCCTCCGGAGCCACCACCTAGGAGAGCACACAGCACACCTCACCCGCAGCTCTGCATCAACGTGCTGCTGCACGCCGGAGCTACCACCGTCACCAAACCTCGTTCCTCCGTCTCCTCCTCCACTGCTCCCGCCGCTACCACCAACGCCGACTCGCTCCCCTTGCAACGCGGCTTTCTGTCCGGCAGATGCGGTGGCTGCGCCCGCGCCGAGGGCGGCCGGCGAGGGCGGCCATATCCGTTTTCCCCCTCGCGCCCAGTGAAGGTCTGATGCAAAGGAGATGAAGCGGAGCACCAGCAGGTTGTAGTGGATGTGCCAGCGGAGGACGCCGCGGTGTCGGTCCAAGTGTGCGAGTGAGGGGCTGTGCTGGGATGCGGGTGGGGGCGCGGAACAGCAGGGCGGTGCGGGTGGGGTGGTGGTACAAGGCAGTGGCGGACAGCGACCAGGGAGGGCAGCGGGAGGTCAGAGTCAAGAGGTCAGAGTCAGAGGTCAGAAAGAGGGAGGGGAGAGGTCAGGCAGAAGGCAGGGCAGGCGGAGGGACGTTGGAAGGCTGTCGGTTGCTGCTGGTAGTTCCGCCTGTCGCCAATCCCACTAACTTCGTACTGTCTGACTGGTTTGACTATCAGCTGCTTTAATTCCGTATTGCTGGAGATCTGTGCAGGTGTATGTATGTCCGTGAGTGTGTTTCAGATCCAACCAGGCTTTCCCGGAAAAGAACACGGGAGCCCTGGATCTGATTTGGATGGGATTTGGATCTGGATCCTGAAGGTTCCTTCTCACCTGATCCAGGCGAACGGCAGCCCCTCCAAGAGCCTCGCCAACAGCAGCGTGCAACATGCATACACCCACACTCCTAACAATCTGTTCGAATAGAAGGAAAGGAAAGAGGACGAGGCGGGAAAGAGATGGCAGGCGCAAGGATAGATAACAAGGTGTGAGACACTCTCTCTCTCTCTTTCTCTCTCTCTCTCTCTCTCTCTCTCTCTCTCTCTCTCTCTCTCTCTTCCTTACGCACACACACACACACACATCCTCACTTCCTCACATACACAGATGACACGGTAACCGTATTGCGGCATTTGCGTTTTCCATATTGGATCTCAACTCGCCGTACCCGTAGGGTCTGCTGGCCATCCGCCTGCTAACTACGTACGCGCCGGCGGCCAGAGCAGCAACATATACAGCGCAAGCGCCGTGTAGGGCGCCTGCAAGACGGAGGCGAAGAAATTATATGCAAGAATCGAAGACAATGGTTGGGGCCGGTGGCCACTTGTCCATGGATCCCGCGGTTTGGGCAGGAGAGGTTTGCTTAAGGCTCTTAAGTGAACGCATACAGTCAGAAGGCGCCGATCGTCTATATTTAAGGTCCCCTGGGTCGCGGAGCAAGTCTCCTGTGCACTTGGAAGTTCGCGCCCATGGATCGCTGCTTTCATGCTCAGCGGCTCACACAGAAATGCCAGGGACAGAGCCACCAGGAGCGCCTGCCGGATGCTCGGAAAGGCGCGTGCCTGCGGCGGGAGGAGTCCGGGATAAACAGAAGGGGGAGAGCTGTTTGGAAAAAAAAGTAGGCAGCAGCGAGACATAGATGCGATCGATCGGAGGGGTAGAATGAGTCCCAAGCTGCAGCATGGCACCTTGCAAATGAGACGTACGAACGTCTGATTCTGTACATCGTATAGCCAACCGCGAAACCCAATGTACTTGCTGGGAAGCTCCCGCGGTTGGCTGTACGATATACGGAATCGGACGCTTGTACGTCTCATTTGCAAGATGCCATGCTGCACCTTGGGACTCATCATTGGGTTCCTATTATTGGTTCCTATGATTGCAAACTTGATGGTGAGCGTCATACCATTTTGGACAGGGTAACAAAGCCTGCCATTACAATGCAGAGCAAAGGCGCGGACTCGCGGAAACTGCGCCATTGATGGTCGGACAGGTCGTTGCGTCCGAGAAGCTGCCCCTCGTCCCGCAGGCCAGTGAGAGAAGTAACGGCTTGAATTTCTTTGGCAAATATGTAACCTTCACGTAGAACATTCCATTGGAGTCCCGCAACCAGCTGCATAAGCAGATTCGCAAGGACAACTATATTGGATGCGATGCGCCTATGTTAGCACCATGACATAGGTTACATACAGGGCGATACCATACCGCAAGGTAGGTTAATCGTTCAGCAAGCAATAAGCTTTTCACTCTATCCATTCTAGTTAACTACTGCAGCATCTCCCGAAAGTAATATACATAAAACAAGCATCTGCCACAGGCTTTCATACTGTGATCGACATCCATAACAGCTATTGCAACTGTTAGTCGTTGTGTTTCTTCGGGACCCGATGAGCCGGCTCCGAAACCGTATTTGGCGGTTGGACTTATGAAGAGTCGCTCTGGACGCCGTCGCACATGGGTCGTGCCACGAAGAGAGGTTTGCGCGGCTGTTTACTTTTCCATATTTTAGATAAAACACCAGTTTGGCTGAAGGGCATATCAAGGCACTTTCCTTGAACGGCAGTCGAGACCGGTCTAACAGCCCAATTACAGTATTGGCGGGACTGATGTTATTAAGTACTGACTGCCGCTCGTGAAACACCGATGAGCCCTTGTGATTACTTGACCGGGGTCACCCAGAGCCTGAGTTCTCTCTCCTGTGACTGCCTCTCTTGGCTCGAGTGTTGTCTTCGTCATGTCAAACGCCCGGCAGCTTTCTAAAGTGTTACCGCTTGAAAGAAGACTTTGAACACTTTACCGCTACCCTTTTGAGGAGCATCCTTCTCAGCAAGGCCGCTTTGAGACCTAGAATGCGGTAACCTTGTTGCCATATCAACCCGGATAATGACCAGAATCCCACTTGGCAACCGCACTTGGCGCGATACAGATAACCAAACATTCCTTCAGAGAGCTCCAACAGAGGATCATCCACCCGCTCGGCCGACTGTTCCAAGCCGCAACCCAACCGCAAAGTTCGGCTTGCCCTAGGCTCCCAACCCCCCAGTCCAACAATTGTTGATAAAATTTTAAAGCATTCGCCAATCCAGCACCAGCTATTGGGCTGGCTGGCGCACACTGCTAATAACCTATCAGTTAGCTTGTGCCTGCTATCATCATCGGCACAGAATCCCATTTCATTCCTAACCCCAGCAACGGCCAGTTTCAAGCTGCAAAACGACGCACACCCCTGCAGCGCCTGGCGTATGTCAATGAATTCCAATCCCATCCGTGCAGGAGGTCTGTATGCACAATGTATGCGGCGATGTCAGTCAAGTCAACAGGAACCACAGTCACTTGCCCCTACACACACATGTAACGCGGGGTTTTACGCCGCCCCAACCAAGGGAACGCATCGCCTCGCTCAGCGCATGCAGACCTCTGGGGCTCCGACCCAGCCACCAGCCTGAGGAAACGGTCGCATCCCAAGGGCAGCGCTGGACTACCATCGCGACTTACCTACCGCTCTAAAATTTATAATTCCAGTATCCCTTGCCTGTCCTCTCCACTTCATCGCACGAAATCCCTCCCTTGCGTAAGGCAGGCCCTCAGGTGACGTGCCAGCAGTAGGGCCTAGCATACCGGCCCTATTACATCCCGATAACACACTCTCATCATCACCCTCGTCATAGCTGACCGTGAATGCATGTAACTGTGTGCACGGTAGTTACTAGCTTCAATCCCGGTCCGGAGAAGGCGACCTAACACAGTTGTCATCTTCCCCGCCCTTCCTGGCCCCGTGCTCATCCCGACGAGGCGGCGGCGACGTCGACTTGGACGCGTCCCGTGGCCGGTCATCCTTGCCGTGCGGCGTGTCGGGCGACCGCGATCGGCGCGGAGAGCGAGACGGTGAGCGGCCACGGCCCCGTGAATACGATCGGCCACGCCCACGAGACGGCGACCGAGAACGACCACGCGACCGGGAACGCGACCTGTAAAGGCATTCAAATACGACCTCAAGTCTTGTTTCCGCAGGTAAGGGGAAAATAAACCGCTGGAATTAAGCGGTGGGCGCAAAGATGCACGTTGTAAGAAGGGCGAATAGACAATGTGTGCGAAACAGAGCGATCTTGCTCTTGACGTAATCTATGCTTAACGCCGCATGTTTCACAATGCCTGCATGGCAAGTGCAGGGAAGGAGCGCATCGTTGCGGCAGGATTACCAGTTGCATGTTTGTATGAACGCAAGCGCATACCTGACAGGCGAGGGGGAGTACTCAAACCATTTCCAACCAAAGAAGCGAAAGTCATCGCGCGTGGCCCAATCCACCTTCCAGGTCCGGCCGTCCATTCGGAAGCCATCTGCAAAGTACACACGCGTGTGGGAGAGGTAATTAAGCCATGGGTATAAATTGCTGAGGGATGAAATACAGGCAAAGCGCAAACCTGCAACGCATCCTGGCACCTTTTAACACAAATGTCGAGGGAGTGGAGACAAGAATACATTGGCCTGGACTTACCCATCTTCCGCCATGCTGCTTGTGCGTCCAGCGACCTTGGGAAGAAGTGGGAGGAGAAAAAATATTTAATCAATCAGGAAGGTTAAATGCCGATATTTCTCTGCTTGTCCTCCCTGCTGGCCGACGGCGTTAGACCGCTAGGCTTTTGTCAACCGAGTACGTAGAGAAAAAAATAACCCTCAGCTAGTATCCACAACAAACATCCAACAGGGGCTCAAATACGGGTTTCCAGTAACCGGCAAGCCCTGACATCACCGCCCGACCTATCCGCTCAGAGAAGTTCGTGCAGCTCTGAGCTTGGTCATGGTGGAACGGAGTGAGCTTCGTATTGGCAGCTGCGCAGCGGCAGGTTGCGCGGCAAAAAACAAGAGCGGGAACAAAATTTGGAAGTCCAAAGCCAATCACGCAATTACTCAAGTCACAAGAGGGCTGTTGGATGCGCGCAGCACATGCAGAACATATGTCACAATAAGATCACAAAAACAATCAGTAGCTCCTCCTTAGCCGCTGCGGCGCCGCAAGGAATCTTCGCGACAACTTACTTCTCAAATTCTATCAAAGCAAGCCTGTGCTTGCCATCCTTGACGCAATTGCGAATACGGCCATAATACGCGAACTCGCGCCTGCAGCGCAGCACCAGGAAAAGTTAAGAAAGCCTACAGAAAGAGCTCACACGCACAGATGTGAAAGCAGAATACTTACTCAATATCGCGCACAGGCGTGGTGCTGCTAATGTTGTCCACAATTACCGCATACCGGGACGTCTTCGGCATTTTGGTGAGAAAACGAAAACCTACTTTATAAGCGGTTTATGCAAACGAGCAGGAGTCCACAGTGTCTAACAGGCGTGACAACAAGACATTAGGTGATGTTCATAGAAACGTCTCAATCACCTCTTGTACTCCTGAAAATGATAGTCGTACGACATATCAGGAAAGAAATGTTCCGCCAACTCCAGGAAACGGTGTCGTCTATGGCATACCTTTATGCATAGGAACCTGTTCCTAAAGTCGTTCCAAGGTGGCTTTATGCGGCAAGCGTGGGACTGATACCATGAATTGAACGTCGATCACATCTAGTACGCAAGAATGAGGCTCCCCTGGCTACCGCCTCGCCATCCAGGTGTAAAGGCGGACCTTGACGTGCCTTTCGTTCAAGTAAGGCTAACCTCTGCGTTCACAGAGATCAGTTTCATGCAAGTGTTTTGTTGTGCTCACGCTGAGACCAGGATGTTTAAACCATTTACGTGGACGTGCACCTCTTGGTGGAACATTAAGTCTGTGGGCTGGTGGGGTTTCGTCCACATGCTGCAAGCAACGCCGTGCAGCGAGTTTAATCGCCGGGCCCCAAAACGTGCCACACATGGATATCCAGGAGACGCCAGACGTTGTGCACGTCCTCATACTTCAGTTAGCCCGCGGAGCATGGAGTACTCTGGCCCGCCTCTTGCAGCTGGCTTGTCTCACGTTGGACTTCAAACCGCTGCTGGCCCACGAGATGGCCCGCGCGGGAGCCACTGGCGTGGTGCTTGGTAGGTTGTAGTGGAATGCCGTAATTGAAGATGTCGCGTAATAGAGGGGGCACTTTTAGGGAAACCATGCAACCGTCCTGCTGCGCGAGAGCTGATAAGGTCGGTCCTTGCCTCCGGCTGTTTGCAGCCATATCCCATTACCGCTTTCTATTCGCTGTTCCTCAAATTTACTCCTGCATTCCCTGCCCAAATAATGCCTGGTTTGATGCATTTTGCTGTCGCGCTCCATTCCGTATCCGCCCTTCATCGCTTCTTCTCCGTGACCCAGACATCTTGTGCCAGGCGCCACGCCACCATCCGGTTTGGAGGTCGCTGTCCACCGCCGGGGCCGGGCTCCTGGCGGCCTTGGTCCGCTGCGAGGATGGAACGGAAGCAGCCCAGCCACAGGTACGTGCAGCAGTACCCCACACCCGGCCCACGGCACGGCAGCCGCAGGGGATTCTCCTTTTATCAGGACTGGGGACCGTGTGTGAAGGTGCCGTAGAGGACCTCCTGCTCCAGAAATATGTCGCCATGGGAAGGGGGTTCCTTTCCTCCCAGGTCCAACGTAATTCAGTCTTTGGGGTTCTACCCTCCTGGGGCATCATCATCCATTCGCCTGCGACTCATGTATTCACTCCACCTCATCCGTTGATGCACCACATGGTTGTGTGATGCGGCGCCGCGTGCTCCCGGCGCTTCGCACCTTGATAGGCCCTGCGGATGCTGCTGGCGATGCTCGAGAGCGACCTCACTTGCGGCCCCGCGCGCCAGGCAGTGGCGACCGTGCTGCATTGTGTGGTGGCGCAGCGCACGGGTAGGCGTGTGATAGGGAGAAAGCTTGATACGAGGCTGGATGCGATTGGATTGCCGGGACCTGCGCTTGCGTAAAACCTGGCGCGCTAGCCGCCATGTAGGAAAAAGCATGTTCCCGCAGGCCATCTGATACACCCCACCAAGCTGCTCCTAGGGAACACACTTGCTACTTGACGGGGTCCCTTTCCGCAAACCTGGTTTCTCAGCTTGTCGTGTATAAAGCTGTGCCTTGCTAGCAGAAGCCAAACCTCCTGCCATCATGATTTTACATGAAAGATGTTATTTCATGTGCCCTTGCGCGACGACGAATGTGCAAGCGCAGTGCACCGTGACAAGTTGCTGGCTGTCGGTGCGCTGCCTGTCCTAGTACGTGTGCTGGGCCGTTTGGACGTGCTATGTGACCTGGTCGCCGTACAGGTGGGTCAGCTTATGCTGGGGTACCGCTGGCGCGTGCTGTTGAAAGAGGGACGTTGGCCAGGGACTGTTGGCCTGCCGCAGGTGCTCCTAGCGGGTCGTGTTACGCCGCTGTTTTTCCTGCGCTGCTCAAGTTGCTGCTTTCCTTTTCGCAACCGCTACAGGAGGTGCTGTGGACTCTGGTGTACCTCACGGACGAGAGTGCGCTGGCGCTGGCAGGCGGAGGCAGAGGCGGAGACGGCATGCCTGGCAGTGCCGAGAGCCTGCAACCGGTGCTGGCAGAGCAACTGGTGCCGCTGCTGTTTTTGTACGCCATGCCGTGGAATAAGCAGCATGAGCATCTGGCGGCCCTTGTCACGAGGTGAGTGCGGGCGGTTTGCGATTCGGGTTGGCTGAATGTGGAGTCGCTGGGAGCTGCTAATATTGAGAAGTGAGATTGGGGCCGTGACGTTACCGAACCCGTGTGCTATGGCCCACACGATACAGGGCCCTTCATGTTCACGTGGCTGGGTACGACATGGGTAAAGACACCTTGCGCAATTCAGGCGTGCTGTCGGTGTTGGTGGACACCGTAGGGCGGCACAGCGCGCCGTACATTACCGCTGCGGAGGCTGCCGCCGCGCACCTACGTGGCCGCCATGACTACGACAGAGGCGTCACGGCCATAGCAATTGCAGGGGCATCTTGCGTCACGGCGGAACGTGGGATGCAGCAGACGGGCGCAGCGCAGGGGCCGGCCGCGTTAGCGAGCAGGGGGCACTTGGTACCGGCGGCGAGTCGTGGGTCATTTGCCGTGGGGTCTTCCCGTCCGCCGCCGCACACGGCCTGCCACATTCATGCAGATGGTGAGATGCTGCGGAACGGCACGACGGAGAACGGCCCATACGCTTGTGGCGCGGCCGCCGCGCTTGGGACGTGGACGCCGTGGGAGCGGCTGCTAGCCGTGTTGCTCATCGTAGGAATCGCACCGGCGATGATGCGTCCGCAGAGGCGGGGTCGTGGCGGCGGTGGCGGCGCGGCTGCTGCATCGGGACTCACTGCCAACGCTGCCTCTGCCGCTGCCGGGACGGCGCCGGATGAGGAAAGTGGCGAGCCCTCTACTCCTTCCTCGTTGCGGTCTGAGGGGCCCGGGGAGGACTACGGGGAAACCGATTCCGCTGCTGACCGCGGCCCAGGAGCTTCAGGGAAGAGGGGCAAGGAGCAAGGCCCCACTGCGAGCGACGGCGTTGCTGCAGCGGTTGAGCAGGTGACTACGGCGGATGCGTTGCAGCAGTTGGGACTGGATGAGGAAGAGGATGACGACGACGACGTGTTTGGCGGCATTGTACTAGATCTTGTCGCGGATTTACCGGCGGCGTTGGAATTTCAATCTTCGGCGGCTGCACAGCCCGGCGCCACTCGCACGGAGGCGGCCGTCGCCAACGGCGCGCGCCTTGTATGCTATGGTCTGCTGCTGCCTCTTCTCATCGACGCGGGCGAGGAGGCTGCGGCGGGCGGCGCGGGATCGGCAGCAGTGGCTGTCGGAGGTGCGCTGCTGCGCCGACGGCTGTGCCCACTTCGCGAGTCTCTTGCGACGCTGAAGACGATGTTATGCGACTGTGAGGCGAACCAACTGGCAGCGGCAGAGCAGGGTCTGGCGGTGCTGCTTGTACAGGTAAGAGCGGGATGAACGAATCCGCCCTGGTCCAGGAGGCGACTGAGGATACTGCAGACGTCGCGACCGCTTTATCTGCTTTGGACCGCTCGAGCCCTATGCAATAATTCCATTCCTATCCTAGGCCCATTTGGGCTTCATTGTAAATGAAGCCCAACCACCGCTGTCGCCAGTGTTTCCCCATTCCCGGCTCGCGGTCATTTCCCCGCTCGCCTTGGGTCATGTCTGAGGCAGCGTCCTCCTAAGCCCCTCTCCCTGCGTTCCTACAGCTGGTGGCACATGGCGACATGGGCTTGGCCTGGCAGGCGGCGGAGACGGCAGTGTACCTCAGCGGCGGGGCCACGGGGGCAGTGCTGGTGGCAGCGGGCGCAGCTGAGGAGATGGCGTACCTGTTGGAGGTGAGGGACTGGCTGAGAGACTGGCTAAGGGACTGGTTGGCTTCTGGAAATGTGGGCTAGTAACGGTGGTTGTGGCGTTGGTGTACTTTGGCTACGCTGAGTTAACCAAACAGCAGCAAAAGCAACATCGTGGCCGCATATCACGAACTTCCAGCGTCATCTGGGCTTAGGTGCAGTGCGCCCGGGTGGAGCTTTCTGGGTTGGCGACTGTGGCCTGGGACCGCATCCTCCATTACCTCTAGCGGCTCGGATATCCTCAACGTTGAACAGTTGCTCCTAAATTGTAAGGATATGTTCATGTTTACACTGCAGTTCTGTCGGGGTATATCCGTCTGTGACTGGCCATTTTGCCCGTGCAACACTCACCTCAACTCAACAGGAGAGCGCGGACATGCTTCATAGCTTGACGCTGCGGAAGCAGATTCAGGTGCAATGCAGCTCCCTAGCTCACGGCGACCACCATCACAATTATCACAATCATCGACACCATGCGCAACCTGTTAAAGGAGCCCAGCTGCCTCACCCGCGCAATAACCAGCCTACTAGGACATCCTCAACGGGTGCCGGCGGGCCAGGGGTGGCGGCAGCGGCCGCTGTCGCGGTGCCGCCGCTGCTGACCGACGTGCATGTGCGTCCCACTCGCAGCACTGGCGTTCAGTACAGCGGCGGCGCCCGGCCGCAGCGCATGTACCTTCTCGGTCGCGTCCCGCTGGACTTCACAACAAGCGGCAGCTGCTTCTACGGCACCCACGACGCCATGTCGTACTGCGACTACTGCACCCCCTCCGCCGCCATTCAAGTATTGCTCCGACTGATTGCCGCCAGGCCGACGGCGGCGCCGCAAGCGGTGGTTGCACAAGAGAACGCGGTCTGCCGCCGGTTTGCTGCTGCTGGCGGTATGTATGGCGTGTTGCTGTTGCTGCATCACGAGGCAGCTGGCGTACACCATTCAAAGCTGGCAGCTTCGCTGCTGACGCTGTTGGATCTAGTGTTGATCCACGTACCAGAGGCGAAGGTGAGCTGTTGAAATTCACATGCAACACGAGACCCTAATGGCCAACAACGCACCCCATGGTTGCCAGTCGAACCCTTTGCTGAGGGGCTATCTGAGGGGCTACGCTTTAATTTCCATTTCATTGTTGTCCATCCTTTCCTTTTTCCGTTTCTGGGTTTTCGCTCACTCGTTTCCGATTTCTGTTTATCTGGTGCTGCCAGGATGAGTTGCGTCTAGCTGGTGGACTGGGCGTCCTGAGCACCCTACTGGGCAGCCTCATGCGGCCGGGAGTCATGGATGTGTACCAACTGCGGGTGGCCACATGCCGGACATTGCAACTGGCGCTTCGAGGTACTCGGCGCGGTCCACCCTAATCGCCTTTGACAAGGCGCGGGGCAAAATGCTCGGGGGGGTTTCGTGGGTAACCACAAAATCTACGAGATTTGATGTCTGGTTCTGTGGCCTGTAATGGCACCACCTAGTTATCTGATTTGCTGCTTTTTCTTTGATAATCCGGTACGCCGTCTGGAGTCTGGGTCCGCTTCCCCCGGGACGTGATCGCGTTTTGGGTCCTGCCGTGGCGGCGGGATCATTTTCGATTTCCTACCTTCACCGCTTTTTCTTTCGCCATCGTATTGCCTCTTTCCCCTCCCCCGGCTTCCGCAGGCAACGCCGCCAACAAGCTGGCAGCCCGGGAGCACGGTCTGCTGCCGCTGCTGGTGTCGCTGCTGTCGGTGCTGTGGCAGCAGCGCAAGGCCAGGTGTGGTCGCTTGTGGTTTCGTTTTGGAGCTTTCCTTCAGATAGAAGGCAGCAAGCATGGTCTTGTTCGCTCGCCATCTGATCGTATTCACTCTGCCCCTGCCCTGGCACATCCCCGCCTCCAAGGCCATGGAGCCCTAAGCTGAGCTGCTGTCACCCGACTTGTTGCCGCCAGTGTAGGAGGACCTGCTGCGTGCTGGGACCCCATCCCACTACAATACACTACTGTAGTCCATCCCGCCGTCTCCATCCCACCGCTGAATGATTTCGCTGTCGATATTTTTGCGTTCTTGGATATAAATTCCCCATTGCAGTGTGTGTTTGACACGTTCTTACTGCCCCTACCTCACGACGGGGTCGTGCAGGTCGCGTGAGGTGGTGGTGGACGACAGCGGGCCGTTGACGATGGCGGTACTGGAGGCGCTTGCTGCAGCATCGCATGAAAGTCCTGGCACACAGGCAGGTATTGGCGGTAACATGGATGCTGAACAAGTGCTGTAATTGAAGGACTGTGTGTAGTGGAAGAATGATAGTGCCGGGAAACTCTATGTGCATGTTTATCTTGTCACTACTGTATGCCTATCTTTTCTGTGTCTTCCTTTTCCCTTGAGACAGGAAGCGCTTGTGGCTCTCGGTGTGCTGCATCCACTGTGCGACCTGCTTCTGGACGAGGGCCTCGACGTCGAGGTCCGTACAGTTGCCGTACGCACGATGACAACGATTGTGGACAAATGCCAAGCTGGCCAGGGAGGGGTGTTGGCCACAGGTGTCGTGAAGCACGCCGTGGCTTGGCTGGAACACTGCTGTACCGCAGCTGCCGGGGGTGTTACGGCAACTGGTCTTAGAGACGGCTGTGGCAGAAGCCACACGGCGCCACCTAACCTGGCGGAGCTGGCGGAGCAAGCGGCGGCGCTGGCGTCACTGCTTGGGGCGATGCTGCGGGGGAGCAGCTCGAACGCCAAGCCAGCAATTGTGTCGGCAGGGGCACTTGGAGTGTTGTTGCAGCTGTTGCGGAGCTCTGCTCTGGCTGCTGGTGGCCTGTCAAGCAGCAGCGGTAGCGACGACGTCATGGGGTTAGCGGCTGCCGTGCTGGCGACACTGGTTGACGGTGACACGGACCTGCAAAATGAGCTCGTGGCACAGGGCGGCCTGACGGCGGCGGCGGATATCGTACGTGACGGCGGCGCCGCAGCGCCACAGGCCCTGACGCTGCTGTCCGCCATGCTGCGCTCGAACACGTTTGTGAAGAACAATGCCCGCCAGGCAGGCGTGCCTGCGACGCTTGTTGAGGCGGTACGGCATTGCGGCCTCGTGCAGAGGGCTAATGCCGCCGCCGCTGCGTCGGCTCTGACGGAACTGGCGGCAGGTAATCATGCAAACCAGGAAGCAGTGGCGGTTCAGGGTGGCCTGGAGGTGACGGTCGACCTGCTGCGCGACGCGTTCGCGGCCCTGCCAATGACGGTGTTTGCCGGCGGCGCAGCTGCAGCCGCCGGAGCCGCAACGGCAGCTGCCGAAATGGCCGGAGCAGAAGTGGACGTCGACACGGGCGATGGCTTGGCCTACGCCTCCGGCAGCAGCACCAGCGCGACAGGTCCTGAGATGGACTCCAGCTCCAAGGCAGCGGCCGCTGCTGTAGCAATGACGGCCATGCCTTACACGGCGGTTCAGGCGGCTCAGGACACCGCAAGTGTAACGTCGCTGTCACGGCTGATGCGCGCTCTGCTGGGGCTTGTGTGCGCCTGTGTCGAGCTCAATGGCGGCAACAAGTCCTATATTAGGGAGCTTGGCGGCGTGTCCTTTTTAGGGGAGTTTCTGGTGGCAACTGCAGAGGTGTTGACGGCGCCGCCTCCCCCTAGTTGGGCGCCGTACAGCCCTCACCAACACGACCAATGTCAGAGTGGCCGTTGGGACCAGCGTAGCTGCCGCTCCTCAGCGGATGGGCACGGGGAGCGGGCCGGAGGGGAAACGGCAGTCGTAGCGGTGGCCGCGCGGTTACGAGATGCCGCGGCGTCGTCACGAGCAGCGCTGTCTCCCGCCGTGGCAGCGGCTTGCAGTGCGCTTGTAGCGGTGACGAGGGAGAGCAGCGCCAACCTAGCCAGGCTGGAGGTACGGGCGTGTCGAAGCTGTGTGGCATGGCTGTGTGACAGCCTCCTTTAGTGTAGGGCGTTGCTTTGCATGCTGTTGCCCTTCATGCTTGTTGCTGCCACGTCGTATGTTCATGTTGCGCTGATGTCGCAAACGTTGTTGCGCTCCATCTCTCAGGAACACTCCGGGTTGGCAGTTGCGCTGTTCAAGCTGCTGGTCGCGACAGGTGCGCCTGGGTGCAGGTGCAGGTGGGGGTGCCTGGACTGATGCCATTAACAACGTGGGTTCGCAGGGGATGTAACAAGGTACCCAGCAGGGCAGCTGAGCATGTGGAACATTTTCGTGCAACTAAATAGCGCCTCCGTTGCGTTTGCGTCTTGCATTTTCGATACCGTTTAATGCCCTTCAAGAACTCTCATTTTTGTTCTTCCCTTCCGTCCGGTGTTTCCTCATCTTATGTAACTAAGCCCCTTTCACGACTGCGCCTTTCCTGCGCGTGTTGGACTGAAACCTGCAGACGCGGCGACCTCCCTTGCAGCCGCGCTCGCGATAGAGTGGCTTGTGGTGCGCAGTAATACCTTTTTGGATGCCCCCGGTCGGGAGGCATTCGAGCTGAACCTCGTTGACGTGTTGTCGCTAGCATTGTACGTGCCGTATGCCCCGCTACCGCTGGTGCTGCCGTCAGCACCCCCAACGGACAACGCCACGGCCTACGCGGCATGGCAAAAGCAGCAACAACGGCTGCGGCAGGAGCCTTGGTTCATTGTAGTGCGGGCGTTGATGCCGGCGGATGGCCTGACGGCGGCGGCGGTCCGCGACGCTGCTGCTGTACTAACGGCCGTGGCGGATGCCGCTGACGCGTTGGTTGGGTCGCTGCCGAAGCGACAGCCTCAGCCGCAGCAGCAGCAGGCAACGAGCGCTGCAGCAGTTGGGAAGGTATGGTTAATAGGCCTGGGGCTTTCTGTGCGATTGCCTGTCTGGATGTATAGATGCACCTGTACATCTAGGTGGCCGCTGTATGGGAAGAGACTCGCAGGAAAGGCAATGTTGAACGAAGTGGGGAAAGTGCATGCGTCTGTATCAAGCAATTGCACCATAAAACATGGCAAAAATACGGTGACCAAAGGGTGTCGAGTTTAAAGGAGAAGATCATCTGAACGAAAGTGCCACGCAGATGGTGCCCTTGTCAATATGTCGACGAGAGTGGTGACGAACTTGTGCATGGCTGTGTGTACATTTTCGTCCCCTCGCAGCAGGGCCTCATGGCTACATCTCGCGGTTCACTGCCACCGCTGGAGACGGTCCCCATCGACCCGGTCGCATCAGATCACAACAGCGGTCTCATGGTCAGCAACCTGCTGGCCGGGCCGTCTGCGTTTGCAGCCGCCGCTGGCGTCGTCGCTGCCGATGCCGCAGCCGCTATCTCCGACACGCCTGGCAGCCAGGCCTGGTGGGCAAAGCTCGCTGGCTGGGCGGCCGCCGCCTTTCAACGCGTTGCCAACGGCGTGCTGCAGGGTGCGCCCACTGCCACCGTAGGCGGAGCGGCGGTAGCGATAGCAGCGCCAAGCACTACAGGCGCGTCGCCGGCGGCGCAGGATCGGCGGCGTCAGGTGGCCTGGATGTTGTTCCTCCTCGCCGTCAGAGCCCCGGGCAACAGGTGTGCTCATGCCGGGGCCTACGTGCGTGGATACGGCATGGATACGTTGTCAAGTCCCCGTGGCCCATCCTTTGTGGGCTGCGTCACCGCATCACCATCCTGTGTGGTCCACCATCCTGCTTGTGCTTATTATGAAAAAAGCGACTAGATGTCGTACTGCGGGTGTCGTACGCACCCTTTAATGTGTGTTCTGTCGCCGGCATTCCGATGGTGCAGGGCGCGGATGCGGTGGCTTGTGCGCGCATCACTGTCCCCGCTGGCGCAGCAATTGAACAACGCCGAAATGTGTAGGTGAGGCCTGGCCTGGCTGCGCCTTGAAGCCGGTGCCCAGCGCCTGGCAGTGTTGTGTTTTGTGTTGGATTATAGTTTGGGTTTGATGCCCTGCAGATAATGCAGGGCGTTACAGGCCTTCTTATTGTGGCTTGCTCTAGCTTGCTCGACCATTCCTTCCTGTGCGCATCTGCTTGCACACACTTTGCACACACACCGCAATATTGTCTTCTGTTGCACATGTTCAAAGCCTGCTACGTGGCAGGCGCTTTAATATGGAGCGCTTTCATCCCAACGCAAAATCTTTTGGGGCCTCGCTTCCCTCATGAACCACGCCTGGGTTGAAATCACAGGGCTCAACTAGAGGCTGCCGCAGCTTCACCTCCAGATCCTACGTCTGTGCCTCGATCTGGATCCGGAGTTAGACAAGGGACAGGATTCACAGCAGCCGCCGTGGAGTTTGGACGCGCTTCGTCTGCCGCACTGGAGAGCGCCAGCTCGGTCAAGGGCCGGCTGCCCATTAGCACGGCAGCCCTGGAGGTGGGGAACGATTTATATGGATGCTGAACAGCACGGGGATGAACTGCAGCGCAGATAGATTGCAGATGGGTGGGATCACGGGGTGTCGTGCCTGTGTTGGGTGGCGAACTGTCTCCTTGGCTTATGGAGTCTCGATACTCAAAAGGAGGATTCGAAGTGAGCCTGCCGTTTCCTTTGAAAGCTGTGCCCTTTCCTTCTCAAGATGCTTTAACTCCCTGGAAACGTGCCAGAGCTCCGCATTCTAAGTCATGTATTGTTGGATCGCCCTGTAGGAACTCAGTGATGGTGTTCGGCGGCCACCTTCACCCTTGGGAAGCCGCCATCACCACCCGGCGTGCATCGTGGCGGAGCCGCCCATGCCGCCGCCGCCGCCACCGCCGCCTCCTCCGCCAGCGTCGCAGGGGCTGGCTGGGCCGGTGGGCATGCCGCAGGCGATGGCATCCCCATTGCCCCAGCCGTTGCAACATCCTCTGCAGAAGTTACCTCATTCCGATTCGCGACATGAACCCCATTATCAACAGTACTACCAGCAAGATTTTCAACAACAACAACAATCCTATGAGCAAGACCTGCAGCAGCAGCAGCGGCTAAACGCAACGTTACCGCATGCACCTCTACCGCCACAGCCACGGCCACCCAGCCGGCCTACATCGTCATCTTCGGCTTCTGGAGCCGCACACGGTGGGACCCCTCCGGTGCATGGCCATCCCCGAGCCACCAGCGCTGGTTCCGCTGCTGGCTTGCTGTACGGCATGATGCCGGCTGCGAATTCCCCAATCGCTGCAATGGCAACGTCGTCATCATCCATGCCAGCTACACCGCGTCAATACCTAAGCGCGGTTGGCGACAGCCCCGCCGCCGCCGTTCTTCGCTCTAACCGCCTAAGTCGTACTGGTAGCGGTAGCACGGCTGCGCTATCACCAATCGTTGGTGCCACCACCGCCGCCACTGCAGGCATCAGTGCAAAAAGCACCCCACGTGCAAGCCTGACAGGGGCTGTCGCGGCGGCCTTCGCGTCGCCGATGCCTTACCTGGGTGGTATGACAGCCGGACGAGGCTCTCGCGGCGCCAGCCCCAGCTCGATCCGTCCTGGAGGGGTTGGTGCGCCGTTTGCAACAGCTGCCGCCATGGCAACGCCCCCGCCAGGGCAGCGGTCGCTACGTCCCCAGGTCAGCGGTGGCGGCAGCAGCGTTATGAGCGACGATGACGAGCTGGCCATGATCCAACAGGTATTCTGCATTTGCATTTGGCCTCTTGCATGAACGATGAAGGATTACAACATAGCTCTTATTGGGTCCCATATTGAATTGCTAGGCCTGTAACAAGTCGCTATGGTGGCTGCACACATAAGCTTCTTTTGCCCTTAACATGCTGCATACGACGTACGTGTTGCAGGAGGTGGCCCTCCTGGCGAATACAACCAGCTCGCTGACGTGGAGCGCCAGGATGGCCGGCAACCGGTCTGGCGGAACCGGGGGGAATAGCCCTGCGGCCGCGGCGGCCTCTCCAGTGCGCTGGGGTATGGGCTCGGCGGTGCGGCGATGATGCGGCGTGATCTTTTGCCCTTTGGGCATGTGGCGGCGCAGCGGCATCTGCTAGAAAGCTTTCGTTTATTGGTGTGCTGCTGATGGCTGCTGGTATAATCCAGCAGGTTTTGGTTCATAGGGAGGCTCTCTCTCCGAGCGGTGTAACTTCTTTTGGCTGAACCTACGGTTGTTTTGGAGACTGTATTGTACTAGCAGCTTTAGATGTGGTCGTCTTGTGTTGCACACACTGCGCGGATGGAGGCAGGTCCTCCACATTGAAGCTAGGCATACATTGAATCTTGAGCACTGCGTTGCATGAATAAAAGTCCTCAACTGGACATGGAACCGATCCAGATTGGCTATATGCCAGTACTTACACAATTGGGAAGCATTTATCTTACTGTACATTGCATTGCATTGTGTCGGGAGCAGGAATGGTGCATGTTAGGCGAGAGACGAAAGCCCTTACATAGATGGGCTTATGGCTGGATGTATCGACAGGTCCATGGGTTGTACGGGGTAGTCTGATCAGTTGGATAGTGACATAGTCACCAGTTGTTGAGGAGAGGAATCCAGGTCGTCGACCTCATCATGTCGCACGCGCAGCAGGACACCAATAATGCGACACTAATTCGAAATCCGTCATTTCTGAACCTTCTGCATTAACGAATGCCACCACCAGCAATCTAACGAACAGGGCTTCCCCCAGTGATTTACTGCGGTCATACACTGTGTCCTCCCAAGCCTTGCTCACGTGGCCTTCTTCACGGCACTATCGATAGCTTTGAGGCGGTCTACCAGCGGCGGGTGAGAGTAATGGTATGATGAGTACCAGGGATCCACGTGCATAGCGCCCTGCATTGTGAAAAAACAAAAAATGCTTCAGGCCTGCAGGTATACAGGTGCCGTAACTTCCTAATAGTTCATATGGCCCAGTATTGCATCAAGTACAGATAGGTATGCTAGTCGTATTTTGTGCGGAATTTAGTGCGGTGCCAATCTCTCCCTGCGCCAGCTTTTCTTGCTCTGCCCGCCTGGTCCCCGGTCCCATGGCCTAGCAGCTTCTCCCCAGTTCCAGTACCCGCCATGTTATGTCCCGTTATGAACCGTTCCCAAATATGTCGACCGCTGCTGCCACCCTAACAGCAAAACAGTGCCATCCACGTGCAGTGCTCACACCTTACCTTGTTTTCCTCCTCCATCTTGAGAAGAGCGCTCCTTAACTCAGTTCCATGGCCGGTGTGCACCGCGAAGGCGTCCGCCTGGAACTCGAATCGCCGACTCACAACATTGCTAGCGTAGTGGATGACCTGCCAGGCACAACGTGTGCAGCCGCAGCGGGGTATAGAGTCGAAACGCAGGACACGGACTTGGGCAAGACGTGAACAGCGGTAAAGACTGGGAGCCCGAGACGGCTTCTGGACAGAAACATAACGAAATCGGGGAAACATCAAACCAGGACAACGACTCCAGGACCGGATTACCGGGCGGGCTGGGAATGGCCAGCTGAGGGGCAGGGGCAGAACACGGCTGCTTGGCCACATGTTAACACGCACGATTATCGCACCTCGTCCAATGGCGACACGATGAACTGGAACAGAATGAGCGAAATAAATGCCGGTGCTAAGCCGCTGGCGCCCACCGCCTCCCCTGAGCCAAAACCAAACGCCGCCGGCAGCGCTGTGCTGTTGCGCACCAGGGTGTACAGGCAGAACTGCGACACCAACACCACCTGGTTCACAATGAAGAGCTGCGGGGTGTGGAACAGCTTCCAGTGACCTGCAAGGGCACGGGGCGCAACGGCCGCGGCGGGGCATAGGAGGAGGGAGGCCAGGGCCGCGGCGAAGGTAGTAGGGCTTAGTAGTAATGGAGTATCCAGCTCTCAGCCCAGATTCATGGGTGAGATCGCCCAATCTGCAGGCGGGATGCAACGGGTTCCGGAGCAGCTGTAGCCCTCAACGGTATTGAGGTAGACGGTTTGCAGCATTTAAGGAAATCCCCCAGAAAGGAACTGTACCGTAGCTCCTTCAATACCTCTACTTCTTTCCCATACACGGTTTCCCACCCACCACCCGCACTGCTCACCGAGCTCGTGCGCCAGCACCGCCACCACCTGCTCCTCGCTACATTGCTGAATCAGGGTGTCGTACAGTACGATGCGTTTGTTGTTGAAGAAGCCGTACATGTAGGCGTTTGAGTGGGCCGAGCGGCGGCTGCCATCCACGCGGTATAGCTTGCGCAGAGGGAAGCGCAGACTGCCGGCCAGAGCCTCAATCTTGGAACGAAGGGAGCCCTGTCGCGGCGCCGGCGGCGGTTGTGGCGCGCGTTGGAAACTAAAAAGGATTTAGCTGAACTCCAACAAGCAAATCGAAATGCTTCAACCCACGGGCCATTCGACATCCACATGCTGCAGGAGACGAACTAACGGAACCTTCCAAAACCCTTTTCCCGCAGAGCAGGGTACGCGTGCGGAAAAAAAGAGGAAAGAGGAGGAAAAGATACCAGGGGCAACGAGCGACAGGCTTCGGGCGACCAACCAACCAACGTACCGCTACCGAAAACTACCCACCTCCGGGAGAGGTTCGTACTTGTTGAATAGCGGCGCAATGAGCACGGGGTAGATGGTCATGAAGAAGAGGCTCAACGCGAAAATGAAGCCCCACAGGTACAACGGTAGCATCGGACCCGCCACCTACAAGGCGAGGAATGGGGATCGAGTGGGAACGGCAGGGAGCGGGTAGGAAACATCCGACGAGAAAGCCACAGACAAGCTGCCCGAGGCGTCTTCTCGGCGCTGCTGTTATTGGTGAAAGCATAAACAATCAACAGCATGCAGTAGCTCACCTGCAGGATGTAGGTAATCCCGGCCACGATGGGCGGCAGCAGCACCGCAGCCAGGAGAACCTGCCAACGTGTGGAAGTGTTGAAGGTTTTCTTGTGAAGTTGACGTTAAAAATGCGGAGTTAAGAAATTTTCGACGGACCCAAGTGCTCGTTAACCCTTCTCGAGCCAATCAAACCAGACAAGTCTAGCGAAATCCACTCAAGGGTAAATAGCAGGTGAACCTGCTACTGAACCCCAAAGCCCACCCATCCCTGCTCCCTATCCATTACCTGCTTCACAAGATCCGATACGTACAGCCCCAGCGTCTGCTTGTTGAAGCCGTGACGTTGCTCAATCACGAATGTCGAGTACAGGCCCCACGGCAATTCTATGACCAGGTTTCCCAGGAACAGCAAAAACACAAACAGCACCGTCTGCGCGATCTCCACACCGGACGCCGTAGAGAGCCAGGCGGGCCACAAGCCAGGTCCCGCGTGCGCGGCAGCGGTGCGCAGCAAGTTACCCGAGAACACCCAGACATAAGGCAGGACGCCGGCCAAAATGAGCGCCAGCGTCTCCACGGTACTGTACAAGCTGTGCGCGAAGGAGAAGCTCCTGGCGGTTCATTTGATGTTCGCGGGGACAAAAAAGATGCGCCACAAAGGATGTAGGTGAAAGGTACCGGAAAGGCTGACCCGTGACATGGAAGGGCAAACCTCTGACGTGACACTGACAAGGCCCAACCAGGCATCACCCAGCTACGCGCGGCCCGAGTAGCGCCTGACCATTACTTTATCATGATACTTTATTATACTGACCAGCTGCACCCTAAAACTCGGACTCCAGACTCAGCCGAGCGGCTGTCCATGTCCTCCTCAAGATTCTGACCCACCATTTATCCAGGTTGTAGGCTCTTGTCTTGGCATACAGCTCTGGACTGAACAGGCCCGCTAGCGCCTCTGGAGGGCTGGGCCGCCGGAGAGCCTGCGGGCGCCACAACGCAGGTGCACATTCCTGACAGCACTTGCATACCATACATGTATCATACGACAGCTGCAGCTGGGATGGCCCCCAGTCTGACGCTCCGCTTGATTGAGGTGAACCATGCCGGGTTGGTAACCTAGAACCCTGGACCTGAGATTGCGATGTGGGTCGCCTGGTTCCGGGACTTCTCAGGGCTATGTCAACGTGTAGTTGTAGTTTTCCATCCTTGATGCCGTACTGCCTCGGTCCTCCAGAAGCCGTTGGTGCACGCATGGCAGCTGCCTCATTCCGACTAACTGTTTTCCGGAAGCGCGCCCCACCAATGCGTGCCATATTGGCAGAGGTACTCCATGCGACGAGCAGGCAGCAGGTAGTGGACGTACGTACCCGCAGCTGTCGGACATCGAGATAGGTGTGGAACAGGTAGACCGCCACCGTGAAGCCCACATACAGATGCAGATAAGGCACCCCCGCGTCATCGAATTTGAAAACTCGGTCAAGGGCGATGACAGTCGCCATTTTCGCAGTGTCTGTGTACGGTTGCAGGGAGGTGCAGCAAGGCCCGGGCTTCAGTGATGGCTGCAAAATGACAATCCGTTGCTGTGAGGCAGACGGACGGGATATAGATGTATCACATGGGGGAGGCGGGCGTGCATGGCCTTAGGGGTGGCAGGGTATTTGAGGGCAGGCGCAGCGGGCTGAAGCACAGCAGGAGGTGCTGCCGTTGACTTCCCATAGCGCCCTTTGACGCTCCGCGCCTCTTGCATGCATCCAAGTCAAGATCAAGCAGGCTTTGTACAAGATGCTCGCGGCTGCTGTTATGGGCAACGCATCCGGTGGAGCTGTCCGAGACTCCGAAAGGTTCCCCACGCTTTAAGAATGCGCATATTTAGGATGTGATCATACATTTACCTCCTCGAAATAGCTTGCTCTTAAGGAACCAGGGAACGTCCGTCTAGTCACGCTGATCGCCCTTCACAAATTTGACAACAAGAGTCCCAAACGAAATGCAATAACCCTAGCTATGCAGCCATGTTATATTTTCTGTGCAAATACAGCATGCTTAAATATGCCAATAGAGCCTTGGCTAGACTTCTGGTTGGTACCGGTACTACTACCAAGGCCAGGCCGACATCACCTGCCGGATGTACGAATACCGCACATACGACATCCCTCCACTTACGTGTTCATTGTGTTTCCTTGCAATGTTCTGAACGTTAAAACGCGGAAGCCGGGGTCTCGGGGATGTGTTTCTTAAATCACCGGACGGTGTTGATACCGGCCGTAGTGGCCAGCAACAAGTTTTCCCCCTTCCCCACAACTGATGTCCGTCAAGGATTGACCCGAACGATTGATAGCAAATCTGCTGCAGCAATAAAAATATTCTCAATCCCCTTGTTGTAGGATTCCAGATTACCCGGGACACAAGGGTCGCTTTCTGCTGTCTATGTGACTTGCGTTGTTTGGTCTGGGTGGGTGTACTGACTGCCCGGATCGCCTCAGGTGCAGTGTCCGGCCAACTGGCCCGCCGGTTCTACTCTTCACTAATCTGGATCCCACTGTACCGCCCCCCCTCCCCATACACACAAAAGAGCGAGGCGAATGGGGGCCATGTGAAAGCCTGCAAGGACAACGTACAAGGCATATGGAAACCCCCGTGAGCAGCCTACAAGGCGTGTGGAAACCTGCTCGAATAGAAAAAAAGGAAACAGGAGGTTTCCCCATACTCCATCCGCTGCCTTAGCACAAGTGCTAGTATGCATGTGACCGACTACTGAACCAGTTGACGCATTCGGTGCATCGAAAAGGGTGGGAGAAATCCGGGGTAATGTGACCAGCAGTCGCAATGAGCGCGGTGTATAGAGTTGCCAGAACGTTAAAGCTTGTATCAAAAGGTGCTCTTCTAGTACTCCTACGCCAGAAAGCACTTAATCCCGCCGCGATATCAGCCTGGAAGATGGATGGTGGCCAGGGTCCGCATGTGATTAGTCTGCTAACATACCTCTCTATCCTCTCCGCTCTCTTTAATTTCCAAAATACAAGTTGAGAGAGGAGCAGCGGACGGCTTGTTGACTTGATTAGAGTATAAAGGCGCCAATGATAGTCAACCTGCTGAGCTAGGTGGATGTATGGGGGAACGGAGCGGGGACTGCGCATCCTGAGATCGTGCATTTAAGTGCGGGACGCCTGCTGCTGGGTGTATCGGTGCAGTGAGCTGCCGGGCCTGAGGGTGAGGTTTGCCAATGAGGCCAAAAGGGGCCATCCAAGTCTAGTTCACCCATGAGACAGCCTGGCAGGGCAAAGGCCATCTCCGTGCTGTCACGGAAATAGGTCAGCGGGAGTCCTTGCGACGCATGCAGCGGTGCGGTGGCAGGTGGCAGGAGCACGTGTGCAGAGCAGGAAAAGCGCTAGGGCTCCCCAACCATGGACCGTGTTAATCCTTCCCACATTGAAACAAGTTTCAACACTCTTCAAATCTGCGCTCGATGAACTGGGCCACATGTTACAGGCTGTTTCCAATCAGCGGCGCCGCCAGTTGGGCATCCGTCACTGGCGGTTGACCAGTTTCCTATCAGCAGTACCATGCTCCGAAACCTTTAAAATGGCGCCGAAACCTTTTATCCTTATTGGAATGTCATTTGTGAGCCAGACCAACTGTAAAGGCCTGCTGAACAATATTATCAAATGATGATATTGTAAGGTAGTGCGTTGAAACTGCACGACCGAGTCGGTGGCAAGGTCAACGCAAGGGGGGAACGTTGATCATCATACGTATACAGGAAAGCAAGGGAACCGCGGCGGTCAACTTAGATTCCAAATCGGACAACGTAACAGTTTTGCGCCAAGTATTAGCATTCACCGCCAGAGACAAGGAGATGAGCCAGGGCAACCCCTTATGGCGGCGGTGGACTGGCGGCGGACTGGCGGTATAGGCGTTTCCGAGCGTTTGCTAATTCCAGCCGTAAAGGGCATTCATTTTACAAATTGTTTCTAAATAATTGCACAACTTATAGGGAATAAATTGTTTACGCTGAAAGCCGCTGCCGTTGGCAAGAAATTTCGAACTCTGTAATTGGCAAAGGTTGTCTGCGCCTGAATGCATGCTTGCTAGCGTAACGCAATAACACAGAAAATTCATAGATGAAAAATATTAGAAAGTCTTACAAGGTTTTGAGAAATATAACGAATGTGTCAGGGAAGACTGCTTCAGTTCACAGAGTCAAAGCACGGGTCGTATCACGGGTAGCATCTGATGATCTAGACAAGTATTGCATACGTGTCCTTGAAAAGTATGTGTATAATTTCACCCGTGTTGATATGCATCGGTGAACAAATCCACTGATTACCAGTGAATGTTGCAGGACTTACCGGACTTACCGATGTGTAGGCGTTGCCATCTAATCATTTATAAGAAGAACCCCTCCTCTTCCTCTTTTTCTACTGCTTAACCCGGCATCTCACCGCTTTGCTCTGATTTCGCAGCGTTTCGACGCTGTTCCACGAAATGCCGCATAACTGATGATTTGCCCTGCAGCCGCATCTGCGGGTCTCAAATTTAGCTATACTAAAATAACTGATCAACATTACTGAGTAACGATGGATGGCATTATGGCCGCGTTGCTAGCCGAGATGATGGATGTGTCGGGCGGCATCCCTGCGGGCCCCTCGTCGACACGGTCAGGCAACCGTTCACCGAGAGTAAGTCCAGCAGCTGAAAGAGCTGCTGTACGGGAGCGCCTGATCGCCCACATCAACGACAAGCGCAAGGCTTTGCACAGCTTCTACAATGAGCCGGACATGGAGAGGTATCATGTAACCTCCTCCTGCAATGTTAAGTCGAAAGCGGATTTTCCTGAGCCGCAACCTTTGGAGCGTTGCACCCCCATCCTGATTTCGGAGCTGCAGCTGGGGATGACCCATCGCGGTCGGGTGCTGCGGGGCCGCCTTCTTGTGAAGCCTGTGCTGATGACGGCGCTGAGTACTGTTCTCGAGGATGAAAACGGCGATACGGTGATGGTGGGTTGGTGATGCACAAGTGCAATCAAGCGAGTTACCGAGGTCGGGTTGGTTTTATGAGGTGTGCCCGTGCTGCGGAGCTGTTCAGCTGCCTGCATATCCGCGCTTCAGAAGCTGCTTTCTCCCATGTCAGCCTTCCTCAGTTTGCCGCCCCGATTACGGGACATGTTAGGGTTTTTATTACCCGCCGTCCCCAGGTGTCTGTGTACAATCTTCTCCCGTCCAACCTAGCCGGTGTTCCAGGCCTACGTGCGGGGGAAAGGGCGCTACCGGAGGGGCGCCATGTGGCCATTATTGAGCCCTTCTACAAGCGGATGGCGGATGGGACGCAGGGCGTCCGAGTGGATAACCCGCGGGAGGTACTGCGGGGGGGGGTGCCGGGGTGCTAGAGTGCCCGGGGGGCATGTGTTTCGGGCTGGAGTGCTGTGTGCCGCAGGGTTAAGGTGGGGATTGCGGGGCTATCAGGACGGGGGGCCGGGGTACACGAGGGAAGAACTGCAGCACGGTGTTGAGGACGCTACGCAGGGGTTGGCTAAGCTGATCGTCAGTGCTGCTCAACAGTACTCCCACCAAAAAGGAATGTGAAAAACAGAGACGGTGGGTTGGTCAGTTGGGATTCTGATCAGTCTGATATTCAGACGTGAGCCATCTCCTTACGCGTCCCTTCCAATATTCTTGTCCCTCGGTTGTATTGGATAGTTTTTGGATAGCTTCGCGGGCAGACTTCCGTCGTGGTCTCTCAAGGTTTTCGGAAGACCGAGAACTACTATTTTGCTACGCTAGATTTGTTACCAAAACTTATTAACAGACCAACTTTAGCGTCTCTTATTCGAAAAACCAAAATTAGTTTATTTTTTCGCTAGCAATTTCAATTAATCTATTTGTTGACACTAGCGTAAAAAATATTAAATAAAGATAAGAGTGGATAGTTTTTGGATAGTTTTCCCGCCGTGTTAAAAGCCGAACCCGGTCATGGCCTGCTGGCAGCTGGTGTTGCTGGACTCCTTGGAGCCAGACGACGCGGCTGCACTGCAGGCCGCCGGCCGACGGCACTTCCAGGCTGCGGAGTACGACGCCGCTTCAAAATGCTACAGCTGCGCGTTGCTGCGCATGCCAGACGTTGGCAGAGCCGGCACCGAGCTTCTGGTGACCTGCCTGAAGAACCTATCTGCCGCGCTGCTGCGGCTCGACGACGCGCCGGCGGCGCTGCAATGCGCCGCAGCCGCCGCTGCTGTACGTTCCGATGACAGCAAGGCGCACTTCCGCATCGCGCTGGCGGCTGCACGTATGGGCCCCGCCCTGGCGCTGGCGGCACGTGCGGAGCTGTACCGCGCCAAGGAGCTCATGATATCGGCCGGCAGCGCCCCGAGTAGGGAGGAGTGGCGGCGCATGGTTTCGGAGATGGGGCCCGTACCGATGGTCGGTACGGCACCCTCCGCCACGCAAGCTGGTCAGGGACAGGAGGACCTGTTGCGTGCGCTGGCGTGTACAACACCGGAGGCGCTGCTACTGCTGCTGGGGGAGGTACCGCCGCCGCCAACGGAGGCCTCCGCCGCCGCCGCCGCCGATGGTGGTGGTGGTGGTGGTGGAGCTGCTGCGGCCATCGCCGCCAGCGCCGCCATGAAGGAGTCCGGCAATGTGGCGTTCAAGGCGGGGAACTACGATAGTGCGCGACGGCAATACTTGACGGCGCTGAAGACCCTGACGGAGGTGCTGCCTGGTGCCGTACTGCTGGCTAACCTGGCGGCATGCTACCTGCGGATGTCTGACCCCAAGCGGGCGGCAGCAGCGGCGACGGCGGCGCTGCTGTTGGGACCCCGCCAGGCCAAAGCGCACCATCGGCGGGCCGAGGCGCTGCTACACCTGGGCTGGCTGGTGGAGGCCGAGGCGGCGTGCGACGCCGGCCTGGCGGCGCTGCCATCAGACGCGGACGGCAATCGCGAGGCTATTGCAGCGCTGCGCAAGCGCATCTGTACGGCCAGGGCAGTTGAGGTTCCGCCAGCGGCGGCGCATCATCGCCGCGGTGGCGGCAGTTGCGACACAGCGGCGGTGACGGAGCGGGAGCTTGATGCGATGCGGGGTCAAGATTCATGTGTGGAGATGAAGGCTATGTTTAACCGGATGTTGGGGATGGCCGAGTGCGACCCACGGGTCGCGGCGAATATGCAGGCGTTACGGCAGAAGGACCCGCTGATGTGGCGCAGCTTTCAGCCGGATCACCGAGTGCCTCCATTCCACCAGGAGTTCAATAACGCGGCTCGGTGCGTGCGGTGATAAACGAGCCCAAACGACACCTTGGGTGTGTTTCAAAGGAACGACCTTTTTTTCGGCCCCGAGGAGCAATCAGGAAAGATTTCCTTGTGTTTTGTCTTTATGTATGTTTATTTCCATAAGTCTGAGCCGCGATACGAGAATGTGTGACTATACTAATGGGTATCGATCACGGGATCTCCCGGGGGCAATGGTTGCGCCTTACCAATAGTGCCAAACCCTATATATACTATGTATGTGTGAATTTATGCTTCCTCTTCCAAGGTTGAGGCCCGCTTTTCCTCCATTTCCCTTTCGTAGTCCTTTCCTCTGTCCTTCTGTCCCTCGGGTTCCCCTCACCCTTCCTGTCTTGGATTTCTTCTTCCGCAACGTGTATGTGTGTATGTATGTATGTGTGTCCCCTCTAGTTACCCGTGTGCACTCGGCCCTGCCCCCGGGATGTGCAGGTGGCCGCCCGGGTGCGATGTCGCGGAGTGCCAGCGGCGGCTGTGGGACTCCTACGAGCTGTGCGTCGGTATGTCTCAGCACCTGATGGCCATGGCCGTGTGGGCAGATACGAACATCACGAGCACGCGGTAAGGGGGGAGGAGGGTGTGTAAGTGGTGGAGAGGCAGGGAGAAAACGGTTTTGGTGGTTTAGTGGGGTTAATTTAATGCTCTTAGGGGTCTACGAACTATGGAAGCTCAGAACGTGCCGCATTTGGCGGCAGTTTATGTGCGATGCATCTGCTACCAGTACTGCGACATCTACGCTGATTGCTGCCAGGACTGTTAGTGCTGCTAGTACTTTTAGTACTGCTAGTATTGCTGGTGCTGCTGGTGTTGCTAGTCCTCCTGGTGCTGCTACTGCTGCTGCCCCAATTGTTGCAGCGATGCTGCTCTACCTAACCTGCTGTTATTAAATGTAGTGAGACTTCTCCCGTATCTCCTGTACGGCTCCAGGGTGGGAATCCTGGAGCCAAATATGGCGCAGGCCCGCATGGGGTGGTTCGCAAGTGCTCCCGACGGCGCCGTCAGCTTCCGCTGCGACGCCTTCCTGGGGATGGGAGGCGCCGGCGGCTACAACCCCACCATATTCCACAGCTTTTCCAATACGCCCCCACCCGCGGTATCCATGCCGCCCGCGTCACCCGGTTCTCCCATACCGAACCACGTGGCAGTTGGGTTCGTTGACCTCGGCACGCTGACCGCGGCGGTCAATCGTCCCGAATGGGACGAGCAAGTCGAGGCGGCTATGCGGGAGCTGCTCCAGGATGCTGGTGCCGTCGGTGCTGCCAGCACTGCCAGCACTGCCAGCACCAGCGACACCGCCGGCTGTGGCGTCGCCGCAACGTCACCGCCGGCGCCGCAACGCCACTCGGTTGCTTCGTCGGGAGCCGCGAGCCGGGGGAGCCACGAGTCCGTCACGCCGCCGCTGCTTCTTCGGTGGATCGGCCTGGAGGCCTCCCCTCACTCCGTAGCCAAGACGCTGGTGGTGGAGAGGATGATGCGGAGGGGCGGCCCTGCAGCGACTGATTGGGTGCTTCAGGTTAGGAGCGTGCGGTGCAGGGGGTTTGGGAAAGCAGTAGGAAAGATCTGAGCCTCAAAGGGTAGTAGGGCTGAGCCTCAAAGGGTAGGGCCGTGTACTAGCCGGGATACTGGGCGCATTATTGCGTCAGTCAATCTGGGGGCTTGGGTGGAATTAAGCGGGGTGGCGGGTGGTGAATCCAATCCGGACCTTCCCGCATGAGTTTGGTCCCCGTCCTGCCACTGATGACCCCCGCGGTGTGCCCCTATGGCGGTGTGCCCCCTTCCCTGTATGTCCGCCTGTATGTCCGTCTGTATGTATGTTTTCCAGGTGTGGTACTCCTCCGTGTGGTCCATGGGGGCTCTAAAAGCGTTTCGGGAGGCCCTTACAGAGATTCTGACGGAGGAATGTGTCCGTACAGAGCTGCCACCCGAAGTACTGTCGTACCTGCATCACTGGCAGCTGCGCGACGTGAGCCTGGCGGAAAGTCGCCGACGGTGGCTTGAGGACTGGCGACAGACGTTCTGTGCGGTGGGGCAGTTCCGGGAAAAGGTGAGGGGGTCTGCGTCTGTGCGTGTATGAGACTAGCACACAATTACCTGCCCTGCCAGGTCCCTTAATGGCATCCTTCTTAACAACCGCCCGCACCCTGTATCCTCTACCCCTTACCCGGCCCTTCTGCCCGCCCATTCAGGCGGATCGACTCGCCCTCGTGGAATACATGCTGACGGGGCAGCTGCCGGGGCTGGTCTCTGGAGGGAACGAGGATGAGGCCGGGGGCGAGCTGGTGGGCAGTGTGGTCATGTTCGCCAAACCCAGAGAGTTCGGTGCGGAGCGGGCGCTGAACGAGAGTTTTCTGGAGGTGAGTGGGGGAGTGGGGAAGTGGGGGAGTGGGGAAGTGGGGGAGTGGGGAAGTGGGGGAGTGGGGAAGTGGGGAAGTGGGGGAGTGGGGAAGTGGGGGAGTGAGGAGGGAGGGGTTGAATGTAGGGGGGCGATGTCGTGGCTTGGCTTGGCATGGCATGGCGTGCCGTCACGCGGAAGAATCGTCTTGATGAAAACTTCCAATGCTCCGCTCCCCTTCGGCCCCTTCCGGCCCCCTCCGGCTACTCGCGTCCGACCCGCAGACGCCTCCTCACAATGACTTGACTGACTGACTGACTGACTGACGACTGTGTTGTTGCAACCTGAACCCAACCCCAATCACTACCCTACCCACTCTCTACGGACCCTCCATCGGAGGACCGCAGTCGCTGGCTCCCGGAGAGCTGCTGGCGGCCCGCATGCAGCCCCAGTCCCAGTCCTGGTCTCCGGTCTCTTCCTCAGCACTGCAGGGAGGGGGGCCGTCACTCACCGCCGCTGCAGCAGCACCTGCCGGACCAGGAGACCGCGCCGGGGGGAACAACGAGAAGGACGACAACAAGAAGGACAAAAAGAAGAAGAAGAACAGGCAGCAGGGGCTCCAGGGAAAGGGCAGCGGCGCTGCAGGCTCCAGCTCGAGCGGTAACGCTGTTGGTGGTGTCGGTGGTAATGATGGCGACATCGTGTCTGCTGGGGTGGCTTTGCTTCGGCGGAGGGTTCGCCGGCTGGCGTGTCTGCTGGCTACGGGTCGTGTGAAAGTCCAGGTAGTTCGACAGGAGGATGGACGCGCACGCGTGTGTGTGTGTGTGTGTGTCTTGGGCGCTTGAGTGGGTGATTGGGTGTCGCATATCAGTGTCCCTGGGATTGGCGGCCCTTTCATAAGCCGCAGCTACAGACGGGGCCTGGCATTGCGAACAGGAAATGCCTGTTGTGGGAGATCCAGTGGCAGCCGTAACTGTACGACGGTACGACTTTACGGCTGTAGTTCAACATGTCCGGAGCTAGCTAGAGGATTTCTATGTTTCCCTTAACCTTCCCCCTTTGGGCCGCAACTTCCTCGCACATACATAGGGACGGAAAGAGAGGAAGAGAGCCGGCGGAAACCCTCTCTGTGCGCGCGCGCAGGTGCTGCTCGAGCTGGTGGATCCCGGTGACGCGACCGCCGCCTTCATCTCCGGCCTCCATCCCGACTCCATCTCCTGGTCCAATGTACCCGACTTCTACGCCCCATCCGAATTCCACGCTATGGCCAGGGCCTGCTCAAAACCGCGCAGTAGCGGCGCAGCTGCCCCCACCATCAGGCCCACGCTACACTACGTGACCTCCATGAACTGGACCATGGACGTCAAGGGCGCCTGCCACCTGGATATGCTGTGGCCGTATGTCCGAGACATGGGCCACGGTGATGAAGGCGATGGGGCTGACGAGCTCATCAAGCGCATGGCTGGGGGCGGCGGTGGCAGCAGCCGCGGCCGTGGCCCTTACCGGGGACCCTTCGGCAGTAGCGGCGGCTCGGAGGGGAAGGAGCTGGCTCGAGTGAGTCGGGACGTAGCTGGCGGGGGAGGTGGAGGAGGAGGAATTCGGCGGAAGGCTGCGGATGTGTGTCTGTGTGTGCCTGTGTGTGTGTGTGTGGAAGGGAAACAGCCCAAATCACTTCAGATGTTCTGGAGCCGCGTACTGTCGCATACTGCTGTACGGGTATACCCTCATCTGGCGGATGACGGCACCTTGACGTACTTGCGGCATATGCTATGTTCGTTGTGCACGTGTGAATAAGAGGAAGCTTGGCATGGACAGGCAGGGCAAGCAGGTCCATCGCGAACGTCAGCGCCGCGGGCTCAACACGGCAAAATTGTGGACCCCGTACCCTACATTCTGCCTCCTAACCGTAACAGTACGACACCGTACTTGGTTTGGGTCAATTATTTTTTATGGCTTATCCATCCCCTGCGATTCCATGAAATGCACTTCGCTACACCACCCATATCGGTTGATTGCACAGTTCTAACTAACTAACGGCAACCTCACGTAACGTCCTTCAGCTCATCCTAAAACTGGTGGACGATGGCGCAACTGCCGTACGTCGTCAGCTGGCCCTGGAGGCCGGCGGTGAGCGTCTGCTGTTCGATCCGCCCGTGGACAACCCGCGGAATGTGGCCGACTTCGGTCTCGTCCTCAAGTACTACAAGGTACGGCACAACGTGGGAGAAGGAGAAAGGGGATTGGGAGAGCACCACGCACCGCCTAACCCTCCCAGTGACCGTTATCTCTTGATGTCATTGTAGTACATTTTCGTACGGTATGCCTGTTTCCCTCTCCCCCACAAAAAAGTTCCACACGCACACGAGCCACTGCCACCACTCGATTCCCCCCTGCAACAGAACTGGGTGGACGCGTTCCTGCGAGCCGGAGATGTACGACAGGCGCCACGTGACCCGGTGTACGGCGGTCGTGACGGCAGTCCGGGGGTCCCGTCTGCCTGGGTCGCCTCTGCGCCCGTGTACGGCCCCCTCACTCGGACCAACACGACCGTGAACGTGGTGTACTCATACTAGCTGGAGCAGCGTGCCAGGCCGTGATGTGGTGTGTGTGCGTGTGTGCGTGTGTTGTATGACGACTAGCTGGTTGTTGGAGGGTGTACACCGATGTGCAGCGCATGGTTAAGCAAGCGTGTCAGTGCAGGATAATTCCAAGTTATGCTGTTTGAGGCGTCAGGGTGGCGCCTCAACGCACACGTTCTTAATGAGTTAGGGAAGGGGCTTGTTGGGGTGAGGGTAGTGGGGAGAAGATGACCATATGCGGATAGGTGTGGCCAGAATGTTTGTTGACACAGAGCATGGCAGCATAGCGTAATTGCAACGCCTGGTTACGGAACCGTAGGAATAAGGTGTTACAATATGTTCATTGCTGTTGATGGCTGGTTACGGGAATGTAGGGGCAATTCAATGGTGGCATGCAAGTAAAGTTGCAGGGAATGTACAGTTAGTAAGTTGCTGGTCGATTGCAGCACAGAGCACGTTTGTGTTCATTGGAGTCGTCGGACATATACGTGTTCAGTCGAAGTTTTCTTTGATTAAGCAGCCCCTCGCAGAAATGTGAGCGGTCGTACTCTGCCGAATAAACGGGACGTACATCGTCCAAAAAAGCCTGGAGCGAATTTCACCGCGCGGATGCGCGCTTTCGATTCGCAAAATGCGCCTGTACAAGTGTATATAATTTTCCTTGGCGAAAAAGGACGAGGTGCGCCAGCGCGTTGCGCAGGTGGGCATGTTGGCCATAGCCGCACGCGGCATGCAGGCTGGACTATTGCGTGGCTGCTTTGCAGTAACTGAAAGCACCGAAAGCCTACGTCGTAGCTTGCAAGACTGGGCTCGTGAAACTGCCGCGGGAAGAGGAAGCGTCTGGCGAAGAGGCAGTTGTGTGCAAGCAAACGGTCGCGTTTTTGGTAGTGCAACGTATACAGCACCTTGTTCAGAGTAAAGTCAAATCACAAAATTGCGCAAAGTATAACATACATAAACTTAATTAAACATAAGAACAGATAAGACGTCTAGAGCCTTGTCGGTGACATGGACGCCGCTGTTGGCTTGGAACAGCTATTTGCTGTGCATAGGGACGTGCCCGCGTTAGCCGTGTTGCAACAGCTCAGGATGGATTTCAGCCAGCAACAGCCTCAAGAGCTGCTGCACAACCACCGGGAATGTCTTCAGTTGGGCACGTGTAGTTTTGGTCGGCGGGGTCGAGCATGTACACATTGCGCACAGAAACCAAGGTGCAGTGTCTCTGTAACATCGCCAACATATCCGGTACGCGGTGGCAGGCTTGCCGAGCACGAATGAAGGGGGGGTCGCATCTCACCATTCAACTAAGCATGCATGTGCTCGGTTGAATGCTCGGTAGCGTGCGAGTTTACCCCTATCAGGATGTTTGTTTGCATATCCCTCCAAGCGAGAGGGCTTGGACCTATGCTGATGTTCGTTCCAAGAAGTGAACTGAGGACTGATGCTACGGTGAAAGGTATGCACGTAAATTCGCCCATGCGCCAAACGCCCTGTAACTCGCTTATGCTAATCTCACATTCCAATATGCCACTGCACTTTCCTCTCCAGTCTGGCCACATTCTCTTCCTCGCAAACGTACTTGGGCACCTTACAATCCGACACCATACGGGCTTTGGAAACGCGGGCAGCTGCTTCACAAGGACCCCCCTATTTTGTCCATCAAAGCCGTTGCAGGAGAGCATTATTTGTTTTTGGTACATCTTGGGGGTCGTTGATGACTCGTACATCTATGCGCTTGGCGATTTCGGTAACTTCCGATAATCTGTTATTCACTCTTTTGTAACATCAGTAACTCCGTACCTTGTCAACTTTGTACACAGCTTCAGCTTTCGCAGCGCGCGCGGATTTGTAGAGCACGCCTGCTGAAACGCTAGTCCTGAGCTTGCAAAAAGTTAAAACGTCATTAATACGCACCACTTTCAGGTCAACTATGTCACATACATTAATTTGTCACTCATCGTCTGCACACCCAGCCGCGTTGAAGTGTCCTTTAACTACGCAGCGATGCCATCCAGTATTAATCCACAAGCGTCTTAAAGGTCATCTCCGAACTCTGCAATCCAACTGTTCGAAAGCTGCGGACGGGGCGCCAGCAAGGGGTGAAGAAAACTCGGCGGCAATCGCGGCGACCGAACCAGCTTCAACCACCACTGCAACGGTAACCACAACTGCAGCAACTGATCCTATTGGCAGCAGTGTTATCCAATCTGGAAGCAGCCCTGCAGATTACCACCCCGCGATCTCCTCGTCCCCTCTCGCAACTGCGCAATCTCAACCGCAATCAGCACTACCACCAACCGCCCAGACACCGCCCTCCTTGGACGACCGTCTTGCGGCGCTATGCAACCGAATCACCTCCTTCTTCCCGTTCTGGGTCGTCCTAGCGGCAGCTGCGGCGCTGTGGCGCCCCGAACTCTTCACTTGGTAGGATCTGGACACGTTGAGGGCAATAAAACGCCTAATGCGGTAGTGGTTAGGAAAGCAGACCATTTGTTGTTTATACCAAAACTGAAACCTTTTCCATCATCTTTTCCTTAGGGGTGCACCCCCGCATTCCCCGCTATCTCCCCCACTCCCCCAGGTTGCCCACCGGCTTCATCACCTGGGGTTTGGCGCTGACCATGCTGGGTATGGGCCTCACCATGCGGCTGTCCGACTTCGGTGACGTGTTTCGCCGCATGCCACAGCTGCTACTGCTGGGTATGGCCCTTCAGTACACGGTCATGCCGGCGCTGGGCTGGCTGTTCTCTAGGTGCGGTGTCGAGATGAGGGGAGAGTGGAGGGCGGTGATGGAGGGAGGGCGGGTGTTGAAAGGAAAGGGGGAGGGGAGAACCGAGGCCCTCACTCCTTCGGACGCCTTTCCCAGCGCCGTGTGTGTTTCATCACAACCGCTTGCGCATCCTCCCACTCCCCGATCCTGTGTATGCTTGACCACTGAACGGGAATGATAATGGTGTTGGTCTAATCGTCTAATCGATTGCCTGGCTTTTCGCCTACTGTATAGCATGCATTATGGATTTTGTACTGCAGGCACGCGGGGCTGCCAGCATCGCTGGCGGTGGGTATTGCGGTGCTGTCGGCATGTCCGGGAGGTACGGCATCCAACATCGTGGCTTTCCTGGCGCGAGGAGAGATGGCGGTGAGTGAGAGCGCGCGGTGAAATTACATCGTGCTGGCTGTCCTGCAGGGCTTGAGGGGGAAGTGGAGTGCGTCTGTATGTACACAATGATGTCCATGTGTAGGGGTTTTTCCTGCGGCTGATTTCACTTTTTTAACGCATTTATCAACTTTTCCCCCCTTGTTCACCCCCTTTCCCTTCCCCGCCATCGCCGTAGCTGTCCATCCTCATGACGGCCGCCTCCACCCTGGCCGCTGTGGTGGCTACACCCACCATCACGGCGGCGCTGGCCGGGACCCTGGTGCCCGTGGATGCCAGGGGGCTGTTCCTGTCAACCGTGCAGGTAGGGGGGGAGGTAGGCTGCGGAATGGGGGGAGGTAGTGCGCGATGGAGGGCGGAGGGGCACTCGGTTCCTTTATTACTCCCTCCCGCAGCGCCCCCCTTCGCCTCGTTCAGCTCCCAACATTAATTACCGCTCCTGCTACCCCTGCTACCCCTGCTACCCCTGCTACCCCTGCTACCCCTGCTACCCCTGCTACCCCTGCTGCTTCTGCTTCTTCTGCTGCTTCTGCTCCCGGGCACTTAAGTGCACGTGGGCCCTGTTAGTGCTTCTGGACGCCCCTGTCCCCTTCCACCCACTCTTCCCGCCATCCCTTCCCGTTCTCCCCCCCACCCCCGCACCCCGGCCTTTCTCAGGTGGTCCTGCTCCCCGTGCTGTCCGGCTGCCTGGCCAACCAGTACTTCCCCTCCGCCGTGTCCCGCATCTCCCGCTACACCCCGGCTGTAGCCACCCTGCTGGTGGCGGTCATAGTGGGCACCACTCTGGCTGGCAGTGCGAGGGCAGTGGTGGCCAGTGGACCCGCGCTGGTTGGGGCGGTGGCGGGGCTGCATGCATCGGGATTCCTTCTAGGGTAAGAGGGAGGAGGTGGGGGCGGCCGGCGGGTGGGGACAGACAGCAGACGGCTGAGCTCAGCTCAACTCGGTGTTTGGCTCTGGTGTTGGATCAGTAGAATCCCCAGCTGCTGCCTTCACTCGTCGTGTCGTTTTTTTGTGTGTAAATATGCGCGCGCTGTGCTGTGTTGCATGCAGGTACGTCATTTCCAAGGCGCTCGGCCTGTCGGACAAGATCTGCCGTACAATGTCTATCGAGGTGCGGGTTGGGGGGGAGGGGATGGGGGGAAGTATGGACATACATGCTGCTCCGGAACAGCCAGGCGGAGAGCTCCTTCACCACCCACCCTGGAGCGGTGGTGCTGGTGCTGGTGCTGGTGGTGGTGGTGGTGGTGATCTAGTTGGTGATCTGACGGTGATGTGGAGGCCCCTGGCCGCTCCACAGGGGGCAGTGAACACAGCTGCTGGGGCGTACACTCCCCCTACACTCCTATAGGTGATAGGATGAGGTTCTCACCAGGCAGAAACGTCGTCCGATGTGAAGAGATGTGAACACATGGCTACATTTGTTGGGACTTTTAATTTGTATTCCAATGACTAACATGATGGCCTTACCAACTATCGAAGTACAGCTTCTTGGCGTCGTTTGGCGAAGTGATGAGACCTAAAGATTAACGGGCGTATGCATAAGCTCACTCGCCCAACCCAGCGCCCTCTTCACTGTCCGCCTCGGGACCCTCCCTCGCCCGCTCGCTCCCCAGGTGGGTATGCAGAACAGCACGCTGGGTGCCGTACTGGCGGCGCTGCACTTCGCCGACCCCCTCACTGCAGCTCCGTGCGCCGTCAGCGCCTGCACGCACAGCGTCATGGGGTCCGCGCTGGCGGCGTACTGGCAGCGGACAGCGCCTAGGGAGGAGCAGGAGGGGCGGGGGGAGGTGGGAGCAGTGTAGACAAGGGGCGGCGTACTGGCAGCGGAGGTGCAGCTGAAGGCGGAGGGCGGGGTTGAAAGCCGAAAAGAGTGGAAAGCGGTAGTATTTAGGATGAGCGGAAATATGGACGCGGAGATGGACGCAGAGAGCAGCTGCGGAAGGGCCGGGAGAGGAGCAGAGGGGAAAGGAGCTGTGCTGGTAGCGCGGGAGGTGATTAGAAGGGAGAGAGGTAGGTAGGAGGTCTCGAAGATTTGCATGTCTTCATCGTTGGCGTTGTCCGAGTGATTCGTACAGCGAAGCAGTAGATACGTCAAAATGGCTTGCAGCTGCTGCTCCTGCTGCTGCCGCAGCGGTGGCGGTGGCGGCGGCCGCAACCAAGCCTGGGCCTGGTGGCCTATTGATGAGTGATGTAGTGGCAGTGGCGATTCCGCGTCAGGGGGAGAAGCATGGGCTCCTCTAGTAAAGGAGGCGGGGGGAGGAGGGGGAGGCGGCCAGCTGGCGCGGTGCGGTATACACACACACACACACACACACACACACACATGATGCCAAGGGGGCCCGTAGCGGGCAAGACGGCTCTTGACGGCAGCATGACGGGGCAGGTCATGTTGCCCGCTGGTAGTTTGTGACGTGATGATGTTCGACCGACCGACCGACAGACAGACAGATAGGCGGACAGACAGACGGACGGACTTGAATTCGGCGGGGAGCTCCAAGCTCTTGGGGGGGTTGTCCAGCTGCCCGAGCCCCCCACCCACATAGCGATTTTGATACAAGTAATTTTGCTTAACTTTGTTGCGGAGTGACTGTTCTATTCTCACACAGGTACCAGCAGTGTCCCAATAGGCAATGGCAAAGGCGGAGGTGAAGTGAGATGTGAGGACACGAGTTTCATTAATATGATTATGATGAACCGGTTCGTGTATCAAGAACACGGGGAGTTAGCATCATGTGCATGATGGCGGTAGTATCAGGGGTACCAGGATGGGTGTGTGTATGTATGTGTGTGTGTGTGAGAGAGAGAGAGAGCTGGAGAGAGAGAGGTCGGGATGTGTAAGGTGTGTTCGTGTCGCACGGCGATTTCAGGCCGTTTAGGCCGTTTGGTGCTGTTGCTGGAGGAGCACTGTGGTCGGGATAAGGACGGTGTTTTCCTACAAATGTTCCTTAATGGATTCGCTATGCGCCCTGAGCTCCTGAAAATGGGCGAGGCCAGAGGCAGACGTGCAGGATGTCAGGTTCTGGGATGGATACGGGGGAAGGAAAAAAGGCTGAAAGAGGGCTTAGCATCAAATGTGAACGCAGCTTGCGACTGGGCTGTTGCGGCGAATTCCTTTGTAATGGACGGACGCTTACTAAAGCATGACACTTGGCACTATCTCTGCTTTGTTATAAAGTTAAAGTTGTTCAACAGTCATATGGCTGTACGACGATTGAAGGAGCTAACTGCAGCTGGGCCGGGAAGCAGACAGGAACAGGTTGCCGAATATCTTATTCCCTGAAACCACTTTACCTTTAAGAGCTATCTAAACGAGTTCTGGCTTTTCAAATTCTAGCCCTCGGCACACGACAACTGTTGCTCCAGGACCGGCCACAAGTATACTCAATATTTTTTTGCTCAGTTTTCAACAAAAAAGATGTTTGGAGGAAGATTCAATCAGGCGAAATGGTACGCGACCTCGGGCGTGGACCACGGAACCATGGGCACGGGGGCTGATAAAAATCGTCTGATGTTGCAGTGAGACAGCAAGTAGGCTTTGTGTTGGAAGGATCAAGCTCATCCGGAATAAGAAGACTGTGCAGGTGGGTGGTTACCCTAGGTAGGTCGCAATTCCTACCCAGCTCTGGTCCTTGCGCTGCTTTGAACTTTTTCTGCACCAGCTTTCCTGATAATTGTAGTCATGTCAAGAATACCCTATAGGCATGTAGGTATGTTGGAAAATTCTACTTACTCCCGATAGGTTCTCCCAACTCGCCCGCGCAGTTGAAACAGTCACAGAAGGACATCGCGGAGCTTCTTAAGAACGGAAAACAAGAATACGCGAGGATTAGGGTGGAAGGAGTCATCCGGGAGAAGCTTTTGATGCAGGCGGGTTTGCCACGGGCGGAGCACGGGCGCGTGACGAAGGCACTAATAGCGCGGGCGATGCGCTGCGCCACCACCTCTCCGCTGCCTCCCCCGAACTTCTGCCCTCTGGAAGTCTCCGGTTAAACTCTTGGAGTAAGGGATCTTAAGTAATCGACACAATACTGTGTAATAGAATAGGCTGATGCAGTCGCACATCTTGCCCACGTGTTGCAGCACGCCCGGATTGTAACGACCCCTAATTGTACGGCAGGTCCAGGAAACCACCCGATGAGTTTGTCCAGGATCCGTTCAACCCCAAACGCCGCTGTGCAGGCGTACGAGATTCTTGAGCTGTACTTGGAGCTACTGACGGTTCGAACGCAGCTGCTCGCCAAGACCAAAGTGAGGCTGGCCCTTAACCCCGTTGCCCGCGCAACGGCCGGTTTGGGTAAAATCTCTGCTCCCTCTTCCTCCTCTCCTGCTTTTGCACATGACCCACACCTGGCTTATGGGTGTACAGATGATTGCCTGGATTTCTGTTTCTTCATATCCTGTCCCTGACGCCCCTTCTGAAAGATCTTTTGCCGACCCAAATCAATTGGGCCCAATTAAATCAATCCCTCCACCTCTGCCTTCTCCTGTGGTGGGGAACGTGCGGCTGCTTGTGGGCGCTGTTGCTACTGCTCCTACTGCTATTAATGCTGCTGCTATTGCTGCTGCTGCCACTCAGGAGCTGCCGCGCGACATGATGGAGGCTGTGAGCAGCATCATCTACGCAGCTCAGGTACGGTCATGTATGCTGCAATGCAGTACGAAATGCAGTACGGTACTGCATTATGCGGTACGGCATGATGGGATTCTTATGGGGACGATGTCGACCCATTTTGGTGGCAGGAAGCCCAACCAGCCATTACCCTCCCACGCCACAACCCTAATCTTCTTGCACATGAACCCCTCCCCACCCACCACTGTCCATCACCACCCACCGCTCTCCATCCCCACCCCAGCCCACCCCAGCCCACCCACCCACGCCCCACTCCCCCCCTGGAGAGCAGCGCATCAGCGACCTGCCTGAGCTCGCCACGTTGCGGGACCTCTTCGTTGGCAAGTACGGCAAGGAGTACGCGGCGGAGGCGGCATCGGACGCCGCCGCTTCTAAATGGCAGGTGCGTAGCGCCCGCCACTGGCACTTTCCACCGATACTTGCCCTGCTACGGTTGCTGCATTTGTTCCCCCCCTTGATGGTGTACTGCAATATCCTTCCAGTAGTGCTGTTATTGTTCGTGGCCGCATAAGTGCAATTTGGAAAAGGGGCGACAGGGGGGGTTCCCTTCCGGGTTCCTTCCGGCTCTTGAGTACTTAGGGTTTGTCGGCAGGCATGCTGCCGTACGGGTGGCGGGTTTCACCTCCACGGTGACTGAGCCGCATCCGAATCGCTCGGATAGACGGAGGTGCAGGGGCGGCAGAGGGGATTGGGGAGGGAGGGGGAAATATGGAAATATGGAAGGAAAGGAATAGAGCTAGGGTGAGACTGACAGACTGACAGACAAACACACAGCAGACAGTCGAAGACCTTTCACGCTTTATTGGTATACGGCGCTGCCGGCCTGCGTGGGTCCCTTACTGTCCTCCCTCCCTCCGTCCCTCCCTCCTTGGCATCAGCTTCTCTCTCGTTCGTGGCTCGCTTAACCTCCCTCCCGCCTGCCTTGCCGCATACACGCGCTCGTCGCCACCTTCATCTCCATCCTTGTCGTCGTGCTGTTGGTCATGGCCATCCACCCATCCCCTCTTGCCTGTACGGCAGGTGAACGCCAACCTCATTCGGTGCCTTCTGGTGGAGCCCCCTCAGCCCGAAGAGAAGCTGGTGAGGGGACGGGGGGAAGGGAGGAGGGCGAGGGAGGAGGGGAAGGGAGGGGGGGAGGGGACGGGGGGAAGGGAGGAGGGGGAGGGAACAATACCAGGTAGGACTTCAGAAACAAATACATTACTGGTACCTGTAGCTGTTGCTGTAGCTGTGGCATATTGTCAAGGTGCCGTTTTTCTCCAGTCGCTCCATGCACACAAACATGCCGTACGGGCGTCGTACACGGATCGCAGGAGATGCTATCCGAGATCGCTCAGGAGCACGGCGTCGAGTGGGATCTCTCGGCCGCGGCGCGGGAAATGGGTGTGGGCCTGGGGGTCGCGGCAGGGGGGGCCGGTGGTGGCCTGGGGTTACCGCACGGCGGTAGTACCATCGGCGAGCCTGCACCGGCAAAGGCAAAGGCAGCGGCGGCGGCGATGGCGGCAGTCGGAGCACCTGGGCCGCCGTACCCTGTCATCTTTCCAGAACAGTCGCCGCCTGCCACGGGGGGGGTGTCTGGATTGAACCTCGGCGTGCAGGTGGGTGCGTATGCCGTAGGTCGTACATCGTACACAGCGGTGCGCAGGAACGGTGAAGAAGTGTTTTTCAGTTGCGCTCTTGGTTGGTCGCCGTTCCTTTTGGACTTTGGGTTTGTTGGGTGGTATTGGTTTTGTCCTTGGTAAAATCGTTAAAACAGCGAATTGGACGGTATAGCTTGGATTGGTTGGTTGGTAAAAAGAGACTGGGCAAAGTGCACACCGTCAAAGTCGCCTCCTAACCCCGTTTGTGTGTCCACCTCTCTGTCCCCTGGGCCCCTCCTCCCCTTTCCTCCGTCCCCGCACACGCGCGCACGCACACACACACACACACACCTTGCGCAGTACACTAGCGCGCAGCAGGCCGCCGCCGCGGCGGCACAGGCAGCGGCGCAAGCCAGCGCGGCGGCGCAATTCGCAGCGCAGATGGCGGCTGCGGCACAGGAGCGGCAAAGACGCCTACAGGGCGCTGCCTATGCCGCCGCCCTCGCCGGTAACTCCAACGGTAACGGTAACTGCCCATCGGTTGCTGAGCAGGTGGGTAACCAGCGACCTACCTCGCACCCGCTTGCACCAGCTCACCTCCGGGGTTCTCCATTTTCCCCCTCCCTTGAATTTAATATACGTCCCACATAACCTCCGATTGCGACACGCATCATCAAAGGCAGCAACCATCCCTAAGTCACACGTCTTTTTATAACGTCTTTTTATAACGTCTTTTTAGGAGACCCTGCCAACCTCGTCCCAACTATATCTGCTTACCGATCCGCGGCGTTGAGACATCCTTTCACTCACGTCACCCACGTCACGTCTCTGCGACTTCGGACGGCAGGCCTGGCAGGCCCCCCACCCAGCTACGATCCCCGAGGTACCGCCAAGCGATGGAGCCGTGTACGGGTTGCCGGCACCGCGGGCCCCGGTGCTGGCGCAGTCCACGCCATCGCCGCCACAGGTGCCGTCGCCGCCGCATGCTGACGCGCTGATGCCAGAGGAGGACGAGGCGGCGATTGCGGCGCCGGCGGCTCCACCACCCGCTAGCAGCGGCGGCGGTGCGTCGTCCACCGTTAGCTCGGCGGGTGGTTATCTTGTCCGGAGCAATTCGGAAATCCAGCGAGTAAGTCAGTGAGCCCTCCGCATGCGCGTTTGTTTGCTTGTATATCTGTTCGTCTGTTCGTCGTTCGTTTGTCTGCCCGCAAGTTTTCTTGTCTCTTTGTTCGCGGCGGCCATATGACGGACTGACTGTTGTGGCCGAGTAATGGCTTTAAATGGCCTAATATAGTGGTCAACGCGTGTTTTTAGTTTTAAGGGAGGGGTTCGATTTTCCAGCCTGCGTCAGGCTGGTAACCAACTCCTTAACCGTGAGGCGCTGGAGGGCCATCCAACCCCACGTCTGTTTGGCAGGAGAGGGTGACTTTCTGCGGAATTCTGGCCCGAGGAAGGAATGAATTTGTGCGGCCGAAAACGCAAAACGCAAACCCATTCCTTTTTCTCAGGGCTGAAAACCCGATAGGGTTTAATCTTCTTCAAGGAATATACTGGTGATAGAGCAAGGAAATAGACAAGAAAAGGGTATCGTGGGATTACGTGTGTGACGTCACGTTCCGTTACGTGCATACAGCACTAACCGTAGATAGTGCCCTGGGAAAGCCCGCACAGTCCTCTACTGTCTAGAAGGGCTTGGTGGTCCAATTGGCGTCACGGCGCCCGCTGGCTGCACCCACTGGACTATTCCTGTTTCCTGCCCGCGGCGACAGGCCTATGACGCGGCGAATGGCCCGCCATCCAAGGGTGGGACTGTTGCGACGGCACCGCCGTCGCCGCCGCCGTCTGTTGTTGCACCGGTATTAATGCCGCCGCCGCCGCCGTCAGAGAAGCAGCTGTCGCCCTCCGCACCGCCGCCACAGCCGCCGCCCAAGGTGCGACGGAGAGGTGTTGCTGCGGTTCTCCTCCGCACACTACCTCGTGGAGCAATCTCTGCTCAATGTTGTGGAGCATGTCCATGTGTTCTCCGTACCCCTCCTTAGGAGCGTGTCCATGTTTGTCCATATTTCTCGTAACGCACGCTTTGCGGTGCGGTCCGAGGCCGCCTACAGAAACGAGATCCGACGGCGTCTTGCATTGCGATGATACACGCATGCCACATATTTTAGTGTGTGCTGCTTCTCTGCGCTCGGATGCGCATGGATTGCATCCAAGCACGGGGAAGATGCATTCTACACAGAATTGCATTCTTTCTTGTGAGTTTTACCCATTTGTTTAACCTTGTATTTATTATTTGTTTGTTTTCGGGTTGCAGGAGGAAGACGAATACGAAGAGCTGACTCGTCGACTTGAGGCGCTCAAGAAGAGATGAAGTACTTTGGAGCGGAGGGGGGTGGGGAGGTTAGGGACTGTTTTGGAAGGCATAGGAGAGCGTGTCGCTGTATGAGATTGTTGTTGTTATCGGAGGGTTTGGGGTCAGAAAGGCCCACACAGACCGGCATGGGGCTTGGGGGCAAGATCGGGATCCGAAGGGATGGACCGAGTTGCCCAGGGTTTAAGGAGTTTCATGTGTTGCTGTGGCTGCGGTTAGGTGCACGCCCCCAGGCTGCTGGGGGAGTTTGGTTGTATGTCGGTGCGCTTTGCCGGGGCTCTGTGCAATCCTCTCGGGATGCAGGCAGCCGGACGTCACAACCTGAACAACGTAATGGGTTTTAAGGACTGCGCCGCGAGAAGGAAGGATGTGCGCTGATGTGTGTGGGATGGCGCACGAGGCACTCCACCGAAGGAAAAGCAGTCCGCCTGTGAAGTGGCGGCAACCGTAACGCGATACGAGTGGTGCGGAACGCAGCGGAACGTATTGAGACTCGAAGGTTTGGAAAAAGTTTTGTGGATGGCGGTCGCAGAGCAATGCGGAGATGCTTTTGTCTTGCACGCAGGATTTACGCTGGCAGCAGCATAGCGGTCGCTGTGTATGGCACAGTATCGTTGAGTAGAGGATTTGCGAGTAGAGATGCGAGCCGTCGGAATTTTGGATGGTCGATAATCGTTTATCCACTTTGCATGTAGGCGAATGCTTTTTAGGAAGAATGGGATGGGGATCCCAGTTATTTCAGCATGTGCTGTGAAGACCATTATCCACTCGCATGGCCGGTAGTGTAGTGGCCGCGGAAGGAAAGGCTCATATCACCGTAAGGAAAAATGACGAGGACACGATGTGGGGTTTGCCTAGTGTGATTGGCTGTGTACGGTTCATGGTTGAGTTTATTGGTTCGGGGCTCACTTGGAAGTTGGTAACGGGAGCGCATTGAGTTTGTATAATTACGTTGTCCAGGTTGCCGTATATAAGTATCTTCAAATCTATTATAAGTATTATAAACTACAATGTTTCCTTTTGAAAGACAGCGGAAATAGATTTACAGAATTTTTATACAGTACCACATCGTGTATGGCATGCGTGGTACAGTCATGTGCTCCTACCTACTTTCCCTATCATCCGATCTCTTCCCAATAACTTCCTATTAATATTCCTGTATCCGAGAGCTCGATACACAGTAGTCGATACCGCGTAATATGACGTCGTTAGCTCATTGATCGCTAATGAAGTCAGTAACTTTTGTTTCGGGACAAGATGACCGACCCCCCGGCCACAAAGCAACGCTGCCTGCACTCATCCTGCACACGTCCCTCGTCTGCACCAATCAGGAAATAATGTGGGAAATGTGAAAAGAGCGCACTCCCCATCATTAGTAAATTTATAGACGATTTGGATCCTGCAATAATGTTCAGGACGCACCATATCCACAGTAAGCAAAACACTCGAGAAAAATGCGAGATGGAAAAATGACAGTAGCAAAAACATGGCAACAATAACGCGATTGAAAATTGAAACAGAAGGGTTGAAGGCACACATCCTATTTTTCGAATTTGGGTTCCAGCGTATAATGTGTTGAAGGGCCCGCCTGGATACAGCCGCTCACGATGCCTGCGAGTAGCGGCCACAGACACACAAGACCAAGGAGGGAAACGCATCAGCCGCAACAAGAACTGAACGGCTAATTAGGTGTCACATACATTACGGCATGAAAGGTCCCAACTACTGCTAGACCAAAACCATGACACAAACGAAGATGTGCAAGTGTTTTCCGGTGACAAGAGTATTCATGACTGGTCTGGAAGTTGTACACACGTAGACAAACCGCTATATGTGGACAAAACGCTGAGTGAAGAGACCTGGATGGGAAATCAGCTCGCCTCCATCAAAACAGAACAGCGGACATAGCGGGCATGGCGAACCCGTGACGGCAAACGAGACATTACCTGCAGCAGCTACGGATCTCCGGCAATCGAACGGACATTGCACAAGGTCAGCTGCCACAGGAGCTCATGTCTAAGCCATCCGTCGTGAAAATGAACATGACCGGGCCCCTCCCCACCGTCCGCGCATACCAGTCAACAGCACACAATAATTTCTGTTTCTGCAAACGCCTGACGACAACGCGCTGAGTTAGCATAGGCCGGAAACACAGGCAAGGCCTTGTACAAGTCAGGACATCACACAACCTCCCCGCTCAGCATAATCATTCCATCCTTTCCGCAAACAGCACCAGACAATAACGCGACGAATGTTGGAAAAGCAGTACCACTTAAACTTGCTTGTAGAATATGCGTCGTCCTGTCCTTCTGTCTTTGTGAGCGTCACGATGTGGAACGAGCTAGCTTCTATTCATGGTAACACATGCATGCTGCAACAGGAAACAAGATGTACGAATGGTGAAAAGGGCCGCTGCCATTCTCCGCAGGAAAGCCTTTTCCGTCGGCAAATCACAAAAGCACAGGAACATGTATGGAAAACGTATGCACCGTCACTCCTTTGCGACGTCATGCATAGACAAACAAACTTACGTACATACGCACCTTGACGGGTCATCATCATCATGATCAAGCACACGGCATACAACCTGATATGCATCTCGCCAACAGCATCATCACCACCACCACCACCATCATTCAACAGCGAGAAAGACGCAGCAGAAAATCAACACCAGCAAAATACAGCAACCATGTGTTATTTTCTTTTCCTTGGTAGCTGCCCCCTCTCTATGCCCGCGCGGGAAGAAACAAACCAGTGCGGTCATCATTTTTGTCGTTTATGGGCTTATATGCAATATCCATTGCCCACGACCCGCCTTCTACGGGCTCCGATAACATCCGAGGCACTTCGCATTCAACTGTGCCACACTGCGCAGAAAATACTTGCATGTTGCACAGGCCCTCCTCTCCCTCCCTCCTCTCTCTCTTCCTCGCTCCATATATCAACTATCTTTGCAATTCAGTTGCACCGCAACCCTCCGTCGCGGACCGCAACCGATTTCGCCGCCGTCTCGCGCTCAGGGCCACAGCTCCAGCCGTCCGGCATCAGCAGTATAGATCAGCGGACAAGACACGAATGCGCGCGCATGGCCCCCAACGCAAGCACCGGGTGCATTCAATACACATAAATGTTTTTTAGCGGCCTGCGTCCTCACACCTGCTACAGATTTGCCAACCCGGCGCAAAGCCCAGCTTTAGCAAAGGCGCAACCGGAAAATATATTCTGTTTCCTTAGTATTCATACCTGACAGCCAGTATTGTTAATGCCGGCAGGGGAACAGCACCCAATCGCCGTGCCCATAAGGAGTGCACCTGTATGGAAATTTGCCAACAAGTTAATGCAGCGAAAAACCCACACAGCATGCGTTCATCAACCACGCGCAACATAAAACAGGGGTTCTAGACATCATCATGACAGCGAAATGAACGGCGTCGGCGGATGTATGTCAGCGAAGGCACGGTGACAGCGTGCCCAGTCTATATGGAGGGAAACAGCAAAGAAAAGCAAACATTGGATGACATTGGGACGCGACGGCAATCCCAAAAGGCACTTGCTAAAATGCTAAAAAAAGCTATTTACCCGAAGTACCTGCCTCAACACGGACACCAGTACCGCCAGCGGTTGTGACAGCGAGGAGGAGGGTGAGAATGGCGGGAGGGAAAGTGGTGCATGTGTCCTCCTGCTGACCCCTTTTTATCAAATCCGCCCATCAGCTTGCTACCGTCGGGCACTATACACGTATCAATTACGCCGCTGCTACTTCCTTCCGCGACAACGCCGTATATCCCAGCTGTGCTCTAAAACCCACCAACTTTCTCTCCATAAATCAGTCAGGCTGCCGTCATACAACTTCCAGCGTCCGACAGGTAAAACACAAAGGCAGAAAATCGGGAACCCCCAAGGCCCGCGCCTTGCTCTTAAGTTGCCAGGTCTCCGCGCCTGCTACGTTTGGTTTTATGTATCTATTGTGGTTAATTGCCGCGCGCCCATGCTTCAAAGGACAACAGCCAATCACACCCGGCCGCGGTCCTTTCAACCTCATGAGATATCTTTTGTGAAAGATAGTAACACAGCGAACCCCATGACTTCATCGCTAGACGCTCTATCAAACAAAAATCCTTTGTCGCGTCTTCAAACCTCGAAGTACATCACTGCTGCAGCGTAACCCAGATGCGCACTGACATACATGCGCACATACTCGCACTGTACACGTATCCAAATCCTCCTCAGCGCACACTACACGACTACATAATCCCCAAAATGCAGCAGGAACTGCAGCCGCTGCGCGCCGGTAGCAGCAAAACTGAATACGCAGAAGCTCCTTTGCCGCCACAGTACAATAGTACTTGTAAGATACTTGAGGATGTCATCTAACCACAGGCAACCAGCCACACGCGTACCACAACCCTGGGGAAAAGGATTCGTTTGTAGGCACGTCGTAATGCTCCACCGCGTCACACCACCAACATAACAACTGAAAAACATGACGTATCCCAGGGAGTTCTAGAACCCACAAAGCGCCTGAGCTCGGCAGCCCGTCAAATATGATCAGCAATACCAAAGCAGCAGCAGCAGCAGCAGCAGCAGCACCAGCGACAACATTAGCTGCCGCAACCACAACCGCAACATCTCCAGCGCATTGCAAATGTCGCGAATGCCTTGCGCTTGATGAGGCCGCTGTTACTGCGGATCGTAGGCTCCCCTGGATGGCTTGACGCTGGAAGAAGCTGTAACGCGGAGAGGAGTCCAAGAGCGTAGCCCTGACGTCAAGCCCGTCAAGGCTCCGGAGTGACAAACGCAGTGACTCCCGAGCCACGAATGCCCCTCAGCCCACAGACATCCATACAAACATGCCTCCCCACATTGCGCGCGCTCTCCACGACCGGGAAGCAGCAAACGGAGCAGATGCACACTGACAGAATGGATATGGATGACAAATAGCACAGATACCGCACTGCAAATCGCTACGTACCACCTACATGCAACTCTCAACAACTTTCAAAAGCGTAATTAACAATGATCATTAGCAGCGTTCGACAACAGAACAACAAACACCCGACGTTTTTGAGGAGGGAGGTGAGAGAACGGGAGGGAAGGCTGCAGAGGGATCGAGCCATCGGAGCTTCGCACAGCCAGCCAGCCGTCCGCCCGGCCGCTGCACGCAGCCCAGCCCTTGAATGAAGCGAAACATCTCTTCCTGGAGAAGTATTCCACCACGGTATCACCGACGTGCGCGACCCGAAGCGCCGCGCAGCGCCTGACCGTCCTGAATCTTCTTAAAACGTACTCCACAGGCGTTACAAAGGGTGCGAGGACCCTTGGGGCCGCGGCGCCACTGCAGGAGCGCCATCACAAGCACACGCGGAGATGCAACACATGGGTAAGTGTTAGGGCAGCTGAAGAAAAGAGAGACGCCGGTAGCGAAAACAGCGGACAGATCAATCGGTCAAGCCCAACAGGTCATATGATAGAATGGAAGATGCGGTCGGCGACAAGAAGATTCGATACCACCAGGTTGGAAGCAGCGCAGCAAAACCGCATCTATTAGCTGGACATCAGCAAAGCCAGCAGCTATGGCAGCTGAAGCAATCTCAACCTCGACCAACCTGCGGGGTCTTGTCGGTGCCACAGTCCACACATACCGAACCAGAGACCAGGCGCCCACCTGTCCGACCCTGAGAAGGACCTGTGGCAGCGAAGGAAGGCAAATGCAGCGTAGTATCACATTCAAAAGGGGGAAAGACGAAACACGGGCGAGTGAAGCAGGTACCAAAAATAGACGGATAGTCCAGGAGAAAGCAAATGCTGCATCAGGACTATATACTGACCAGTGGTTACTCGAGTAGTACACAAAACGAAGTCTCACCGAGGATGCAAATCACGACAATCTGCACATACATTTATGTGACGATACGGCATGACGGCCGCAGTACACGCCCCTCGAGTGCTGTATTGCTAACACTCCTTCAACCAGGAAGCTGAACACGGTCCCGGTGCAGACAACAAAGAACGAAGTATAACGAAAATCCACATCGACCGAGGGGAAAAACTACCCAGACCCGGATTAGACCCGAGCCCGAGGTGAGGGGCTTAACAACACAAATCCATAAGTGCTCAATTCAGCCGGATGCCAGGAACAACCACTATCGTAAAAATATGGACCTCAAGAACGGCTGGGCGCCATACACATTATACGCGCCCGTGTGATGCACCGACACGCACTCGGCACGCGCGTCCCACCCAGACTAGTAGCCGCACGCCATAAACGGCCGCACGGCTGTGCGCACGCCCCGCAGCCGTCATCAAGCATCGTTCCTAAAGGCGTACCTGTCCGAGAGCGCTTTGTGCCGCCAGTGGCACGCACGACAAATTCCTCATCATCCACTTCCTCCGCCGCCGCCTCAGAATACTGCTCCTCTTCCATTTCCCCATCCACCTCCTCGTCTGTCGTCTGCTCCTCAATCACGGTCCTAAGCACCGCAGCGGCAGTACGTCGCGCACGCTTGCAAGGCGGCGGCTCGAGCTGAATCGAGCCCGCTGCAGCGGCGGAGACGGATGGACGGCCCCGACCCAGACCTCGAGGCCGCCGGCTTCCCTCCGCCGGGAGCGCCTCAACGACGCAGCCCCGCGGCCGTCCTTCTAGATCCCCCCCAACAGTCCGCGCGCTGGTGCTAGTGGTGCCAAGTACCCCGTGGCCTGGCGGCAGCGAGGAAGGCTCGGGAGACGGAGGTGGAGTGCAATCAACTGCGGCCGCCGCTGGAAGGAGCGAGACTGTCCACGTCCGCTGGGAGCCCTGCATTGACAGCTCCAGCTGCGCACCTCCCTCAGCCTCAAGGGCCTCGGAGGCCTCATCCTCAACCATGGCGGTCACGGCGGAGTGCGATTGAGCGAGCCAGGAGGTTATCGCGGCCGCCGCTGTCGTCATCGCCATCGCCGGCGCTAACATGGGATAGCACCCCGACGACTCGCGCTTTACGGGAAGGACGGTCGCCGCCACGTCTGCCGTGGCGCTGTTGGTGGCGCCGTCCTCGTCGGCTGCGGCAGCTGCACTGATGTCAGCTCCGCCGTCTTCGTCCTCCGTATCTTCGGTCATCCCCCGACTAGCGAATTCACCTGGTCGGCCGACGCTCGACTGAGCAACGCTGGACTGCGCAGCTGCGGTCATGACCGTCAAGGGCAGAGAAATTGCGTCCGCCTCGATCTGGGTCGGAACCGAAGTGCTCGCGCGATCCGGTAAGGCCATAGCATCGGCCTCGGATAGTCCTGTAGACTCTGAAGGGGGAGCCGGTGCCGCGGGCACGTCGTTTGCTAGCAAAACATCTGACAGCAGGCGAGACTTGTCACAGCCGCAGCTGTTTTGCGGAAAACATTCCTCATTACATGCTCTGACCCCGTCGCCAATCGGCCGCGGCTTTGCGTCCTTGGTGCCAATGACGTTGGATTGATGGGCGGGAAGCCCGAATGGTGATGGCAAGAAGTAGCCTTTCAATGCTCGTTGGACTGACGCTTGATAGTACTTGTCAAAACGCTGGGCGACCTTTGTCGACGTGGCCTCCGCAGGCGCTATTGGCCAAATCCCGCGCTCGTCGTCGCCGTCGTAACACGGCAAGAGATACTTCGCTTTGTCAGCTTGAAAGCGTAATATGAGCGTCTCTATAGAAGTCCCCTTGCATCTTGAGGACTCTGCACCGCGGCTCGAGTCGTTCGCGTGCACGTCACCCAGCGCTTGGCAACTCCGAGGGGGAAAACATCCACCGACGACCTCCTAAACGCACGTAAAGGAATGTGTATAGTGTTTATCATACTCAATTCAATTTGACATCGCTAAGGATGGCACGGCCGAACTAAGCCCGAACAGTACTAGCGGAAGCTGCACTCACCTCTCCAGCCATGTAGCAGTCATCCTCCATATCAGCATGGATGAATTTCTGTTCGTAGAGCTGCACCGAGGAAGGACAGGAAGGGTACGCTTTGCGTAGGTGAGAAGGTTAGAGTTCCGCGCTCAAACGCGTTCGCAGGCGAAACACTTACAGGCAGCGGCCAGCTTTCAGCACGATATAGCCACTCCATTTTGTATGTGATGTAAAAATATACCCAGTTCCACGATAAAGTGGCGCAGCGGGTAACAAAAGCCGCCTGGCCTGGAAACTCTTCGCAAGAACGCTGTGCGTGCTGTGCTCTGGGCAAGTTGCTGTATCCGCGTTACAGCTATTTTTCTCAAAGTTGAAAAGCCCTTACTGCAGAAATGGAAAAAAAATTGCGCAGCAACATCTTTTGGGACGACCTTACGAGAGGGCCAAGGGCATGCCGTACGTCTTTCGGTTGGGCATCGCTCTGCCTGCTAGAGGACACATTAACATGGTGTTAGACATGAATCCAATTCAGTGTGGACTAGTGGTATGAGAAGTTATTTATAGTCTTGCTGGACTTTGGGCCCAGAAAAGCGCGGGCTTGCTCTTTTTTAACACCTTGAAGTCTCAGGCTGAAGCAGTAAAAATCCTTAAGCCGACGGAACTCATTACTGGCCAGCAGGTTGAACCACAGCATGTGGTTTTGGCCATAGGTAGTCAAGAAGACACAAGACAGGTGTCTGTTCAAGTCCGGTCACATGGCGGATCGTCTGAAAGCAGCATTGTTAAGATGGATGAGAACGATGAAATCACATAACATGCAGAAACTTCGTCGCTTTTTATGAGTTTCATTCAAGGTTATACCCCCTTACAGTTGGTGAAGGCCCAGCAGGGCCTAGCCAGGCCCAGTAGCAAGGCCTAGCACCCATAGCTGGACCGCACTGTGATGAATATCAAAATAAAGCATCATAAGTTATATAATTAAAGCGTCGCATTAAGCGCCCAAGACGCTGGTTCTTTCCTAGTTTTGGTTCCTCTTCCTTAAAAGGCCTGTCTCGTTCTATAGAACAGTACTGGCCTTCAGTGGCAACCGTGATGCATGCTGCACGGCGGCAACAACCTCCAGAATCCAACAGTAAATGCGCGGGTGGCATATTCTGCGAGACAACCCCAGGCACGAAGACAGGCCCCCCTCACGATCGCTGTAATGAATTGGCCATGTGAGTCTTCTCCCCCCTTCTCACTCACACAGTCCCCCTCAAAAGCGCGACATCGCATGCCCGCGTCACACCACCACAACACAGCGCAGCGGATTTCGCCAACTGCAAGGCCCAACGTGCTCCTCTCCTCTTTCTCTCCTCCCAGCCATTATAGTAGAGCAAAGCACGCATGGAGCATGCTACCCTCGACACACCTCTCTTAGGTTCGATTTATTAAGTTCTGGAATACTTCCCATCTAGCCATATAAACCCTCCTGATGTGGTGTGCATGCGCTCATTCAAAACCACCTGTCGGTCCGTCTGCCCCCCGTCCAGGGCCTTCCCCGCCTCTGCCCCCTTCAGGTCTCGCTAACGATGCGAGCCACCTCTGTTGCGAAGTTATCGCCGCTCTTGGTCCCCAAGCCTTCCCCGCACTGCACCCGCAAAAAGGCGCTGACCTGCAGCTGAGGCCGGCCCACATCCTTTCGCAACCTGGAGCCACACAGTCCAGGGGGGACGGTCGTTAGTAGCCTGGGAGAGGAAGTAAACAATAGACAATTCCTCGGGCTCAGGTCAAGAAGAAAGCTAGCAAGATGGAACATAGGAAAAGGAAAAGGATGCCTGCCTGTCAGGTTTGCACGGTTCGCGGTCAGCTCAGATGCAACAGCAAGCTGCTGCCACGATCAGGACCTGACCACTAGGGCCCCATCCCCAACCCGTTCTACTCCGGTCGAAGCACAGCCTCACACACGCAGCCACGCATGAAGCGGGTACACCTTGCGGCCCTAGCGCTCCCTTCCCATCCATCCGGCGCCCACTCTCAACAAAGCACATCCTCACAATCCGACATTCGCCCAGGATACATACAACAATATATACATATCAACCTCCCAACGCTCCCACCTGGCCATCATCTTCTCCACCGTGATGCTGTCGTCCAGCACATAGGTCTGCTCAGCCAAACACATCTCGCTGAGCTTTTTGGACAACCGCCCCTGAACCACCTTGGAAAGAACCTGGAAGAAGGCCATGCAAGGATGGGAAACGTGTGGATGGCGTGCGAGGGGAGAAGCACAAGATGTCCAAGGACTCAAGAATCAGATAACCAGGGCCTAGTCGAGGAGCAACAAAGCGCGGCAGATGGGCTCTCGGGGGTGTCGGTGGGACACTCAGGGACACTAAGGCGCAAGGGACACCCTAGACAGACCCTGAAATCTGGCGAAATACGGTACCGTACGATATGCAGTCAGTCATACCTGCGGCGGTTTGCCCCGGAACGCCTCGTCCTGCTGCATCTGCTGCAGCAGCAGCTCTTGTTCCTGGGCTAGCACCTCGGCTGGAACAGACCCGCGGGTCAGGTACGCTGGCCGCATGCCCGCAACCTGCATGGCGAGCCCCTCCCCGGCAGCCTGGACAAGCGAGGCGGCAGAACTGCTACTGCTGCTGCTGTCCGAGGTGGAAGAAAGATCAACCTGCAGAAACACAAGAGAGCGGGGTTTCTTACTCATGTACCCTCCTTGCCAGTTCCCATTCGCGCATCAGATCATCACAGAAGTCCGACACCTCAGGGCAGCCCCACACACAATCAACCTTCAGGACCCCCTTGCTCCATACAACCCCTCACCCCACACATGCCCACCACACCAGAGAGCTCCCATCCGCAGAACGAAGCACCACCGCCGCCGCCAACTTGCCCAGTCCGGGAACTGACGACTGGTGAACGTATTGGTACACAAGGCCGTCTGTGAAACGATGCAGGGCCAAGGACAGGGGTATGGGTACAGGCACGGGTACGAGTACGGGACGGTTGCAGAGGACTGAAATGGGAGATTGCTGAATAGAAAAAACATCTTCCTCTCCTCTCCAGGTCATGACTCCACCTTCTCCCAACAACAACAAAGTCAACCTTACAAGGGCCATAACGTGATACGTCCCCTAGAGACAACATCTTGATTCGCGAGGATCCCTCCTGGCGACCACCCTTCCTGGAGCATTCCTCACCTCCACTGTCCAAGCGGTACGCCCTCCGAAGTCGTACATTCTCTCGTACTTGCGCCGCCACCTGGGTCACCGCCTCCGAAACAGTTGACCCGGAGGCAGTGCGCACGGAAAGAAGCTGCAGTAGGGTAATAGCAGTAGGGGTGAGATGACGCCGGGTGGGGAGAGCCACGCATCAGGAAGCCAGACCAGGCAAGGGGCGGTGCTCAAGATCGGCGCTTAAGATCCTCTGTCCTGCTGTGAACCGCTGCCCACCATTTTACCCGGCCGGCGCTTCATCTTCCACCCAACCGCCATCAGCCAAACCACCCACCCAAACCACCCACCTGTTGCAGGTCTATGCTGTGGTCTGGTCCAACCGCAGCGGCCCTCCCTAGACTGTGAGCTGCCGTCAGCACATCCCGCATTAAATCCTGGAAGAGGGCGTTACGCGCCACAAAGTCCGTCTCGCTGTTCAGCTCCACCATTACCACAGAGCCCGCGCCACCGCAGCGGTTGGTGGCAGCGGCGGTGGTGCTGGCAGCTGCGGCGGCAAAAGAGGCGCCTACAAGGCCTTCAGCGGCATGGCGCGAGGCCTTTTTGGCGGCGGCCGCCAGGCCCTTTCTGCGCAGCGCCTCGTAGGCCTTATCCACGTCCCAGCCATGCTCTAGGAGCATATTCTGCCGAGAGGCGGCGATGGAGCGGGGCGATAGGTTACCGTTGGATCGGCTTCATGGGGTCGCGTGGAAGGTGAATTAAGGTCAGGGTTGTGTGCTTGGCTTTGGGTGAGCCTGTCCCGTTCCAATTATCCTCGACTGGTCGACATGATCACTGCCGTGCGCGGGGTAGAACAACCCCATGGCTCTCATTCATGTGCAGGACGAACGTTCAACATGGCGCAAAATATATGTACTGACCCCGAAATTACTTGCGCTCTCCCGATACGCATATAGGAAGCAAAATATTTTTATTTTCATTAAAGAGTCTCTTGCCTTAACATCAGAGATTGGTGCGGCACTGCGCTCTCGCAGCTGCTTGATGATGGCTGCCGACTGTGCCGGAGGCGTCGCCGACGTGCTAAGACATCTCCATGCAACCATATTTGCGACTGATCTATTGCAGGATCCAAGAAGTGCCGCAGCTAGCTGCTGCACTCGCAACCCCGCTTGAGAAGGCATGGCCATAAGATGCAGGAGTTGCAGACCTATAAGGCTGACCTGGTCTTCAAATAGACCCAACAAAACACGGCTGTGGAAGTGTGGGAAAAAAGCACGTCCGCCAGACTTGCACGAAACCATGTTTTCGGCAGTTTGTTCAACCGCTTGTGGGCAACGGGTTCGCCGCAACGGTCCTCCAACGCTTGACAGTCAAAGACATACTGGCCCAATCCCATAGTTAACCAAAAACCTTCAAGAGTTATTGGGAGGGCTGAGCTAAGCTTCTATGTAAGAAAAAAATGACTGCCCCTCCACTTGTTGAAGTCGATGAATCGGTAATTCTGGACCTCAAGCAGAAACTCCTAGACCCCAATACAACCTTGCCGGAAAAGTATCGGATTCTTTTCTCTCTGCGGAATGTGAAAGGCGCAGCCGCGCATGACGCACTTGAACTAGGTGCGGCGATAACTTTATGAGTGTCACCGAACTCTGAAACGTTACTAAAACATACATGCCGCTTACTTGCTGAAAATTATGCAGCTCTGACGGACGAGAGCGCGCTCTTCCGTCACGATGTCGCTTTTTGCCTCGGCCAACGGCAAGATGCGCGTGCTGTGGAGGTGCTTACCAACATCCTTCACAACACCGGGGAGCACCCTATGCAAGTACTCGTGCCTTGGGCGTGCCTAAGCTTCATTGGTCCTACGCCGCCGCAGCAGTGGCCTTACGCCCTACCTCACAACCGACCGTGTGGCAGAGCAGCCACCCTGCCTCAGCACGCTTCCCATCCACCCCTTCGCGAGCGAAATAATACAAGTCCAGTTAATTATACTGGGATCCTAAGTCTTGCATGGCTTGTCCTGCTTTCTACGGCAGGGTGCGACACGAAGCGGGAGAGGCGCTGGGTGCCATCGGTACGGAGGAGTGTTTGGCTCCTCTCCGCGCGCACCTTAACGACGAAGTTCTTGAGGTAAGTATGCCCCCGCAACCGTGGAGAGTTAGATATAGATATAACTGTCCTTAAACACCTTACCCAATTCCACTTCTGGAGGCGTCGGTGAAGTGCACATTTATTCGAACCCTGGAGTCCTGGAGATCAGGATTTCCGGTCCTATGTATTGAATGTCCTCACCCACCCACCCACCGACCCTGGGCCATGCCATGGTGCACCTCATGCCGCACTACCCAGTTTAGCGGAACAGCTAATCCACCCTCCCAGGAGTGATTTTGGATTGTCAGGAAACGCCTTCTCTTTGTTTGTGTACCCTGTGCTTGGAGATGGGTAATATGTAGGACAGTGATTTTCAGGTGTTCCAATCCAACTCTCTCCACCTCCCCGGGGGCTGTTACACCTTGTCCTGCTTTTGGTACTTTTGCTCGCCGTCACCTTTTTTGTCTGTTTGGTGGTGACTGGAAATTACATACGCAGGTGGCAGAGACCTGCCAGTTAGCGCTGCAGCGGATAGAGTGGCTCCGAGACCACCCAGGCGCCACCAACGAGGAGTCGCCGTACTACAGCGTTGACCCCACGCCCGCCCTGCCCACCAGCATACCCACAGAGGAGCTGCGGGACGTGTTGCTGGACGAGAAAAAACGGATGTTTGACGTAAGAGCGAGTCCTGGTCCTGAGGCAAAGCAGAGACGACCTGGGCGATGCCATAGCTCACCAGTACATTATTCTCTGCATTTCAAGCCGAGTTTTATTACCAAGTGCCATCTTGTTGTCTCGTCAGCAGTTGGGCGACAGCTGAAAGTGGCAAATACAGTGTAGCGAATTATCCAAAGCGACAAACCAAACCTATGGGAGATGTTAGGAAGTTAGTTGAGCAGTCTGGGGATGTGGGCGTATGAGGGGAAATGATTCTGTTTCGTTTTTCTTATGGTTGCACCCTTCGTGCCTGCCTGGGACCCCCCACATGAAACCCAGAACTGAGATACACACCACTAACCCGATTTCAGTCCGCACGGTCTGCGCCGTTTCCCCTGACAACCAGTCTTTGCCGTTGGACCATTATGCCCACGCGCTCCATACTGCTTTCCTTTTCCAGCGCTACTCGGCGCTGTTTGCGCTGCGGAATAAGGGTGGTAAGGACGCGGTGGCGGCGCTGGGGGCGGTTTTCGGCGCGCGGTCGGCGCTGTTGAAGCACGAGGTGGCTTACGTGATGGGTCAGATGCAGGACCCTAAGGCAGTGGAGTTCCTCACATTCGTGCTCAAGGTGAGGGAAATGGAGGAGAGCCCGCAAATGCGTCCAGCCACGTATTGGACCTTCATCGCAATCAGTTATCCATCTATGCGTTCGCGCGATTTTTATGTGATTATGCGTCCAGACAGGCAGGTAGTAACCGATTAGAGACGAGACAGACACCAGCCAACAGATGATTGCATTGTCCGCCAAGCTAGCCAGCCGATGCCTCCCTTTAAATATCGCAATTATACATAAGTCTTAACGGCCCCCACAGCACCGTACATCGCGTTAAGATCCGGACGTAGCTTGCAAGAAGCAGACCTGAGGTCCGACACAACTCAGCCACATCACAAATCCCGGAGGGACCTGTACTCTCGCCGTTGGCATTCATCTTGCCACAGGTCCACAATCGCATATGGCGACGTTTCCTTCCAGCATTCTCGCATGCGTCTGTTGGATCCCAAACACATCCAATGCCACTCACAGTTGCTTCAAACCTCTCCCGCTCCAGCCGCCATACCCGGCCTCCTGTTTGCTCTTCTTCTGTCTCTCCCTCCTTGACTAGATCAAAGTCTTCCAATGATTCCAGATCTAGCTATTTTTTATTAGTTACTAGTTATATTTTAGAGTCAGAAGCAGATGTGTTACGTGATGCTGTTTTAAAAACTTTAGCATCGATCGCTCCAATTGCTTCCGTGCCGTGCTCAGCAGCCATGACCGCCAATCCACAGCGCACGCGCCCACGATCCTTTGTTTCTTGCATCACATGATGGTCCTCCCGCCTTGCCGACACCCATCCACTCCGGGTTCCCACCAGGACGGCTCGGAGCACGCCATGGTGCGCCACGAGGCCGCGGAGGCACTGGGCGCTATCGCGGACAGCGTCACCATCGGTCTGCTACGGGAGTTCGCCACGGACCCAGAGCCCATCGTAGCGCACAGCTGCGAGGTGGCGTTGGACGTGCTGGACTTCGAGCAGAGCGGCCAACTCGAGTACGCAGACAAGGGCGATGGCGATAAGGGCAGCGGTGCAGGGGAGGCGAGGCGGCCCATCTGTCCATGCCGGGGTTGAGCAGAGGGAGCTGTAGAGGCGCTCGTGATTAGCTGGCGGAACACCACCGTCGGCAGGCAGGAGTGTGGGTCATCTCCGGCTGCGGAATGTGTGGTCGCAATGTGTAGATGAGGGGCGGCAGGGGCCCCGGTGTGGCGCGCACGGCGGCGTAACCCGTGGTCGTGGGGAGGAGGGGCGCTGCATTTGGGGCTTTGGGTTGGCGTGACTAGATTGGCTTATGGGTCGGGTGAGAGAAAAACTGGGGGGCTACTTCAGCGATTAAGGATTAAGTTCCACGCGTAGTTAGTGGGTAGTCAGCTAGCTGGTGGCGTAGCTGATAAGACCGTTTGGGGGCCGGAATACGCTCTGGGGACCGTGTTTCCAGACATGACATTATTGGCGATGCACGTCTTTGGTGAATGGCGTGGTGGTGGTGGTGGTGGTGGTAGCTGGTGACTGCAAGTAGGTCAGGGGTGTTGAGAGATGCCATCAGCTGCCATAATGCACCCCATTGTGCCTTGCGATAGCGAGCGAGGGCCTGCTCTCGTCCCCAGTGGCGGTGCCGACGTCGCCGTACACTGGCAAGACGAGCAGAGCAGGGGCTGCAGTAGCAGTGAGCCTGCCGAGCGCGCGGTGTGTTGCGTGGGCCCGCACGGAGCATTGCACTTTCTACCTGTGAAAATTTCCGCGCTCTGCAGCTGCCTTGTGTGTTACAGAATTGCTGCGTAGGGAAACTGTAGATTGCCGCCGCCACTACTAAGTCAAGAGGTCCGTCAGGACGGCGGCAAGGTTTCTGAGCAGCAAGACAGCCTGTTATTGCCTCTGCCACCTGGTGCCTCAGGGTGTGTATGGAGAGGTGGCAGGTGCGGTACAGAACACGCTGTCGGCTATCCCGTTTCCTGTCTCCTGATCCTGATCCGTCTGGCGGCGTCCAGTACCACGAAGTGAGTCCATCCCATCGCCTCGCCCTAGTTGCCCTGATTCTCGCCGCCTCGCCGTGCTGCGAGAGCCGGGGTCCTGAAATTGTGTGGCTGCCGCGATATGCGGGATACGCTTGCGTGGAGCGCTACCGCCGCCCTGGCGACATCGCACCTGGCGCTGCCAGGCGGTGCCGGCGGCGCTGGTTGAGGATGTACTCGAACAGGTAGAACTGGCGCTTCTGCACCTTGTACATTGTAACACACTGTGGGGGTTGAAGACATATGTGCAAAAAAGGCAGACTGTAAGGGATTGCGTGTGAGGGCAGAATGGGCTGGAGGATGTTAACACAATGGCGCTGGCGGAGTCAGCCCCCATGCATACGCGTGTGCATGCTGATTGTGAGCACAGTTCCGATGCTGCGTCATCGCGCAGTAATGCTGTTCATTACGCAGAGGTCACGGCAAGGTCCGCAAGTGTAGCGGCCCCGCACCGTGTAGAGGCCGGTGAGGAGCTCCAGCCATTGCAGCACCAGCATCACCATTTGGACCGCCCTGGTGTAGGCAGTTCGCCTCTGCGCATCATGTGCACACCGTCCACGTCGTGGGATGTATCAGTGCGTTTACATGCGTTCGTCAAGATCAGTGGAATTAAACTAGGAAGGGCGTGATTCGTTACACGTGCTTTCAACGGCGGGAAATGCTCCTGGCGCCGTGACGTAGTCGGCTAGGACAGGCCCCAGGCTAGATGATCCATACTAGCCAACCGGTGACGGGTGTCAGGTAGGGCAGCCCATGTGCCTACCGGGTTACTGTGAATGTGACCGAGAACGTAAATCGTGTGGAACCTGCCAAGACATGTGGTTGTGTGTACCCCCACGAGACTCCAGTTCCTCACAAATCGGGGTGGGTGCGTCTCTAAGCGCCTCTACTACTTACAGATGTTCCAACAAGCAGGTAAAGAATGGTTCCTTGCTCCGGAACCAGTGACAGAATGGTGAACATAAGCAGCCAGGGAAGCTGGGGAGTTGGAGCGGAGGCGCGTGGCAGGGACAAAGGGGAAAGAGGGGGAAGTGTGTATGGGATCAACAGTGTGAGCGAAACAACAGACCCGGACGGTGAGATAGGAGCGAAAGAAACACAAATCCATTGGCGAAAGGGTATATGTGGCGATGATAGTGTGACAATATCTGGCCTGTTTCAATGTAGCAATGGGCATGAACTTACATTCTCCTGCAGGTTCCCGTACCATCCGGCAAACAAGCGAATTGGCTCCGCAAGAAACCAGAAGATGAAGAAAATCGTGCGGACGATGTCATTGTCTTTTAGTTCCAGACCAACCCAGTACTGCGCGGTGCAGTGGGGACTGTGTCAGGGTACGGAGGGTTACGGCAGTCTTGGCCCGTCCCACATCCAGCACTCACATTTTTGAAGATGAAAACCATCCAGAAGAGCAACCAGGCGATGTTGAAGAATATTCTATAGTATAGGAGCTGCTGGAGGAACAGGTTGGATGCGATCCTCCGCTCTGAGTGCCGTTAAAGGGGGAGCCGTTAGGTGTTAAGGGGGGAGTCGTTAGGTCTGAAACATGCTCCCGGCACCAAAGCGGGTGCTAGCCATGTAACTCCGTTGGTATGTTTACCAGTCAAGTTCCGCAAACGGAGATCAAAACCAGGGTTCACAGGCTGCAGTGGTAAGGTCATTTTCCTTAATCGCTACTCTTAAACATATGGAAGAGGTGTTGCCCAAAGGGCACAGCTATTGATGCATCTTTTGCTGAATGCTAACGGCCCTTCGCATGGAGAGGGATGATTAAAGCGCCTGGGCTGTCCACTTGATAGTCGTGGAACTTGGATTTGAAGTGGACATCCAAACAGCAGGAGGCGGATTCAATGGACTAAGGTATAATTTCTGTAAGGAGTTCTTTTATTTCAATAGTCGCTGGCTCTGTGGCTTCGGGCTCGGGCCGTTGAGCACTTCCTGGTCTCGGAGAACTAACGGTCAACAACGTTCGCGGTCTGCAAACAAAACGGCATGTAGATACGCCCATTATTCCTCGTCAAAGTACTTAACTTAGGGGCACCGTGCCCAAGACCATTGCTAATTTCAGTTAAGGGCCCTTCCGAAGACTGTTGAAGCACACGTGAAACGCAAAGTCTCATGACGCGCTAATTGGACCAATGCTTTTGGCACTGGATTTAATCTAATCCTTGGCAACGATGCAACTACTCGCTAGAAGTCCCGTTCTGTGAGTTGAAGTCCCGTCATCGTGGGCATTAACTGCAGTGGAGGAAGCACCACTCAAATATATATGCAATGTACTCGATTGTAGGGCTGCACCTTGTAGCAGACAATGGCTGTGGAACCCGCGGCCGGGTACGTTGGCTCCGCTGCGCCGACTATCTCCTAGCCATGTCATTTGTGGATTTCCGGAAGAACGGGGGAGCCCTTCGGCCGACCCAGCTGGCGTTTCGGTTCAACCCTTACAGCCACGAACTGAAAATTCAACACAGGTGCGGGCTAGCGGTTACTCTGCCACCACATTGACCACCTTGCTAACACCTGCAGTCATGGTGCAGCATCAATCTTATATGCACCGCCCCCTCGCCTTAGCACCAATACCACCACCACTAATAATAATAATCACCCGCCCCTCGCTCACCACCCAATCCAAACCCGAACTTGCCCAAACAAACCCGCTCGCCGCTAGCCCATCAAGAGCCTTTACCCCAAACCCCATCTTCTGCCCCCGTCGCCTTCATCGCCACCAATCCTGCTGCTATTCGTCTTCCCATTCGCCCCACCGGGCCACAGCCTACCGTCACCGCCGCCGACGCTGCCGCTGCGCCAGCGGTGTCCACACAGCCGCCGGCGCCGGATTCACCCCAGCAGCCCCAGCCGCCGCCGCCGCCGCAGCAGCAACAGCAACAGCAGCCCCCGGGCTTCATTGCCCGCCGCCTGGCGGTATTCAGCGGCCTGGTTCTGGGTTACGCGGCTTATTATCTCACCCGCAACTCCCTCACCTACACCGCCCCGGTCATGGTGGCCGACCCAACCCTGGGCTTCACGCTGGCGGAAGTGGGCACCATGACGTCAATATTCCCCATCGCGTACGGTACGTAATGCACGCCGTACGAGTACACGCCAAAAACCGTAAAAACATGCAAACATGCAAAAGCCGAACGGCAGTGGTACGCCATGGTTCAGTTTACGGAAGTAAAGATGCGTGGGTCTGCATGAATCAGTGGGCCCAAGCCACGTCCATCCTCCATCCGCACCCTCCACGGTCCACCCGGCCATCGTGTGCTGCTTCACTTGGGCCATGTACACGCACATACCCGGAGAGCACACCCACACTCACCCGCCTCCTGCTATTGCTGCTACTGCTGCTGTTGCTGTTGCTACTACTCTTGCTGCTGCTACTGTTGCTGCTGCTGCTACTGCTGCTGCTACTACTGCTGCTGTTGCTGCAACTGCTGCTGCTACTGCTGAGCTCCAGGCCTGAGCAAGTTTGTGAGCGGCATCCTGGGTGACCGCTACAGCCCCAGTTTGCTGCTGGGCGGGGGCCTTATGCTCACTGCCGCGTGCAACATAGCGCTGGGGGCGGGTACCGGACTCGCCTGGTTCGCCGCCATGTGGGCACTGAACGGCCTGATGCAGGTAGGTGGGGGTGCTGCATGGCATCATGAGGGTAATGAGCCCGTGGTGGTGCCCGTGGTGGTGGTGGTGGTGGGGGGACAAAGGATTTAAAGCCAAGCAGCTATCACCCTGTGGTGGACAAAGGTGAGGGAGTTGCATGCCGAAATTGTATTAGCAAACGCGGAGATGATGAAAATACTTTAAAAATGGTTTAAAAAATTGCACCGCAGCAACTCCTCTAGTTGTACGGCATTATACGGCAGATAGTCCCTAGACCAGCAGCCCTAAGCCCCTGATGGCCACAATACCTGCCCCTCGCCCTGTCCCTGACCCTGTCAGGGGGTTGGCGCGCCCTCCTGCGCCCGCATGCTGACGTCCTGGTTCCCCGCCCGGGAGCGGGGCACCTACTGGGGCTTATGGAACGTGGCCCACAACACGGGGGGCTTTCTGTCGCCGCTGGTGGCCGCCACTGCGGCGCATGCTGCGGGGTGGCGGTGGGGCATGTGGGCGCCCGGACTGGCGGGGCTGGCGCTTGGTGTGTTTGTGTTGCTGGTGTGCAGGTACGAGGGGGGAAGGAGGCGGGGGAAGAGGGCTGGGTGGGGGAGAGGGGACAGCAAGTCTTCCCCTGCATATACATACACATACCCCATACATGATGGATGGATAGATGGATAGATAGATGGATAGATGGATAGATAGATGGATAGATAGATAGAGGGGGTCATTGGCCGTTCTGGCCAATGACACTGGCCGTTCTGTGTATGTTGGCTTTGTCGTCTTCTTTCTTTCCTTGTCGTACCATCGTGTTATTGATGTTTTTGGGCGAGGCCCCGGGCGTGGGCCGAGGCCCCCTGGGTTCACTGCTGTCAGGCAGTCAGTCAGCGTCATGAACTCGCATGCCACGCTGAACTGCAGCGTATAGTCCAGACACGGCACAATTCCTCCGCTTGCAGCCCAGTGCCGTACAGTCTCGCCTGCGGAACTCACTGCGGGGTGACTGGCTCATGCACCGGGGCCGATCCCTTCTCGGCTTTAAGGAGCTGACTGCCCTAGTCCACTCTTGCCATACCCTTGTCAGCTCGTCCATGTCGTACTCATGACACGTCATCCCTGACTCCATGCAGGGATACGCCACAGGACGCGGGTTTTAATCCCGTGGAGGTTTCGGAGCACCAGAAACAGCAAGAGCAACAACAGCAGCAGAAGAAACACCAACAGTCAAGTGAGGCCAGCACAGGACATGGCAGTAGCAGCAGTAGTCCTCGGAATGGAAATACGGCCACTACCAGCGGCAGTAGCAGCACCAGCACTAGCATTACGAGCGGCAAGCAGCCACAGCAGCAGCAGCAGCAGCAAAAACCAGGCGTGTTGCGTACGGCAATCGACAATGTGTTGTCCAATCCGTACATCTGGGCGCTGGCACTGACGTACTTTTGCGTGTATGTTGTGCGACAGGTATGCACTTACCAACGTATATAATGTATGTATGTATGTATGTATGTATGTATGTATGTATGTATGTATGTATGTATGTATGTATGTATGTATGTATGTATGTATGTATGTATGTATGTTCTTACAGGGTGGTAAAGCTTCACCAGCGGCCTCCTCTCCCGACGCTGAGGTGCTTGTGGGCGCGCCGAAGAAACGTTGACCACTCTCCCTTCCCACCAGCAAGAAGCGCTGCTTGCCTGCCACCTTACATTTGCGGATGTCACCGTACTGCTGATATAACCACTGCCGTAATGTTGCTGCCGTACCGTTGTTCCCCTCCAGGGCGTCACTTCCTGGACCGTGTTTTACCTCATCAGTGAAAAAGGTGTCCCGGATGCCGCTCAGGTAAATGCGTGTCCATGGCGGGAGGGGAGGGGAGGGGAGGGGAGGGGAAATGGATATGTGCTGTTTAAGTAGGCAAATACAGACGGATGGACAGACAGAAGCACAGACAGACAGACAGGCGGACAGACGGGCAGGCAGATAAGCTAAGTATTCATAAAAAGGGCACTCAAGTTAATGACGTGGCGTGTAAAAGTAATATGCGGGACATGATATACCTGTGCTCGTGTTGTCCTCCGTGACGTGATGTCGTACCAATCGGGCCCCCAGGCAGCCATGCGGGTTTCGGGGCTGGAGCTAGGCGGGCTGGTGGGTGGTCTAGCTGCTGGCCGCATATCCGACTTGCTTATTCGCAAAGGTGCTGCTGCAGCCACCGCCGCTACAGCCGCCACGGCGGCAGCAGCAGCGGCCGACGGTGGCCATGACGGCAGAAGCAAGCTCCAGGGCACCGGGAAGCAGACGACAGTTGCGGCAGCTCTTGGCAGTGGCAGCGTGGGACTGCGCGTGCAGGTATTGTGCGTCCAAGGCTGCAGTTGCGGTTGGGGTTGGGGTTTTGTAAAATATCACATTATGCACGGCAATTAAAAACACGTACGGACGCCCTGCTGGCCGTCGTATTGCAGCTGCATCTGGTAACGCTGTTCGGGTTTGGGAGGTGTGGTGCTGCCAGCCTCTCGCTTTTCCAACCCCTGGCCCCATGCGCACCTCCACCACCTCCACTACCCGCCCCCTTCTCCCTTCTTGGACTCTTTGTCGGTTCCCGTTGGCTGTCCGCTTGTTGCACCGTGTGATTCCCCCTCCCGCTCTCCCGCTGCGCCTCCCTTATTCCCGTAACCCCCTCCCTCCCCTCCCCCCCCCACCACCAGGTGGTCATGGCGTACACGGCAGCACTGGCCGCGGCGCTGGCGGCCTTCCAGTCCCTCCCCCCGGGGGTCCCACCCGCACTGCAGTGGCTGTCCGTGGCGGCCATCGGCTTCTGCATTTACGGCCCGCAGGCAGGGCCACAGCCGGGCGGGTTAGGGAGGAGGGAGGGGGGAAACGGGGGGAGGGAG